CTTGCTAGGAATAGAAGATCCCTCTTATCACCGATCACGCAATTTTCTGTTCGTAAACAGTAATACAGTCAAACTACGATATTACTGCATTCGTTCCAACATCTTCAAAAAAAAAAATCATTCCAGCTGCAAAATCGACCTTGTATCTATGCTTTATCCGACTTGCTCTCCTAGCAATACTAAAATGATAGACAGGCCACGTTATATGACATTTAATACTTGAACTTGAGATTTTAGCGTTGCGTCTCTTTAGCTAGAGCCCAGCGACGAAGAAAAGAGCGAGATAAAGGTTTTTTTTTATCAATCTTTAAAACCATCGGCAGGGGCAACAAGTCTAGTATGACCCCGGATGAGCTTAACGGGAGGAAATTCAAATTCACGGCAAACAAACGATCGAGGCCATCGGTGGCTAAAAAGGGCAGCGAATCCAAATACGGTGTATTCAGATGCGCCGTAAAATGGCTAGTGGCATTCATGTTATATTTGTCCGTCTTGACGTGTCTTGTTACCAGCAAGATTTGTTGGTTGGTTCTCGGGAAGCAGTTGAAAAGTTTCAATGAATCTACAGCGAATTCCACCCTCGCAGTGGAATATTCTTCCGAAATAAACAAACAAGCATTGTTTTTTATGCTTGTTCTGGCTTTGATGATCCCAGAAGCTGCCTGTTTTATACACGCAAGTTTGACAAGTCTTGGGAAAAAGCATCAACCATGGCCTTCAAAAAGGGCATCTATGCTAGTAAGTTTTTATTTCTCTTCTAGTCGTTATAAAGCATGTATTTGAGGGCTACACATGCCTACTTGCCTTAGTGCAAATATGCAATTACATAAAAGCCTTCCAGAGTTAATGAAAGCTAGAACTTAAAATCACAAATTTTGGAAAGCTTTGGGTTGGGCTATCATATAATTATGTTGGCATGACCCTCTAGACTCGGACAAAAGATGTTGAAACTATGAAACAAAGGAAACATAATTTAACGTCCTGAAGTGAGCTTGCTCTTTGATTTATTGTGAATGCATAGAATCGTAAATATCTCGCAATGCCAAATTATGAGAGTTGCTGATAGTAGGCAACTATCGTCCTTATTAAGGCTAGCGTAATGACTCACTGGGTTCCCAAAAACTCTTAAGAAGTAAACAATGATACTTATTTCACGTTTTTACCAAATTGCCACATCAGCAGACCAGGAGTCTTTTCATCCTAGGTTTTCGTTTGTTTTGTTTGTTTGTTTGTTTCTTTTGCTGCTGTGATTGTGATGCTGCTGTTATTGTTGTTACTTCCTAGCGCAGGTTTTTTTTATCAGGAAATACAGAAATTTAAGATGACCAGTGGTTGAAAACTTCCATCTTAATAGAGAGAGGAGAATGGCTGCGTTCTCAGTGTTGCATTCATTTCCCTCCAAGTCATTTTAACTATTTAATTTGATCAGATTTGCTGATTTTTACCTCTGCTTTACATTTTTCCAAACGACTTTATGTTTTGAGTGCTACTGCAGTCGGAAAGTGCTTACTCTTTATAAGAATTTGGATATGTTTCAGTTGAGGCTAACTCCTCGCAAATATTGCTCGCAAATATTGCTCGCAAATATTGCTCACAAATATTTCTGGAAGTCAGGTACTGCTTGTGAGTGTTTAAATTGCAGAAGCACTTTTCCAATCGATGTAAAGATGCTCAAAGACATGACTCTCCACAGGGTTTCAGGGAGTAAGGTGGACACACGCACTCGGCACGTTGTAACACGCTCGCACGCTAATGGCATGACACGCTTACCGTGCTGATATGCGCATAAAAACAATTGATTATGGAAGCGTGTTCCCAGCCATTGTCCATTTCTGGCTATCACGGTAGAACTTTGTTTCTAGAACATGCTAGCTCTTTTTTTTTATTTTTTTAACACGTTTAGTTCCTTTGTTTCCATAACGCGCTCGCTTATCTTGTACAACCCAGCTCACTTTGTTACTTGTGTTTTGTCAGCTTCATGGTGGTGAGAATGGTGTTTGTAATGTACATTACTTACAGAATATAGGCGAAAGCGAAGAAGATCTTCTGTCCTATCCGGAAGTTGTAATAAAAAAGAAACATTAAATTACTTTTTTAAAACTTAATTCTTACCTTGTAAAATATATTGAGAATAATACATGGGCGCGAGTGGATATGGAATTTCTCTTCGACTTGAACACGCGAAGAGAAATTTCATATTTACAAGCAACCATGTATAATTTTGTTTATCGTATAAACACACTAGTCTTTTACTGACAAGAAAAGTCAAGTTTATCAATGAATGAAAATAAAAGGATCGACAACCCCCAAGTACAAAAAAAAACGTCGGCGTTAAGGCTCAAGTGAGAAAATGCGTTGAAACACTAAAAAAAAACAATGAGCGTAATGTTAAAGACCCAAAATTCTCAAGTATTAGGTCGGTACTTACCGGAAAAAGAAATCTTTCAAGTAAGCGGCCAAACTCGGCCTGTGGCAAATCTTCCAGTTGTCGATTTTCGTTCTCAGCCGCGAGAAATGCCATCACCAAAGCCGCTGAATACGTAACTTTCGGTTTTTCTTTCCGTATTTTGATTTTCTTTCCCCTCTAAGGAAGTTTGAACGTCACCTCCTGTAAGCGATACGGATTTTTCAGTGTTATAGGAGCTAGAATATGAAAAAATTCTGACAAACGACCTTGGATTGAGAATGGTGAAGGCTTTGTCTTTCATTCATCAACCTGACAGTGTGTTTGGCCATGGCAGACACAAGTACGATATTTCTCACGTATGTTGTCACGGTTTTTCTCAGGGCTGGAAATCCTTGTATAACAGCGTAGTTTATATGATAAAAATCCTTATCGCTTCTCGCACTGAATAAGCCCAGTACCGAATCTTTGTGAATACTTTAGCAACAGATTTCTGGCTCCCTGTACAAATCGACAGCAACTTTAACTTTAAGAGGCGTGTTATAAAATTGGCACGGTCACTGTGTTGGATCGAGCAAAGTTGCGAGTACGATCTTAACACATTCCTTTGCCTCTACCTAGACACATTCCTTTGCTTCTACCTTAAAACGGAGCAATGACTTGAATTGAAGAAGCTGCCGTATATTTGACCAAGTATGAAACAAGTAAGCGAGTTCTGAGTTCTAAATCACTGGCGATCTTATTGACTTCATTTCATCTCAGCATCGTCCAAAAGCAACCAATCCAGTTGTAAAATCGATCCTCTAATTCCAAGCACTCTTTAGGCAGCATTTTAATTATTCGAAGGGCAAGGTCAGTTTTGACATTCAACGATAAAAGTAGGTATTATAAATTAGCTTCTCTTCATCGCCAAACAACGGGAAAAGTGCGAGAGAGACCCTTCTCAATGCCTAAAACCATCAGCTACCGCGAAGGATAAGCCGAACTAAGAATGCATAGTAGTCAAATGATCAAAACTGTCCGAGTCAATTATGAATAACAACTTAAAAAGTGGTGGATTGATTTTCTTGTTGAAGTGAAAATCTGTTTCTGAGAAACACTTTGTACAGAAGCATGGAACTGCAATGGCATCCAAATATGCAGGTAGTTATGCTGATTCAGCTATTGGGTTATTACATATAAAACGAGAAATCTGAAAGTGCTGTTGAGCTCATGTTGTGGTGGAGATGCACAGATGACTGATTTTTTCATCTTTAGACAAATGGTTTACCCAAATCACTTGAATTTACCGAATTTAATTTCACAATTAAGTCAAAACACACGACGTTATCATGGAACATGACCTAAATATCTTGTACCTTACAATAGACATTCACGATGGGTTTCTATTGGTACGGAATTAAAAGGGTAACCCACAGATAGCCATCCTTCGTTGCCATTTTAAAGTTTATACCTGGCTTTCTGTAAGAGGGTAATCCCCCTCTTTTAACTAGCAAAATCTTATCAATATAGCGCTCTACCGTCACCTCGTACGCGGTCTTAGTTTAGCCGGCGCAATGAGCTATTTTTCCATAACAATGTTGAGAAGTGACAGTGCTATTGGAGCCATTATTACTGAGTTTGATCTCTGAAAGTAATGTTTGTCGCTAAATCAAAGTTATTGGCTATAAGACTGGTAATCTTTTTTTGTTCTTCTTTGTCATTCACTAATGCCCTCATTTTGACCAGCCTCTGATGAAAAGTAATTTTCTTCACACTGCAGATTTTGGTTGGTGGATTCTTTGAAGCTTTCTCGCTTTGTCATATCACAGTGGTGATGGTGACAACGCTGCCAGTGAGCCCTGACTTTCTCGTGGTGCTCATGTGCAATATAGCCGGGTTACCGTTAACGTTACAGAAAGTCTACAGAAAATTATGCCAACGTGACCATCTAACAAGTGTGTGGGATACCATGAGATCACTAGTGTCTACCCTTTTTTTTCTTGCTGGCAATATCATGCTGTCTTTAAAGGTAACTTTTAGAGGCTTTGCGTTTTTATCCTACTACTTTCCTAATTCTTGTATTAAGTAGGGGTAGTTGTCTTGCAGTCAGTCTGCGATAAATCTTTACTGAAGAGCTCATGAGTAATCGAACATAGAAAACGAATCTTTCCCTTTCAAGGATCGTTTTTCCTGGCTCAGAAGAGTTTTTATAAAGTGGGCTAACTCTGGTGCGTTTTAGTCCGTGATAGATCTTCATCGAAGTGGTCAGGAGCAATTGAACATAGAAAATTAATCATGACATCACTGAGCCGAATCCTTTTAATCAATTGGTCGTTGTTCAACTTTAGATTTCGTTCTAGGCTTCCGTTCATCATTAAGGGATGTGAAGGTTTAGTCCATTTCTAATGCCTCAATAAAAAGGACTCAGTGCTTGTTTTCGTCATTGGCGAGACATGAACAAGAAAGGAGCCTTTTACCATGAACTAAATACTTTTGTCAACTATAAGGCTGCATCTGGTCTTGAGTCTGAAGAGTATGAATGACTTATGAAAATCTCATAACGATTTCTTTCTTTTTCAAGAAAAATTTTACAGTGAGGCTTTTCCGTTATCATCAGGCAAGAATTTTCTTCTATGTTGTTTCTAAAGGTGGCTGACCTGCAAGGAATTATTTTGGCTCAACTTTCCCTTTTCCTGCTGTCAATTGTTTGGTCACCTACGTTTAGAGAATTCCAAATTCAAAATACGCCTAGTGAGGAAGATAGAGAGACAGGAATGGACCACAGCACCGATGCTGTAAAGGAATGCGTTGATACGTTACAAAAGTCAGGAACTAATTCGAAATTCAGGCCGAAGGAGACGTTCACGTCAAAGCCTGTATATGAAGAAATGACCAGTGATATCAATAACAACAGTGAAGGATCCTCGCAGAGTGAAACCGGACCTCCTAAGTTGACCAGAACAGCTCAAGCGAAAACGGCCGTTATTTCTTCCCTTTGTAAACTATTCTTCATACCTTTAACGGCAGTTGCATTTTCAACTGTTTATGACATTGTGAAACTTAACACCTTTGAAGGATTTAAGGCCATAACAACATCAAATCCGTCATTTTTATACTTCATACTCCACATTTTGACCAGCTTCTTTTGCTTCCATTTTGGATGGATCGCGTGTTCTCTTCGTATGCAAAGGATTGGATTGGCTCTTCCCTTGACACTAGCAACACCAATCACTGTCATCATAACCCAGTTTAAAGGGTTTTGCGAAACAGAAATAATTCCGTTACCATGTGCATCAGGAGACATACACTATGTTCTTGGTGCGGGACTCCTTCTGTGGTTAGCACAATGTTTGGGAGCCACGCACTACCTTTGGGAAAGTCCAGGAAAGATATTGGGAAAAGTGTGCGACTCATTTTGGATTCCTTATTATAATGGTAAGTCTGTTACAAACATTTCCTTATCAAAACTGAACTGCTTTCAATTGTATAACTTATTGACTTTTGTAAACCTTTAGGCTTATTTAAGGCTCACATGAATTTCAATAGATAATCAGAAAGTTATTGAAAACGAAAATTGACCAGAAAAGTTCTTTTTGGTTGTAAGCAGATACTGGTCTTGTTTTAAACTTAGCTGAAGCGTAGACCAATACGTGCAACTTGAATCACACTTGTACTACCATCTTTTTGCAAGGTGAATCAAATGGCTCTTTTTTAACTGATTGGGATGCTCAGTGTAAGAAATTTATTCGGATCAATATCAGTATCTGGGCAACTGCCCACCTACCCCTCCCCTAACCCAACAACAGTCTATTGAAAACAAGTTAGCGTTAATGTTGGGCTAGGGGAGGGGTAGGTGGGCAGTTGCCCAGATACTGATATTGATCCATTTATTCTTTATATTTTCAGGTGTGTGCCTTGAACAGAACTTGTTGACGAACAAACGAAACCTCTCATTTGATGAGGAATGCTCTTCACAGGAAAATGCATCAGGTAAAAAAAAGGACTTTTTAAAGATATCTGGTCTAATTTTCTTTTTCTTGATGAAATTGTCAAAATGCTAAACATAACAACGCTAAGATGACCAGAATACGAATTTTTCATCAGCTTCTAACCAAAAGGACAGTGGATTACATGTGTTCATCTGCACTACAATGTATCACGAGAAAAGGGAAGAAATGGAACAACTTCTGGAGTCAGTTTACGATGTCCTCAAAAATAACAAATCAGGGCACCATTTTGAGGCACACGTGTTTTTTGATGGGTGCCTCAGGACAGAAGAGCTTAACAGCTATGTACTTCAGCTGGCTTCATTGGTGAAAAATACTCTAAAAGTGAAAGAACTCAGCGACTGTATTAAGGTTGAGACCCACTTTGGTATGCAGCTTAAGTGGAAACTTGAATTAGAACGAGAGACATCCTTCACAATACACTTAAAAGATAATGCAAAGGTAACTAATTCAAATTTAAGAATTTTGATTTGGTTCTTTTCACGAACGCATTCAGGAGAGAGCTCAATTTTTTTGTTGTTGGTCCAATCACAGGTGAAAAATAAGAAGAGATGGAGCCAAGTAATGTACATGTCCTACGTTCTGGATTTTAAAATCGTCACAAAAAAGTTAGAAGACGACCAGTGCTTCATCCTCGCAACAGACGGCGACGTTAAATTTACTCATGAGTCTGTTGAGGCCTTAATTGATCAAATCTGCGAGTACCCTGGAACTGGTGCAGTATGTGCTCGGACCTATCCCCTTGGAAAAGGACCTGTCTATTGGTATCAAGTATTTGATTATGCTATTGGCCACTGGTTCCAAAAGGTTTGTGTATGCATGTTAGCCACAATGAGGGTACAATGATTACGTTTGACAGATTTAGCTCGGCCGAAAAGTGTATCTCTGAATGTTTTCCCACCTTGCTAATCTGAGACGTAGCTCAAAACAACCTGTTTTGAGTTACGTCATGACCCTTACTCTCATTCTTAAAGTTTTCAACAGAACTATTAAAAAGGAGCAGAAAGGAAAGATAAAAGATAAGAAATAATCCATTAATTAATACGCTATTTTGATTTTAGGTGACCAATCATATGCTTGGCTCAGTCTTGTGTTGTCCTGGATGTTTCAGCTTGTACAGGTGCAGGGCTGTGAGGGATGTTTTGCCAAATTATGCCACCTGTGCAGACACCGCTTTTCAATGTCTTACCAAAGACATGGGTTAGTCACTATTTCATCACTATTTAGCTTTTCAGAGGGCCGCGGGGTTGTCAGTTATTTAATTACTAACTGACTTACTTATCTACGTATTAGCTTGGTAGCTTGCCTGCATGCGTGCCTGTTTCCTTGCTGGCTTGTTTTCATACAATCGATCAGTAGAAGCGATAAAATAGCACGGATTCTGACGTTCCCTTCCATTCCTGTAGACCGGGGTGAATCTCGAAATTAAAACATCAATCGGCATTTAGAGCGATAGATTGTTCAGGTTTTTTTAAGGACCCGCTGGAAAAAAAGATTAATGTAAGCTGTTTCTAAAGAGCACAAGCAAACCGAGATTGAATTTTTTTTCAGAAAGAATCTATTTATCAATCTATCATTGTGTGCCGTGATTTGTCTCATCTAAGTTGCAATAATTTTTTCAAGGGGAAGACCGCTGGATGTGCACACTGATGATACAAAATGGCTGGCGATTGACATATTGTGCTGCTGCAGAGAACAGTACTTATTGCCCAGGGAGTTTTGATGAGTTCTATAAACAACGAAAACGATGGGCGCCATCTACACTAGCCAACCTCGTTCTACTTATTACCGAATGGAAGCAGACATTGAATAACAACGAGCATATTTCTTTATTATTCATTATTTATCAAGCGTTCCTTGTCTTCTCCACAGTAATTGGGTAAGTTATGCCCATTTGTAAACTTTATCAGAAACGTTAAATATTGGTGTAAGTAACTCTAAATTCAAGATTCTACTTATTTTTATCGAAGTATTATTCATCAATCCATTTCTGTGTTATTGAGATTTTTTTATCTCCTTGCCATTGCCATGAGCCTGCCGACAAAAGCACCTTATAAAATTCTTCGTATTCCTTTTCATAGACTGTGCTCCGTAACTTTTTAATGCGGTACGAAAAGTGGAAACGGAATTTCAATCCGGTTTTAAAAATTATGAAAAAACGAAGAATAGAAGTCATAAATTCTAATTTCTTCTAAGCGAGCAAACCTGCAAACGCAAAGAAAAGTGGTAAGCCATTTAATGAAAAAAAAAAACATGGATCTAGGGAATGACATTTAGAGTGCTTTTTTTCACAGAATGAAAAAAAGTTGAACTAGATTTCACTTTTCTATTAGTATTTGAAAAATAATTTTGCATTGAGGAGCACGATTTCATCTATTCTTACCTTACTTTTTTTTTCTCTTGACGACAACTCAGTAAAGTCCATAATTATAACATAATTCCCTTTATTTCAGAGGTTCCACGGTCATTTTGGTCATAGTGGGTGGAATGGTACTTGCAGGTGTTCCAGTCAACCACATAACAACATCCGTGCTCCTTAGCCTTGTTGTTGCTGTTTACGTCTTAATATGCCTCTACACTCCCCCAAAGTGGCAGCTTAAAGTGTCAAAGATACTGACATTTTTTTTCTCAGTTATCATGTGCACTGTGGCGGTCGGATTGGCTGTCCAAATTTCCAACGATTTAAAGGAAAGGAAAGTTGAGCCAACTGTGGCAACGACGATGCAGATAGAAACGACATCGTTAACAACGACAACAAAACCTTTAGAACACCATCTTCCGGCGGGGGTGAGCAGTCTGTACCTAGGTGGACTGATAGCAATCTTTGTAGTCTCTGCTCTCTTACATCCAAGAGAAGTTACCTGCTTGTTTCATGGAATTTGGTACTTCCTCTGCCTTCCATCTGGCTACCTTCTACTGACAGTTTACGCTATCTGCAATCTAACTGACAGTTCTTGGGGTATGTTGTCTTTTTCTTTTGATCATCACCTGAATTGTTAATAGGCGTACTTTTCTAGAAGACTTTCGTGTATATGAAAGCGGGAAATTTCCCTTGTGAACCAGTGAAGTTCATGCATGTTTCAGGCTTTTAACGAATTAACAAAGTCTCTTATGAAGGCTGTTTTCTGAAACAGTCAGGATCGAATTCCTAAGCCCAAACGTACTTATCTGCAATTAAGCTTTATAGACTCGTGGTTGCTGTGCACTACATTGCAAGGGCTTGGGAGAAGCCAGGCTTAACAATGGAAACAAGATAAGATATAAGATAGGTGCCCTTTAACGAACCGTTTTCTCTGAATACACAATCTCGATGCTTCCCCTTTAGTGAGAAATGATTGATACACTGGTAAAAAACAAAAAAAGGTTCCCACATCTACTTGACGCCAATTTGCTGCGCTTCATTGTGAGAATTTTGTTAGTTTTAAATTATAGCAATTTCCAAATAAGCTCGAGCATTTTGTACCCCTTCCACTTCATCGAACCTCCACAAAACTAAATTAGTTGAGAGGTGGAGATCTGTTTGAGAATGTTTATCTATTCACTCGTTTTTCATCTTGACCAAGCTTTGTTAAGTGTTATATTTGTTTGGTTAGGAACAAGAGAAGAAAGCTCAGGAAAGAAAAGCAGCCAAAATTCATTATGGGAGTATTACTTATGTTGTCATTGGACCAGATCAGATAGGGGTGGAGATGAGAGGAGGAAACTCTCAGATTCCAAGGTAAGCCGTGCGAACTAACTTTACAATGACATAAACACAAAAGAAACACGTAAGGGAGGACTTTGATCGACTATGGGCAATTGCAACTTTTTATGTGGATAATTGAAAGAACACTTTATTCGTGTTATCAGGCTTCTTCCTTCTATTTGTTATTTGGCTTATTTAACATTACATGGCAGATTTTATTAAGCAAAGAAAGGACACTTGAAATATAAAGAAAGTCGCAAAACTTCCATGCGTGTTATATTTTAAACCATCGAATAAGCTATACATCGTCATCGTGAAAATAATAAATGGTGACGATTCGGGATGAATTTTTAGGAACCAGGACCATCAGGTCTTAACACGAACACAGGGTCGGCAGAAAAAGAAAACAATGAGGGAAATGCGAAAACCAGGTCTGTGGAAGAAGTACTCAGCAGTGAGGCCAAAGGTGAACTCGACGTAACCCACTCAACAGGTAAAACAAGATGTTCTTTTCGTCTTTAGAATAAATAGATTAAATAAAACTTCTGTCGTCAAGCTTAAAAATGTTAACTCAAAGGAAATCGATGCAAGGTTAGATAATCACAGCCTTCTTTGTGATAACCAAAATTTTGGTTTAAAAGGTCAGTGCTGAAGTATTCTGTATTGAGGCTGACGGCAAAAATAATCGACAAACTGAAAGGCCAAGTCATTGCAGGATAGTATGAACTATAATTACACTTTTTTGTTTACCAAAAGTCAAAAGTGAACTATAATGACATGTAACCTTGATCGTTTTGTTAAAGCTGAACAGTTTTATAGTGATCTCTAGAAGATGAAAAAAAAAAGATTTATAGTTTCAGGAACGATACAGGTTAACAACAGGGGTGGCGGTTCTTATCAATAATATCGTAAATTTTGTTACAAGCCAACCTTTCTTCATAGTTAAAATTATATCACTATTTCCTACACCATCAACTTCAATAATTTACAAAAATAAATTCTTTGAACTCTTGAAGCGATGAACCTTTCAGAGTCGAATGACGAACACATACCCAGTGAGCAGTTGGGAGATTTCTTAGGTGAAATAAAACTTGAGGTACAAAATCTTAAATTAGTTGAAATAATGCTAAATTAATTATATATCTTCATACAATACAAATTACCTTATGCACAATGAACCTTACACAAATCATGCAGATATATGATAATATTTAATAACGTGAACTGAAAAGGACTCCAAAATTCGCAAGAATGATACGTATAAAGGCGAGTACAAGTCAAAACTGACTGAACATAGGAGCAAACTCTACAATCAGAGCTTGGCGAGAATTGTAAAACTTACAGCTTAAACGATTAAGATGATTTTTCCGATTCGTTACCCTTATGTTGAAGCAAGAAAAAATAGGGGAACAGAAAGGGAAATTTGAGCGTTGGTTCTGATGAGTCATTTCTCTCAAACTGTTTTTAACTAAGGGGTGGAAAGGTCGTAGTTTTTCTCCTTGTTTCAAATTTTGTGGACTGTCTCTAGACAAATACCGTGATTGGCGTGTTATCGGCGTGGTATCGTCTTTTCAAATTTTTTTAAATTCAATTTTTTTAGTTGATTATGATTTTGATTTTAGTATCTGATTGATGGGCTTTTCTCTTCTTAGAAATATTACCAAAGTTTCTTTGACAGTGGATATGAATTTATAGACGACTTGGTCGGAATAAAGGAGGAAGTAAGTTTGACTTTGGTATAGTTGAGCGGAAGAGGCACTTGTAATGTAAAAAGATACACACATTCCAACGCATGTATCAATTACTTATTTGGAAAAGGTTTTAAGAAACTATAAAATCATGCAGACTAGCATTAAAAAGGGTTGAATTTTTTCTTTTTTCAAAAGATTATTTGAATTTTTTCTTTTTTCAAAAGATTATTTGAATTTTTTCTTTTTTCAAAAGATTATCCAAATGATATTCATACATATACTAAAGCAGTGGATATCGTATGAAGGAGCGCTTTCATTGGCCACTCAAACTCCGAATATCCTTCTCTTTTCACATCCGAACAACCCGTGGCATTTGCACCCCAAAATATTGTAATCGCTGCAGGAATAAATGAGTTAAAATCATTTGTTTGTGCTAATAAAAAAAAATCCATACATTTATCTTTGATCTGCTAGGATCTTGAGCAGATCGGAATCAATGAAGAGGATCATTCAAAGCTCATGGAGTATATCAAGAGGATTCCTCAAGATGATTCAAAGCAAGAAATACCAGTAAGTTTACTAAACGAATCATAATTCAGGAAGCCAAGATGTCTTGCCAGAATCGTGGTCGACGTTTTGGCCTCTTCGAAGGCAGTTTGCAAACGGTTGGATTACCTTTGAAACCCATGAGGTGGTCATCATCACCAGTTAACCCAATGACTTCTTTGGAGTGCAAAAACGAGCCATGGTGAAAAGCTGAAATTTCACAGCTGTCATTATGCTACGGACTGTTTATTGAGAAAACCATTCTTATTGTATTGGAAAACCAAGGATTTCATTAACGCAATATCTTACAGTTTAAACAATAGCGTTTTAAAAACAATGCTTTTTTTAAGATTCCAGAATTCACATATATCTGAAAATCTGCTTTTGCATTCTTGTTCCAACTGCCAATAAGGGAAGAAACAAAATCGATAAAGATACTAACTACAACGAATGCCCAATGGTGAATGCTGATGTTCCTTGATTAACCTTTGTTATCAGGAAAACATTAAAGGCTGGTTGATAAAGCACCATCTCGAAGATTATCATTCCAAATTCGGTGAGAAATTTAAGCATCTATGGCAACTTCAAAAGTTGAAAAACGAGCCCAAAAAGGATTTCAAGGAATCCGCAAGGAAAAATTTTGGAATCGAAAAACCGGGCCATTTTAAAAGGCTGGTTAAGGCTGTTTGCAGTTTACAGGTGAAAGGTAAGCAAAGTTTAAATCATTGCAACGTAGTACTCTAATATTCTGCATGATGCGGTTGTTTGCCAGGACCTTTTCATTATCCTTGTTTGACGTAGCGATGGTATTAGAGTTGCACTTGTGATGATTCATAGGAAAATCTATTCGTGCTTCGTAAGCATTGTACTTATTAACTGATTAAATAATTAGTTCAACAACCTACCACCACCCATTTGGGAAAGGTATTGTTATTTCGGAGATTTCTTTGTCTGAAATGTTTGCAAGCCGACCAGCAGCGGTCAATCTAAGGTTGCATTCCTTTGAAATGATCCAGCTCAGGTTTCTTTATCAGAGAACACTCGGATCATGATGCACAGAAAAACGTTGTTCGATTGCGTAGTATCAATAAACATATCAATAATCAGCGTAAACTTTTAGCGTGCGTGAGAGCGGAGTGCAAAGTTTCAGAACGGAAATATCATGGCCACTGAGTGTAGCGCAGTTGTTTTTCGTTAATAGAAAAAATTATCCATGATTGAACTTCAGTTAAAGCGAGCAGTCCCAAGAAGGCTACAGCAACTGAGCGGATAGAACCAGCCGTTTCTGAAAAAGACCACAAATTACTGTTTGAGGAGAAATTACGAACGAGAGAGAATTGCCAGACTCATAAAGTATTAATGTTTGGAGGGACAACTTCCCTAACATTCCACCGTTCTCATTCGGCGTCCGCATGCAGCCTTGCCTCAGCTGTACTGATGTCATCATTTTTTACTCTTTTTTTAATTATCACTATTTCTTCTTGCTGATTCGTAGCGAGGGCTAACTGTAATTTGCACAATGAAACAAAAAGAATCGTCGTTTGCGAGCTGAATTCAAAGTCTGTAATTTACGAGAAACCTTTGCTTATTTTAATTACCACGACTGTTTCATTTAGTTACCGACGAGAGCAACTTTGCTCTTGGCCCCGTTCTCGAGCCTTAATTTCGACACTAGACCTTAGACTCGTGAGAACTTGGAAACGGCTATTACACCCAGTTTTGATCATCACATATGGCAAGGTTTTGGTAATTTGGTGTGTACAAACCACTTCTTCACCTTTTCTGATAAATTTCCATGAACATAATACTGGTAGAAACAGGGCTAAGAAGTTTGTGGCAACAACTGTAACGTCCGAATTTATTTCGACGCCGTCTTTTTCTTTTAGTCTAAGCTGCCTCCCCACGTTACGTTATGGTTCAATCAATATTTTGCTTACTTCGTCCGCTCTCGTCCAAGTAGACTGATTTGTAATAACCCAGTATTCTTGTTTCATTTTCAGGACACGTACAGATGACAATCCTCAGCACGGAGCATACACTGAATAGTGTTCTGCCTGTCAAGCGTGATAGCAAGGACTATCCTGAAGACGAAATAACCTTCTGGAAAGAATTACTTGAAGAAGGATTTCTTTCTCCGCATAACACAGCTTTAGCGTTCACGTCTTCTCCCGAAGAAAACCTCCGGAAGCTTAGAACAACAGCGCTGTGGGTATTCAGTGTCAGCAACATGTTTTGGATGGTACTTATACTGACGCTGGTAGAAAAGAGAGACCTCAAGATTTTAGGGCTCGATGTCATCGCACTTAGCTTCCTAATCACCTATGGGGGGATAATCTTTGCCCAGTTTTTAGCCCTTTTGTGCCATCGTGTGAAAACAATAATGCATATTTTGGCACGCACGCCATGGATTTTGCCTATAAAGAACGAGACAGAAAAAAATGAAAGAATGAATGAAAAAAGCGTTTTGCAAAGCAGAAAACATAGGAAATTGCATCCTTTTTCCTATGCTTAAGTTCTTGTATTGTTGGTCAGTTATTCAACTCGTCCAATTTCTTTTAATCATTATTATTTCATTCTCTTAAGACCCTGATAACATCTGTCTAAATTGTTGTCAGTTTAGAGACATAAATTTCCTTTAATTTGGTTTAATTCTAGATTGTTAAGGAAAATGTCGAAAAGTTTTTAATTTAATTTCAAATTCAAAAACGCGTGAACTCTTTGATTTGATTCTGACAGGTGAATACTGTATCGACCAATCATGATACAGATCAGGAAACGCCAACACCATTACACCAATCAAAACCATTACTTCATTATTTACTGCTGTTGTTTGCGGTTTTGATCTGTAACGCATTATTGGCTATTTCCTCGTAACTTAGCATCATTCAGAGATAATTTCTGAGTTCAAAGACTTACTGCAAGTCTCTGAGTTTTTTCTTGATATCTAATCACTGCAAAAAGTGAACACGAACATAGAGTTTTTGTTAGTAGTGTTGATATTAGTATAAGCACCCACAATGTAATAAGTGTGATTCGTTTTCCCAGTCATCCTATTTTGCTATTTTCTCTGTCAGTGTATTGATTATCTGAACAACAGCAAAGAAAATTATCTTTGTGCCAGAATTTCGTAATTAAAAAATAGTTCTAGAGAGATTAATGACCAATGATTGGCCAAAATCCTGACTTTGAAAAGAATTTATCGGCCGTGAACTTGGCTGTACTAATGCCGTATGCCACCTTATCTTTTAAACCGACTTCTCGAGTCTTGCATATTTTCCAGCAAGGGATTTTTTCCGTTTAAGATGTAGCAAGAGTGGTTGTCTACTTTTTTCGTATCGCTGATAAAAATATGAAATTCAACGTAGAAACTGCGGAACTTTTGCTAAGGTCAGCAAAGTGTAAGTGCTTCGCTTACCAGTTGTTATTCAACTAGACGTATACATTCGTTGTTTGATCATTAATTAGTGTCATACTGTAACCGTCACTTATCCTGGTCTTTTCTTTTAGTTGTTTTCAATACCTACGTCGTTTTGAATGTGATCAATCTGAAAAGCGCAATTCTTTCGTAGTCAATCGTTCTCACTCAGTTGGAATGTATTAGATAATCCATAACATTAATTATCTAATCCTTTAGCGTTGTAGTTCAGGCTTAAATAGGACTACATCGTAAAGCTTTTGTTGAAAACACCAGGGACACATTAAGGCTACATCTGGCTGCATATTGGTTACATGACTGTATTAAAAATAACGTTGAAGCCAAGTCTTTGTGGACCATACTGTCTCAAAGATATTCAACAGCCCTAATAGATTCTGACCTTCGCGCAAACAGCGAGTGGCTGTTCCTCCAGTAAGAGCCTTTGCAAAGAGTACATTACTGAGTTTTTCCTCTGTCCTCTCATTTATATGAGAAGGCAAAACTTGTTTTCACAAAGAGCATCTAATCCTAAAAATCCGTACAAAGATGTTATTTTTCTTCCTCCATCGAAATGACTGTCAATCGTATAGTCCAATTGTTCGGTTGAGATTAGTCCTAACAATTTTTTTCTTTCTTTCGGATGTTGCTAGCGCCCATTGGTTCACGCTTTTTCTATTCGAGGCAAGAAAATCTCATGAATTTTTATTTCCATCCCAGAACTTGTATGATGTTTGCCAGAAGTTAAAGAGTGTCGAAAAATTGAGTTATAAATAGTTGAAAGTGATGATCTATAGCTATTCAGTGATACTCATTGTTCTCTGGAAATTTACTCCCAGTGATTTTACATGTCTTTCCCTGGTACAGCGCAAATTAGTATTCTCAGCTTCAGAACCAACTCGTTTCCACCCGAAGTCCCTACTGCTGTTCCTGGTCCCCCCCCCATTTTGCTCTATCTTACAAATTGCACGCATGTCAATTTTCAATACACTTCGGCTATTTTATTTCACACATTTTACGCAAGAGATTATATGTAAGTACCTCGCGTCAAAAAGCGCATAAAATTTTGTACAAACCCTCTGAAACAAGTGAATAAGCGAACGATAGGGAGTCGCAAAAATTAAAAAAAAGACAACAACAACAAAAACAAAAAAATCATCAACAGCAACAACAACTAAAGGGGGATTAATGAAAAAATATAAATCATTTTTTTCTAATACTTGTGTGAACAAATGGCCGGCAAAAAACAGTTTAAGTGTTAATTGGATTTCACAAAACCTTTTTAAATTCAATGAATTGAAAATCAAACAAATCCTAAATTAAAAGAGGTGCGAAATTTTTGAGAGGAGGATCAGCAAATAATTTATCTTAATCACCGCAAGCGCACTGCCGGCTAAAGGAGATTACGGAAAAGAGCCTACATTTGTAAAGTAGTTCAGGAACGCAGCCCAGCTAATCGTTCGGTGGTCAGAATCTGGTAAAAATAAAGCGAAAAAAGCCATTGTGCATAAATAGTTAATGATTCAACAATTCACATGAAATACATGAATTTTAGCTGGTAAAAAAGTGTCCTACAGGGACCACAACAAAAATAAACCTAAAATAGATTTTTAAAAAAAGCTCGTCTGTTACCTTATTCTAGGTGAAACATCACTACACAATTCGCTTTGACGGGAGACCGATACCAGTTTCTGTTTTGTATCATTGTCGATTTTCTCTACGAATCTTAATAAAAGTGTAATTAAATTTCTCATATTTCATTCGAAATCACAAGCTGGGTCATGCATCATTCTAATTGGCAAAATTTATTTCTCAGCATGAAATCTATGCAAGAAGGGCTGGCAGAATATTATATTACAACGTATCAATTTATCGTCCTGACTTCGGCTTTGATGGTTATGGGAGAGTTTTAATGTACTCACACAATATTTTCGCAAGAAAGAGGCTATGTACTAGTTTTGCCGTGAAACACGTGCCTTTTGGAGAGCGGAGAGATCTTGTTTACAATAGAAATCGCGAATATTGAATTCAGCGAACTGTTTGCTGCCACAAACGAGGTGAGCCGCATCAATCACCCACCTTTCGCAGTTCAAAACAGAAGCAATGAAATTATCATTGCCAGCAGCTTTAGCAGTCCTTGCAATCCTGCGAGAAGGTACGTCAGAGGTTAAAGTTATTCATCAATAACTCCATGAACGTTTTATGTCGTACGAACTACTTTGAAGACAGTAATATTTACCATTTCCTCCTCGGTAAAGGAAAAACTTTACATCTACCTATCTCTTAATTATAAATATTTACCCTTTTAAAAGAAAATTCAAGAGGTTATCTTTTTGTGGTTCGTGCAGCGTAATAGGCTGGCTTGGAAATAGCTAGGATTCTGCTCATTTCTATCAAGGCTTTTCCCGGAAATCATCTGAATCGCGTGATTCTTAATTGTTTCATTTCACGATTTCGATTATCTTTAGTTTGTGGAAATAAGGATGGAACTGAATGCGAACAAAGGACAGAAGATGGCAAATGTTGTGTGTTTCCATTCACATTTATGGGTGAAAAGATGCATTTTTGTATCAGTGGGGGACCCTCCGAAGATGACTGGTGTGCGACTACAGATGACTTTGACCGGGACGGAGAATGGGGTCGCTGTACGGGTAACTAACTTCACTTTTAACTAAGCAGGGATGAATGTGGAAAAGCAGCCATGATAGTAACACTGTGAGAAATATTGATTAGAAAAGTTCCTATTGGCGTCAAACCTCCTTTTCATCGTAACATGTGGAAATGTAATCAAGTTCCAAGTGGTAATGTAATCAATTTGCTGTCGAGGTTCGCGTACCATTAAATTGCACATAATTTGAAATGCTTTTTATTTTCAAACGCTTTTTCATACAATGAACCTTCTCCTCTTCAGTGGAATCGCTTTTTCAAGCTCTAGAAAAACCCCAGGAATATTACTTTTTTTAACTTTGTAAACACATATTCGCCAAATGCTTTAAAACGCAAATTAAAAAAGTTATTGGTTAAGGACAGCTCCCGTTTAGAAACTTAAAGTTTGTATTTTTTACCATTTCTCCCCTGGGAGATAGAGAGTGTTCAGCAACTAGGTATCTTAACTTTACCTTCTCGATCTGTTATGATGATCAAATGATTCATTTTTTTTTTTTTACAAATATATAGGAGTAAAATGTTACATTTGCTCCAGTGATGTCTCCTGGTCGGACTGTGAAAACCAGCAGCAAGCCCACAACTGTCCGTATATGCACGATCAGTGTCTGACACTCAGCAAGGAGGCAGGAGTCACTAACACAAGCCTGCTCTTCCTAAAGAGATGCACATCTAACACTCAATGTACAGCGTATAATCCAACTTGCGATCGTCCCGATGTTCTAAAGTGCGACTTCAGCTGCTGCATGGGAGATTTTTGTAACGCTGCCTCGCTGCCTTGTTCGGCGGTTGGTAGTTTTGTTCATATGGCTGCGTGGATTTTTTACATGTATGGCTGATTGTCTGTGGTTATATGGCGTCAAATTCATGACTGTTAGGGTTGAAAAACAATTCCACTAGTCCCTTCTTTATCGCATCTAAGTTTGAAAATTTAGAATCATATTTAGCGCCGGAAAAAAACTACCTCCAGATTGAAGGTTGCCAACTATTGGTTTAATACGATAGAAAAACAAAAGAGAGGTAACACAAAGATGGACCGAAGAGGACTGAGGATGGAGAAGATTAAAACGGATTGCAACTGATGAAATTGAAAGACTAAGGCTGACCTCTTCAAGTTACATTAATCATGATGTAAATTTACACGTAGCTTCAAATTGCCATATAATGTTGTGTGTTCGAGAGAATTGAATCAAGGACAATAATTCTCAACATGGTAAGAACTGTTTAATTGAGGTGGACCATCTCAATTTCTCATTAACTGGCCATACATTTTAGGCCACTGGTGTCTCCAAATTCTTTTCCTGCCAAATACAATTATGCAGCAGGAGAATTACTGTTTTTTTAGCTAATTAAGAAATTGACAATCTTAAATCTTTGTACATAAATTTTCATTGAGAAATCATGGACGAGATGGTAATATTCTATCACTACAGTTGTAAATGAAAGGTGTCATCTCCCTCCTCTAACGACAACAGGCTCAGGATCATGAACGAAGCTTGCATCCATTCTACCTCTATCATCTGTTATACAAAAAATAACAACAAAAATGTCATTATTTAAATCAGGGCAACAATAATTTTTTTTGATGAACACTTGAAATTGAGCAGTGGATATCTATTAAGTAAGTTCATGAATTAAGTTACCAGGGGTGAAGGCAACTGAATTTCTTCCTCAATGAATAACATCCTTACTGATTTTGAGGATGACATCTTTGGCCAAGATATCAGGTAATGCTGTTAAACTGCAACTACTATTGATAAAATATCATGTGAACTCAGGAGTAGTCTGTGAGCCCACTGACCCTCATAACTGGAATGAGTTAGGCCAAGGCTTATTTGACAACAACTCCTGAAATGCAGGTGTGACTAAACCAAAATGATGCCACTTCACATGACTTGAAGATTGTAGTGTTCCATACAAGGAAATTTCACTTTTTTAAAAAAGAGAAATCATATTCTTTACCTCTACCTCCCAAAAGACCTGAGCCTTCCGCATTTCTTCTTGATCGCTGATCTATTCAAAATAATGAATTAAAAGCAAAACAGTGACATAAAAAGACCATATGTTAATACAAGAGGCAAATGCATAGTTTCATTTGGCTCAATGCCTTGAAAGAAAAATTGGCAAAGATGTTCAAGTACTCAAGATTCTGTTTTGAGAATATTGAGAAACTGGTGGTTTTAACTTGGACAAAACAGTTATCAGTGGCAATTTGCCCCTTCATCTCCTATTTATCTTTTCACTTTCTGTTGAGTTAAGTTTCCTTCTTGGTCTCATCTGTTCTGTTCCAAGCTCAGCTGCAGTCATTATTTGATGACCATTCCCTCCCTAGCTTCTTTTTTGTGCACCCTTCAGTCTCATTACAACTTATAAACTTCTTTTTTTGGTAGTCATGTAAAAAGGTAAGCATCACAGATCAACATCTTCCTATATCAAGACTTTACTTGGGAAATGTTGTCTTGCAGCACTCTTTTTATGTTCATGTAATTAAGACACAATCGCAGTTTTTGAAAAACCTTGAGCTTCCAGGGTGTTTTTCCCTTCAAATGTGGGAAGAGTATGGAGAGCATCCTGGGAAAAATTGTTTACCTTGAAAAAGCCTCTATATTTTTCCACAGTGTACAAGTAGTTAGACTTTTGTTTGAATTTACTGATAAATTTCCAAATTTTGATCTTACAAACAAACCTCTTGTATGAGATCTCAACATGGGCTCTTGTCTTGCACCTGTAAATTGTCTCCCTTCATTATGGCTTCCTTGAAGAAAATGAGCTAAAATCCCATACAAGAGTGGCCTAAGAGTAAACATGTATTTATCAGCTGTACATCTTCCTGATGATCATTAAGTCGGATTAGAACAATCAAAAGAATTTTTAAGGTTCCCAAATCAAAATAATCTCTGTATGGTATAGTACTCCTGCTTCTGTAATAATAGAATACATAGATGAGGTAAATCCTTTAAACTGCATTTAAATAACATGGATGTATGACTCACTGATTAGGAACAGTAAACATAATTATATTTATCGTATATGTTGTGGTTCAATTTTATCCTTGGTTCGAGTTATGTTTTCTTTTGTTTTTGGGTATTGTAATATATGATAATGAGTTTGAAACAAAGGAAAAAAATTTGAACCAAGGATAAAATAGAATCACAACATATACATTCATCATGTGGTAAATGATCAAACAATCATGTTAAATTCTGTAATCCTTTACCTAATTGCAGCTGCCTTAAAAGGATCATTTCTTTGCTTGAATCCTCCAGGTCAAAATGTAAATAAATTGATTAAAACTGTGAAATGTTCATTAATTACATGGTTGGTGACTCCTCCTCCTCCTTAATGTTTAGTTCTTGTACTAGAAATCTTCTGTCCATGGGCTCTTTGGGTTGACCTGATTCTGTTATTCATCAAGACAGCAAAATATTAGAAAAATATAGTGGCTTGTTACTGGAACACAGCTCAGGTTGAAATATAAAGCTAATATAACAGATTTACATAGGATATCAGATGTGGTGGCCTTACAGTTAGTGCATTCATGACTTTGGTCAGGAAGTTTGCATTTGAGACCTAAACAAGTCATTGTGTTGTGTTCTTTGGCAAAACTGTCGGGGCAGCCTACTGAAATGCTGGAGGGAGGTGGAGGCATAGTAATGGGTTGGTATCTCATCCAGGTGGAGTATCAATACTTCTACTTTAGTTGCTTCTTGCTACATAAAGCAGGGCAATGTACAATACCTGCTTGGAGCACTGACTCTGTGTATTTGTATTTGTTGAAAGTCAAGTATTCCCTTATCAGTTCATTGATCAACAGGTTCTCATTGGATAGGGCAGGTCTTGGTTCAGTCTGAAAATCAACAATTGAAAGTTCAAAGTAGTTTTTTAACCCCTACTGAACTTAATGTAAGCTATCGCTATGTTTCGTTCCGTTATGAAAAAATATAGTTGAATAAGCGTATTGCAGGACCTGAACAATCGATGAAAATTATTCAATGATCAGAAATCAATCGATCAATCGATAGCAAACGATTACAGTTGGTTAAAAGGCATCGGTCAATCGACAACGTAACGATATTCACACAAAAGTATACGTGAACTTCAGCACTGGTCATCGATAAGCGTTCAAGATAAATCCCTCTATCAGATCTTGTGAGTGTACGCAAAGCCAATACTGCAATAGTATTTTTATGTTTAGTGGCAATACTCGAAGAGAAAATTGTATATCGTTATGGTTCCCCAACAAAAATACTGTGTAGGACAAGTGCAGGTAAACATGTACAGCTGTGGCATATATGAAAACGTTAACCCGCAAACAAGCATCAGTTCAAAATGAATTATAAACATGAACACATGCAAAGTTGTATGTCTTCATCTATGAACAGTTTGAGAGCAGCTAAAGATATAGAACAGTGAAAATGAACACAGAAGCACGTAAGCTTAGCTTCCAGGTCAACTAACTTGATCGTCAAGGGCGCTAAACACCTCAGCACGAACTCGAGCTCGAATTTGACCAAGTACACCTCTATTTTCCAATGTTTCTTTTAACACTGAAAGAAATAATAGATATATCAAGACATATGCCGTTATCTGATAACTAAGTAAGTTACATGGAATGAGATCCTGACTAAAACGTACCACTTTTGAGCTCGTTTACTGTCGCCATTTTGAAAATGGCGGTTGTGCGGTCGTTTGCATTTCAGCTGAGTACCTGCGGGCTCATAACTAGCAATCTGTCGAGCAGATTTAGATGCAGGAGGGGTGAGAGAGTTCGAAATTCCATAGCGCAGCAATCCTTATTTTGATCCGCTACAATGCTTTTATGTTATTTATTTAGCTCCAAAGTATATAGAAGAACGATTAAGGAGCTGCTTTATTCCGTTTTTAATCAATGATTTACCCGAAAGAAACGAGTTTATATTTGATACTAACCCTACCCTGTAGCTCAAATAGATTGGTCAAAAGAAAGTCTCTCACAAATGTGCTTGTTTTCATAGTATACTGAACGTTCAGCGCCATGAATCCTATAGCGGTGGATCCAAACAATCCCGGAAGAATTTCTCTGGCTTATCGAGACCTCACTGAACTGCCTGCAGATTGGGATGGAAAATTTGACGACATAACTGTTCTGGATTTAAGCCATAATAATTTGACGTATCCTTTGTAATGTTTGCATTTGAGGGTTTAATCCCAAAGGTAGATAACGGAGTTGTTTACTTCAGTGAAAGCTCTTAATCATAAATATTTTTAAATACCGCGGAACATTGCTTGTGATAACACATAGAGCGTAAAGTTATGGTATTCTTTAAAAAGTAAAATGGGGATTTGCCATTTCAGTTTCATTCAAATGAATGAAACGTCTTTCCATAGAAAGGAACAGTTGAATTTTATCGTTTTGGTAACATGCACTCATGGTATATCTTCTTGATCTCTCGTCTACCATGTAAGAATTATTTCTGTAAAAGTAAGAGAATTATGGTGTTATGGAAAGTAACAGGATAGGTTGATATTCTTCACGTTGGGTTGAAACTAGCTTAAGCCATCAAAATTCAGCCAGTTAGGAAATTCTATTTACTAAAGGATTCACTCATTCAGATGCCTAATTAACCCCTCAACTCACAAAAGTGATTAACATATAACTTCTCCCTAGATTATCCATACATTACCCAGCAAACAGCTAGTGAGAATACGCAAGTTTATGAGGTAGAAGTTGTCATCTTGATCTAACACCAAATTCTTGTAACTAATTCACAAGGAAATGTGTAGCAGCTAGAGTGAAGAAGTAACAATCAGATCTTGGAAGTTAAGGGTTATATAATTAATATCTTAGTGATAGCTAGACACCTTGAGTGGAGGAGAATGTTAAAACTAAAAGATGCTCTGGGATTAATGCTAAGATCATAAGGTTGGAGTCAAAAGTTTTTCCTTGACCAAAACAAGTGACTTTCAATTTTTACAGGATTTCCCGTATCTCAACACATTAATTCTGGACAATAATAACCTAACAAATCATGTGAAATTTCCACGCATGAAGTCACTTCACACACTGTGGGTAAACCAGAATAGAATTACAAATCTGAGTTCTTTTATTGAGACTGTAGCAAAATGCTTCCCCAATTTGAAGTACTTTAGCATGATGAACAATGAGGCTGCCCCAAGTTATTTTAATGGAGGAACCTACCAGCAGTACAAGGATTACAGGTATGGAGCTTGTTAGTCTGATCTGGATGAGCTAATGTTTAGGTTCAATAACCTGACAAGCCTTAACATAACATAGTGCCTAAAATTAGGAGTGGTGGTACTCTTCACCATAATGGCTACACACCCCCTAGAAGAAGTTTGTCAAGTTCCTAAAAGTTTGGAGGTACCCATTCACACTTCTTGTGGAAGACACTGTGAGTGTTCAATTTCTTTTAAAAGACAATTACAGGTTGAGTAAAGTTCAAACTGGGACTTCTTTATCTTGAGTTTACTTGCTTGTCTAAATGGGAATTAATAAATGGGAATTTAGCAATGGACATTTCACTGGGTGGCTTTTTTCGTCTACTGTTTCCAGTCAAATTGGAATGAATGGAGTGTTGGTTTTTGTGGAGGGAGAAAAAACAGAGGACTTGGAGAAAAAGCCTTGGAGCATTGACATAAAAACCAATAACAAACTCTACTCCTATATGATGCCAGGTCCAGGAGGCAAGTGCTCTCAGCACTGCGCCATGCTTTCTCCTCTCCATATTGGAGAATATATATATGTATATATATATATATATATATATATATGTTCCTTCCACAGCAATCAGTTAAGCAGGGGATCAAAAAAGGCCCAATGTGTTCTAACCATGATTATGCTTTCAGATGTTATGTTATAAGTCATCTTCCAAGTTTACTGGTTCTTGATGACCATGCCATTGATGCAGATGAGAGAGAAGAGGCTTGTAAAGTATATGGCAATAGAAGAGTTTCTGTAAGCTCAAAGAAAGTTAGTAAAAAACACAAAGAAAAGGTAAGTAATTTAGCAATATCTCCTTGCTTACAAATGACTGTATTTCCCCTGTTTACAAGGAAGTAGGTGTTTTCTTCAAGTTTTTACCCTTTCAGTGGCAGGAACAAAATCTCAGTTCTCTGCCCTGTCAGCCACACATTTAAAATGATCTTTGCCTTGTGAATTTGTAGTCAAATCAAACAATATCCCTTCAGTGGTATTTTATCTTACTTCTTGTCTGTTCTGCTAAAAAATGCATTGAGATAGTTTAAAGAAAATCCTGTTTGGTTACTCTTGAGAATGAAAGGGTCGAAGCAGGTGGATAAAGTAAAGAGATGGTGCTGTTCAGTTCAAAAGTTAATGTGTACACAGAATTTACAACAAAATTCGAAAGCAACTGAGCAATTATGCTAAAACATTATTCACTTCAGCCTCAGTGAACATTGTTAACTAATCCCCTTGACTTTTTCTCTGGGATTTAATTTAACAATATTCACATTGTCTATGGTGAGTAATTAATAGATAACACCAAATTCCCTTGTCTAATTTACAAGTAACTGTATGGCCAGCAGTAGGGAGAAACACTAATTGGATCTTGGGATTTAAAGGGTTAAGGAATCATGAAACAATAATTTATAGAATGCTAATGTGTACTTATGATTTTGTCTTCTCTTCCAGAAAAAGAAAGATGTGGAATAACATTTGCATTTGGCTTGATTATTACTTCTAGAACACCTTAAAAGTAATTTACCTGCTTTCTTATACAATGTTCGATTGGAGTGTATGGCTTATGAGATGTGGGTAAACAAATTTATGCACCAAATCAATGGATAGGAACTGGAATGTCCTAATAAACTGTTATTTTTTGATTGAAGAAAAAAAATAGAGTAAGTGCAATTTTTTTGTTAAATTTTCATACTGACTATTTCCAAAGGAAATCTGTATTTTATAGACAAATATATTTATAGTAGCTAAGGATAGAAAAGATATATGATAGAGAAAACATATTAGAGTAGTAGCCATATAAATAAAATCTACTGTTTATTGAAGGTTTTCTGGGTTCTATGGGGAAGGGTTTTTTAGTGGCCCAGAGTAAAACAAGATTGCAAAATGCATTACAATATATATGTGCTATTTTTTTGTTGATGGCTTCAGTATTCCAACAAAACATAGTGACACAAATAACATAATATGATTTGCAGGAGCAGATTTTTAATTTCGGAGGGGGAGGGGAGGGACCATGAAACCTCATTTTGCAATCAAGCACCTTGAAATAAAATTGGCCAAGTCTGTTTACTCAAGCCAAAAAGTGTGGTGAAAAATTCTCCCTTGATTTTGTAATTAGAACCTCCTGGAATGGAAGGGTGTTGTGATTGTTTTTTTTGTTGTCTTTTGCTTCCTAGTCTCTTGCATATTTTTTGTTTCCTTATCTTTCCTAGATTTTAATGTTACTCTTAGTGAAGAGAGAACACAAAACACAAAAGAACCATGATGAATTGTATTGAAATAAATCCTTGTGAAAAAAAAATTTGAGAAAAGTTATAGAAAATTTTACCTTTACTTGTGAAAGACCAGGTCAGACCCATTTGGATAGTCTCCACCTGAAACTTACATCCAGTTTCCTGCACAAAATTGTAAAATGTTTTGTAATATAAATACACTTCGTATCAGCTCACAACTTGGTATTGGTTTGTGGCAAATTTAATCCTTTTGGTAGTATCAATACAAGAGACATTAAGGAAAGTTTCCCATTTTATCCCCTTCTGGGAACAGAATACCTATTTCTGCGATTGCTGGTCACTGCCATTCCTATTTTTGTGTTTTCTGAGTGTCCTTTCTCTCTTGACACCCTAACCTACCCCTGCTAAACTTTGAAAGAGTAATCCACCCAACAAAGTGACTGGGATTTAAAATCACATGCTCAAGATTGTAAGTCCTTGATTGACTAGAGGCCAGCAGGAATTTTTATTATGGAAACTACCTAAACATGGAAATGAAGATACAATTAAAGCACATCAAATTCTCTCATAAAAGTTCCTTTATTTTCAGTTTCATGTTTAAATTAATATATAGTTTAGGCCACAAACCAGTGACAGAAAGACTGGCTTATTTATTCATTATTTATTCAATTTATTTATTCAAGGTAAGTAAACACTTGCTTTAGTTTCACCCAGCTCCAACCACTGTGGTTCAGAGAAGCTACGCTTTATTCAACATTATTCTAATTGCCTTGGAGAGTTGTCTTCACTTGGAAAATAAGGCCTAGAAATAAGTTATCCAATATGAAAGTTCACAACTTGGGTAATCTTAAACCCTTGATAAAGTGACTTGTCAGGGTTCCAAACTGTCGAAAAAAGGTGAGGAAAAAATTAAACACCGAAACCGAAAAAGGATGCCAGTTGAGGATGGGAAATACATAAACTGCATGCAAATGAGAAACTTTATTTATTGAGATGACCACATCGTAACGAAGGCTCTGGTGAAAAAAAGGGAAAAAGGAAAAAAAGAGTACAGTGAAAGTGTGGTTACGCACAGGCGTCTAACGGACTTGTCCTGAGAAAGCTTAGTTTGAAATGTTTGGGTTCTTATTGATTTACTTTAACATAGACAGGCAGTAATGTTATTCCGTGGGTGATTACACATTGTAGTTCTCTATACAGAATATTTGTATTCTGTCCCATCAGCCATAAGCAGAATAACATTTTTATGATTAATCCAAACAAGTCGTATGAGTTTTAGCAGAGCAGGAGACATTTTTGGAGACGGAGAGACTGTGGTGTAGGAACGGACACATCGGAGAGATGATCCCAGCATACCGAACAATGACGAGCCAGTCTACAGAATATAAAGACAACGGACATGTTTGACGATACGTCTTGGCACAAGTGTTCAAAAATAAAAAAGATAGTTGCGTATTGCCTAACCCTCCAAGGATTTGTCAATAGTACCATTGGGGCGGACATAAAACGTCGCATATTAGTCAAAACATTTCAACATTATTCAAATATTTTTTGATAGGTGGAAGGGCGGGGGGGGGGGAAGAATTGTAGGACTTCCTAAAGTACGGTAGGGTAAAAAACCAAACAAGGCCTAGTAATAATCGAAAACTGGATACTTTGAAGAATTCTAAATTGTATAAAGGATTGTCGGGAAAAAAAAGGATTATTAATCGTGAACCTGACTGTTAATTTAGATTAGGGTGTAATTTGTTCAACATAAAACAAATTTCTTATTTTGAAACCACCTTCAAATCACCTCTTGACCAAAGGCGATCGAATAAAATTAGGTATGACAAATCTCTCTCTCTCTTTCGCACGCTTTATCTCTTTCATTTAATCTGAAAATTACCTGCCAGAAACAAATTTTGGAGTCTCCGAAGCTGTATGAAGCAAGTACGCGATCGTCAGGCGAAAAAGACAGGGCTGTTACTTGAGAAGAATGAGCTGAAACCATCTGTAAACAAGGATTATAAAGTAACCGATTCTGAAAAGATTCTAGGACCTCTAACGATAGGATTATTGCGCGCTATCAAAGGAGAGAAGAACTTTCAACAAAGGTTGTTTGGGGTATAGACAACAACAATCATTGTTAGCTATTTACGGTCGCTCTCCCAATGATCGAAGGTAGTACATCGAAAAATAACGTGATAAATTTGAGGAGAAAACTTGAACTGAATCGCTCCTGAAGCTTTTCATTTCAGAAACACAATCAGGCCTCAAACATGAAAGTAACGGTTACTTCCTGCAAATGTATCAAGAGTGTCTTTGCTACTTGAAACTGGAATTTAGTATTTGGCAAAACTATTTGAAAGAAAGTGAAGGATGACTGAAAGTTCTAAACAAAGTCGTGGTCCTCATGTGAAATATCAAAAGAATAAAACAACACACAACTAAACTCGTCGTAAACTTGCCTGACAGCGCGACGACCGCAGATCATACAAAGCTAACTGACCATTCTTCGCTCCAACTGCAAGGCGGCGGGACTGGGGCGAGTAACTCACCATGTTGAACCTGTCAAAGTGGAATAGCATCTATTTTTTATAAATTGCTATATTTCATAATTAAGTAAATCAGGCTTTCTGGCCGCGACAGCATGTTTAAAAACAATCAAATGTTCATTCAAAGCGAGGCCAACAAGGCCTATTTGTATGCAAAAGAATAGAAGTCATGCCCACCGTTGTGAAAGTGGTCAACACATTCATTACCGTAGAGAACGATGACCCCAATACAAACAAAGGCTAGTCCAAGCCGTTGCCAAAAGCGCGAAGGGTGCGATCGAGTAAAAATCAGTTGTAGATCAAGCCTAGGACTCGTTTAATTAAGATCTAGAGAACACGTTCTCTTGTTGCAATACTGGATAATCATTACGTCAAACAGAACAAGAAAATGAAAAAAAATAAAATAAACACATGAATTGCTCGTGATACGTGACACGTGACTCTGTTCAGAGAGAAACTGGTGCATAAAGCGCGATAATGCTCGAACGTAGACTTATGCGACAATATTTACAGTAAACGTACCGACATAGTCCAGGGAATAATTCAGTCATTCCTTTCTCTTTGAGTTGTCTCTGATCCAAACAGTAAACAACAATGTCGACAACCTAGGGGAAAATAGCAGAGTTACGTGTATCAGTTTTCGTCATTGTTACCGCGCAACAACTGGCAATGAACCAACGAACACAAAAGCAGATACCTCTCTCGTTCCAATTTCCGAAAACTTCCAAAACAACGAGAAAGCCTGGTGAAAGGCCCGCTCAAAAGAAACCAAATGGTCGGTGATAAGGTGTCTCGGACTGAGTGAGACGTAAACATGGTAATTTGAGAAACAAGAGTAAATTAGTGGAATGAAAAGCGTTCGTTGATACCATAAGGATTAGGAGTGCCGATTTGAAAGATAAATTTTTGTTCCAGAGTTTTGCCGTCTAGATGCCTAGATGAAGGGAAAGGCCGCAAACTACCAAACTATAAACCCCGTGAAACCTTCTGAAAAAAAACTTATATGTATAGTTATACGTGAAAATAGAAAGGTAGTTCATACATCAGTTAAAAGATCTACAACTTCTTGTTGTGTCTTTTCAACCATGAGGTCAATTATCCGCAGTATCTCGTGCTTAGCTCTGTTCAATATGGACGTGCTCTGAGCCTCTGCATTCTGAGAGGGCTGGTGACGAACATGGCTGTACACCGCAATGGCTGCTGGAGAAGGTTGATTAAAGGAGATAGAAGAAGCCGCTGAAACACTGCGAGCCACCTAGATGTTCAATGGAGACACGTTTCAATTAATTACATTATAAATGGCAAACTCTGAACACGGTTTATGTGAGTGCTGACTACCTGTTACATCACAAACGACAACTTTGCACTACGTGAAAACCTTTGCAATGCAGTTGAGGTTCTTGTTCAGACGGCACCTCTGCTTTGTTACACGTTTTAACTTTGCGATGATCTGACAAATTATTTTACTTGTGTTTTAGCGACAGCGAAAATGAATTCACCTCCTTCGCAATGGTCGCTATGAAGACCGCAGGTCGTGCTGTAGCAATCAGTGACAGCCCATGCCTCGCTGATCGATGAGTATCTGCTGACGGCGACAATGGTAAACCTTTCCTGAATGTGAGATCTCGGTTCTTGCTGTCCGCCGAGAGTTCTAACAACGCTATCAAGACAGCTGAAACGTCCATATATGGCTCCCAAAGAGTAAACCCCCGACCAATCAGATCAATGGCTGCTCGTCTGACTGACGTGTGTGCCGTAAGTTGGGACGAAGGGGGTTTGAGTAAGAGATACATAAGAGCTTTACCAGTGAGACGTACTGTAGTGTAATCCATGATAACTTCACCACCTGAAAATACCAGAAAAGGTTACAAAAGAAACCATGTACACATGTAATCAACTTGTGCAATTCGCCATCAGACTGTAAGAATACGAGAAAACGTGAACGAAGGAGATTGTTTGTATTTTGTTTCGTAAGTAAAGTACTGTTTCAAATTTAACTAACGACCCGTATGGTTTTCTAGAGTATCAGTTAACGTTTGCCGATCATAGTTTTCGCTAAGACAAGGTAAGTTCCACTAAGTTGTTGTGTTATACAGAATATTACGATTTAATGTTATACAAGATAATTAAAAGATAATTAGGTTATGCAAGCAATTAAGGAGGCTCCATAGGGTTTTTGTTCAATGTTGGCGCGCGCCAGCGTAATGTTTTTCTAGTTAACTTTTGTTTTCGTTTTTAAAGGTCACTAAAAGCCATCAAAAGGCAATGAGCAAGGTTCGCACCATCGTTTGCTGCAGTAAATATTATCCAAATCATTTTCGTTATTAAGCTAAGGCTCCACGAAGGGAGGCGCTCATCAGTGATAATTTGGCTTTGCCTTTGATTTTCTTCAATTTGCTTTGGTGAAATCTCTCAAAATTTTCACAATTTGTGAAAATTGTCCTGCCGATCATTTAAAAGCCGAAGAAAATAGGGGTTTCAAAGGCAGTTTCATCGCTATTTGCAATTTTTTATTTTCTTCCTCTATCTCAAATTTGGTCGAATGAATTTCTTTCTTTAACAGGCACTAGGAGGGGCACATATATGTTTAACGTTCCAGCAAATCTTTGGAAATTCCACCGAAGGAAACGTGATAAATCTTTCTCGAAAGATCCCTATTTTCTTTATAGCAAAACAACACGTAATGGAGTAGAACTTCGCCATGCGTAGACTTTCGAATCTGTCGCCTTTTGACAATCTTTTCCCGGGTGTTTTCTTTTCGGTTGAACTCTTTTTAAGGCGTAGAAGGCCTATGAATATTACGGGTGCACTTCTTGGAAACCCTAGATTCCATCACATAAAAACTGTATTGTGTAAACTGTTTTTAACACACCTTGTCAGATAACAATCGTGCGATCGTATCGAGCTGCTTTGTTCCTTTTGCATGTTGACCTTTTCAAAGCTCGTGCTACGTTCGTACCCAGATCTCGCGCGGCCAAAAAACCCTTAGGAGCCTTCTTAAACATCAGCACTTACGTTCGCTGTTACTCTTTCGCACGATTTTACCATCTTTACCTGGAGTTTCACTCAGTTTTTCTAATCTTCGCGAGCTTGTGCTCTGTTTTTTTTCACCGTCGCGCTCACGACTCGAATATACTTCAATTTCACGCTGAAATTCTGCGCCTATCACTCCCATGAGCACGATGGCGGTTGCCTGTCGACGGCGCATGTCATATTGAAGCAACTTCTTAACGCTGGTTAAGACAGTGCTGACGTCTTCGGTTGGGAACAGGACCTCGTCTTCAACGTTTTGGACGTCTACACTGCGTTCTGAGAAAAGATAACCAATCACTTTACAAGTCTTACAAACCAATTTTCAAGCTGCTTACAGTCTCCTCATCAATGAAGTTTAAAAATTCAGTTGGGCGGCGTTGCACCATCAGCTGAATCAACCCATTACTCAATTAACACTCTACTGGGACGACTGGTCAATTTTTGAGAACTTACCAAACCCCAAAATAGAAGTGGTAGGGGAGGGTGCAGGATCAGACTTCTCAGCTTTGTCCTCAGTCCCTCCCGACTGTTCAAGCGACTTTGGTAGCTGAGGGGCCCATGTATCCACCACTTGCTTACGACCCTCGGACCCAATCCTACGCAGTTCGGCTAATAGAATAGCCTGTGCCGCTTCACGAACCTGCGCGATGGAAAAGAACTAACAATACACACTGATACATTGTTCTATTTTATGGCTAACTATCTAATTAATCTATAAAGAACTCTTTCAAAAAAGCGCGAAGTGAAACATACCTCAAGACATCGATCTTGCCATCTCCTTGCTAGAATATGCAGAAGCGGTGGCTTATAAGAGGAAATCTTCAGAATGTCAGCCAACAGACAACAGTGCAGTGCAGCAAGCTGACTCCACCCGGCTTTGATATGTGCACGGTGATTCATGGCAAGTTGCACTTCCGTCTCACTTAAACCAGGAGGTTGTTCGTTCTCGGCATAACTCGATGAGATGGGAGGAATGTCATGATCTGTGTTCGTTACGAGAGCAAGCCGCTTTTCCTGAGGAACAAAACTGATCTGGTTCATGCTCATTAGCGTGTTAGCGACGGATACAAGTCCCACAAGATGCAGAGTTGTCAAAGCCGAGGAAAGTTGCCAGCGTGACTGAAAGCAAGTCTTTAAAGCTGACGCAATGTTTGGATCGGAAGACAAATTCGATTTCTCATTTTCTCTCTTTGTTATTTCAAACTCAGTAAAAATGGCTTTATCAGGAGAAAGTCTTTTTAAAGCAGTTTCAGCATCACTTTCTCTTCCTTCCCCGGCTTCTCCATACCATCCCGGCAGCATCAATGAAAGCCTGTTTCCTCGAGTTAGCAGTCCAAACGAAACTGGTTTGACTGGTTTGAGGAGACCCAGTCTCTCAACACACACCTCATCCATGTTAGGATCCAGATCCCAGGAGTGTAGACACGAGATCATGAGTTGGGCTACATAATGTGTTTCATTTGTAACTAACGATTTCTTGGGGTTTTGATGCGTAGATTTTTGAGTTGCATCGCTCCTCGTTTGCTGAGTTGTTAGCGAATCTCGTTTTCTTCTTCTCCCTCCTACGGCTGTCTTCGATACGTCACCTTTGCTGGACAATTTAGCTGTAGAGAATAATGAAAAATTCGTTGAAAACCACGCATGAAGTCTTTCGAAACTCGCTTTACACTCTGGAAGGAACGAAATGTCCAATCGGAGAACTCCACGAAAACTACCTTACCACGACACCGTGTATCTAAAATAATATGCAATCTACGGAGAAAAATACACAACTGCATGGTTATGCTTTTAGCCGAAACATTCTGATTCTTTGTCGGAGAGCTCGACAACGACCTTTTACTGTTGTGAGAAATGAAGATCGCGAAGTATACTGTTGAAGTGATTTTACAAAGAAAACCCTCAGATTGTAAACAGAGGTCATACATCAAAGACCCTAAAAAATTAGAACTAAAGAAAAAAGGAAATGAAGTAACAACCAAGGCGCACTTTTTATTCAGAAATCAAATATAAAATATGTAGTAAAACAAAGTAAAGTAAGTAAAGTAAAGCAATAGGCAATCGTAGAACGGGATAACATAAAAATTTATAGTTACCAGCAAGCTGTGGATTTTCTTCAGTTAATAAATTACATATCAGCGCCTCTATATCAAACATAAGCACTTGTATTTCTGGATCTCGGCTCCCACACTTGGTAGACATCACTTTCAGTGGACCACCGGCAAAAACCTCACCATAACCGTCACCTTGGATTAAAGGAATGAAACGATATACTGAGTGTTTTAGAAGACCTCAGATGGAGCCCTAATGGCCTGATGGGTAGCGGGCTGGTTTGAGCCTGAAGCGGGTCACTGCACTGTAATCTTTGGCAAGACTAGCACAAATACCGGCAAACTGGTCGGGTGACAAGGAGGATTTCTAAGGACAACCTGCGATAGACTACCGTCCCGCTCAGAAGGAGCAACAATACTTCTTCTTGTTTTCGTTACTTGCTATAAAAATGAAGCAAAGCAATGTCAAAACAGCGATCGGACGTTCTTTTTCTACACGGTTGCACCCAAACGTCGGTTGGACTGTTTTTGCTTAAACCTTTAACGTTTGCTTCTCTCCGAACTAAATCTATGGATTATTTTGCTAAATTAACTGATATCGAGATTTTTATCCCGCACGGTTTAAAAAAGAAACTTTTTTAGGGGGTTTGTCGTGATCTGGTAACTTAATATACTTTAGCTTCTCCATTTTACCAAGAGATTAGAAACTGACATAATCTCTTGGTTCTACTCACTAGATAGTTTTGAGGAAGAAGATGGACTAGCCGCTGCTTGTTGGTTGATGCTTCGCCTGAGTTTCTTCACTGCAGCGGAAGCTGCGCTCGTCTGAAGGTTTGATGTGATGTGGCTGATCTTTCTTCCCAGAGAACTCTTCGACTTAGAAGGAACACTAGACGAAGGAGATTTCTTCTCTTCGTCGCACGCTGATAAGATGTTCAAAGCAACCTGGCCATTTGCACACCGGTCGAGGTGACCTGGATAATAATGTCGATAAATAAGACATTATTTGATTGCAACTTACAACAGAAACAGCGACCATAACAACGACATAAGGGAAAAAACTTAACTTTGAAGGAAAATTGTATAGTGAGGCTTGTGCAATTTACTCAACTAATCCAAGAAAATCCTCGTAAACCTTAACCCTTACCCGTTTCCATCTGCCATACATACACCGAGCCGTCAGTACAGCCTACCACCAGAAAATCATCCAACGCTCGCCACTTTATTGTCTCCACGGGAAATTCGTGAAGCGAGGCCAACATGATGCACTTTCGCTCGCGAAGTCCTAACAACGCAACCGAGTGGTCCTGGGCTACAGAACAGATACAGTACTGGACGCGATTCTAAAAATAAAAGGCAAAACAATGAATAAATGAATAGGTAAATAAAGAATAAATAAATGAAATGAAGAATACCTTAAGTCACGCTGAAGACAAAAACAAATTAGTGAGGAAAAACATCAAAAAAAAAATTAAACCGTCAAGCAAAAGTCTTACACTGCACTCGGGTGGAGTACAGATTAGTCGCAGCAATTCTCCTCCATGGGTAGAAAATGTATACAAAAGGTCCCCAGTAAAAATGTCCCACAGTTTGACAGAAAAGTCAGCTCCTCCTGACACTAGAAATTCCCTGTCATATCGAGGATACTCATCGTGTGGGTACAGGAGACAGGTCACTCGGCCTCTGTGCCCTAACAGCACCCTGTGCACAGGCCACCCTGAGGAAATGAAGATACAAACACATGAAGTGACACTAACATTTTCGATGTTTACCCCAAGTGGTCATTCACTGAACCAAATGACCTTACTGCTATTTCCATTTAACAACTTTTGTTTTCGTGCGAAAATGTTGAGGAATGTTTCCTCCGTTATTTTCAGCGCAACTGATGGAATCCAAAATAACACATTTATTTTTGTTTTTATTCCGTACTCACTTTGTTTTTGGCTTAACTACAACAACCACAAAGGAAAATTAAAAAAAAAAACAAAACAAAACAAAAAAATACAAAGGTAAACTCGTGGATATCCTGTACAGAATGTACTTAGAGTATCGAAGGATTGCATTTGAGGATAATTATCATACGATACCAAGATAAAGAATCGGTTTATCTATTATAAAATTTACCCGTTCCTATGTTTCGTAAAGCCGCGAGTTAAAAAAAAAAGATGTGTTTAAAATGAAAAATGTCTATCGCTAGCCTTACTTTTCAGTGTTTTCAAGACAAAAAGTGAGTAAAACTGTCCCGTTAATTTTTTGGCGGTTTTTTTTCATAATTTTTTTAATCATTTTTACTACCATAACCATCGCTATATATAATAATTTTTATCATCATTAACCCTTCAACTCCCAGAAGTGATTAACACAAAACTTCTCCCTACAATATCCATACATTCTTCAGCAAACAGGTAATGAGAATATTCAAACTTATCAGATAGAAGCTGCTATCTTGATCTAGCACCAAGTTCTCATAAATAATTTACTAGGAAATGTGTAGCAGCCACAGGGGAGAATTAACAAACAGATCTTGGGAGTTGAAGGGTTAATAGAAAAGTTATTATTGTCACTATTATTATAATTAATCTGATACCACGGTACATTCGTGCCTGGCCACTGAGGTAACACAGACAACACCCAGCAAATAAATAAATAAATAAATAACCAATGAACGAATGCTCCATAAACTTGCGCAGAGTAGATTAATACTGACTCACGACGAAAAAAGTCAATTATACTATCCAACAAGTTGAAACAAGGCAAACGTTTCAAGATTTGAGGAAAAGGCGATAGCAGAGGCGTACATGTACCTGAGCCTGGGGGCTGAAGCAACTGAGCTATCGCTGCTTTTGCTGCTGATATTATAACAATGGAACCATCCTCACGGCCACACACAATACAGTCTTGCGTAGGTAAATAAAGCGAAGCACTCAGGGGGGTAGTTCGTCCGCCATCATCCTACGGAATGAAAAAATCAGATCATTTAATTAGAGCAAGCGCACTAAGTAAAAAGGGTGTATTAACGACGAAAAGGTTCATCCTTTTTTTTTCAGTTAAATTTGCGCTACAAGTGAATATTGATTTTTGGAACGACAGTTCCTCGTCGTTTCACTGTGTCCCTCCTCTGCTACAGCAAAATAAGTCATAGCACCCGATACTTTTAATAGTGATTATCAAAGACGAAGTTCTCCTGAGTCTATTTTCACATTCTCGGGCTCTAGCCACGTGGTCGAATCCATAGGAGTTTATCCCACTTTCTGTAATATAAAGGAATATCTTTATTCACCTCTAGCACCTTCTTACACTCCCGAATGAAGAGGGGCACAGTGAGATTAAATTATTCATTCAGAAAATCAACTTAGGGGTTTAACCTGTCCTCGATCCGGGGTACTTCGATCCAGATTCCAGCGCGCTAGCGATTACGAGTTTACCACAATTTTTCTGTTACTTACAACAGCATTTTTTCACTCATTTCTTGGCGCAACAAAACAGTTTGGTATCCTGAACCTCTTCACCTTTAACTCAAGGCGTCAACTTACCAGAGAGTCGATAAGACCACAGGGCTTCAGAGTTGTCTCCCAGCAGTCAGCGTAACTGCAGGATACCACAGGATGCGTGCCTAAATCAAACAATCCAACAAAAATAAATTTTGGGAGTCTTAGTGCATCTACTCATAAGTAACAGAACGACCTCCAATTTGAAAGTATTTACAAATTTTGCAAAAAATGCAAACGAAAAACAAAAATAGCCACTGATTGAGAAAATCTATTTTTTCCAACTAAAGCGCTAATCCGTATCGCAGATGTAAACTACTAGCGGTAAGATCATAAAAAAGTTAATTCACATGCCAATCGATTAACTTTTTGGCTTTTTTGCGTTTTTGTCAATTTTACTTTCTTTCCTCAATTATCTAATCAAACGCGTAACTGGCCTGGGGAACAGAAAAACGAGATTCAACATACTATTCACAAATTACCCTTTGAGCTAGCATCTCGAGATTTTGTTGACGTGAAGATATCGTCGGTTAGTTTCCAAACAATGACACTAAAAACACAAAAAAATTGATGAAAGGCTTTAATATTTATTAGTGTAAGTGCTCCGGTGATCGAGGAGATGCACGCGCTCTGATTGGTCGAGGATTGCTTCATATCTTGTTATACTCACCTTGCGCGAGGTGATTAGTGCTGAAGCAATAAATTTGAATGATGCCCTTGACTTTGTCTCGGGGATGATTCAACAAAACTGACGATTAGTTATTTAATATTGTTACGTTATTATCGTTAAACGGCACTATAATAAAGAATTAAATTCGATTTTGTCTCTCACTTAAAAAGAACTTTTTTGAAGACATTTTCCTATATCACAGCAATGCTCCAAAGCAACATGCCACAAACAATGCTGCATATTGATATACAAGATCTGCAATCACAATTACATTCGCACGATTGCCAAGTTTGATCTAAATTTCTTGATAGAATTCTGTATGTAAGTTTTGTATGCAAGAGACAGATGACAATTCAAAGTTAAATTCTTAATTGCTTCACTCATCTGCTCCACCTGCATTAATTTGGTTACCTTCCATCTGATCCGCCTTTTAGCAACAGCTTGTAGAAAGGTCCTCTTCGACCATAAGAGAAAAACATGGCTGGGTCAGAGTCTGAGGCAGCGCTCTACAGAAGAATTCAAGATTTAGAAACAACTTTATGGAAATTATTGTAGTAATGCGAGAACCTTAGATAATTTTTGTTCACAAGTACCTGATCATGTGAGTCTTCAAACACCTGAATGATTTTTGGCTCCTTGATAGGATCACCTATGGACAGCAAAGCAAGTAAATACTTATGTAACGTCTCATCGAAGCTTATGTTTCATTTTTCAAGGTATTTTAAACGTTTGAAAGAGCAAATGTTCCAGATAAGTACCAGAATTTATTGAAAAATACAGCCCATTAAATCTATTTAAAAGACATTCATTCATGAAACAGTATTTGAAACATTGGGTTTTGATCCGTATCGATATTTGTTAAGAATAACCTCTTTTCCTCAGTAAGCTAGTTTTACTCCTCCCCCCCCTTCTCCTTCTCCATCTAACACTTCCTACACGTATACGTAGGAGTTTCCTTCCCTCTTCAACCTTCCTCTGCCTTAAAAATCAACGATGGGGTCAATCTCTTCCCTTAGAAATATCGAGCTTTGGCTCGATATAATATTTTGTGACCCTTAGACGACACCCTGTCTAAGGGTCACAAAAGGAGTGTTAAGGAAAGCATACAAAACAGGCCTTACTTTTCAAAGAGGAGCGATACACGGGAGAGATGGAAACATCATTTTCCTTTTTTTATTTTTTTGCACTTATCTCATCTTGCCGTGATCACCTTAAGCTCGCCTTCAGTTATAAGATACGTAAAGAGAGAGACAATCAAACTATGACAAAGGCAATAGAGGTAGTCCCAATGATAAGCACAGTAAAGTTTATTATTAACAGACCTTTCCACTGGTCTTGAAAACCTGGACAACATCTAATGAAAGAAGCAGAATTGTTCCGTGAGTAATACTGCGATAACACTCTTGGACCACCGAATACAATTGTCTACACACATACTTGCTTTTAGATGCCATAACGTAATCATAATAACAATGATAATTGAATTGTGAAATTGTACTTACGAAGCAGGCAGCTTGAACAAGTAGCTCTTCCCATCCTGTGTGCAAAATACAAAATGAATAACTTATTGCCTTTCATAATAAACATTTACAAATGATCACAGTAAAATAATGTCTTCAACTCACTCTACTCCATACTAGTACAAAGTCTGCTGCTACAAAGTCTCCACCCATCCAGTTTTGGCCGGGAGGACTGGCAACGGTTGTGAGAAACTTGAAATCACCCGCATCGTACATCTGCCATGAAGGGCAAATACAGCATACATGTAAAGTTATTAAAATAAAAAGTTTGTGGACTTTTGGTCTACATTAAACCTATGGAAGTGCACACATTCTCCCTTACATATGAGCAAAATTCTGATTAACACTACAACCTTTAGGTTGCTTAAGTTGCCCAAAAGAGAAGGTTGTGTGGTAATGTTTATTAATGCCATTATTTCTGCACTTACCTGATATTACAAAAAGTTAGAGGCATATTCTGAAATACTTCATTTTGTGATTTGGCAAGGAAAAAGAGCTACAATTCAGTAATTTAGCATGAAAGCCAGCAATTGGACAGTAACAAAACTTGAAGTACACAACATTGTGACACAACTGAATATCCTGTACAGTTACATGCAGTCAGGAAAGACTATTCTACAACTCCCACATTACTTGCATGGTTACAAGACAAAGCAACAATAATTACATAAAAGGTATTTATGTTCACAAAAAATGAATGATAGGTATCAAATTGTCCATGATTAACTTTAAAAGGCATGTCTTTTGCAGGACTTAAGTCACATTTCAGTGGTAGTTTGTACCAATAATTAAGTAAAAGATGTTTAAGTCAGCAAAACATAAATGATGAATTGTCCATGATTAAATTTTAAAACTATTGTTTTTGCAGGACTCTAAGTCTCACTTTTTTCTATTGCAAGTTCAATAAAAATCTCACAAAAAATAGGTAACCATCAGGTACACAATCATGTATGTACCCACCAGCCACTCTTTTGCACAGACCACTAGAATGGTGCGCTGAGTGAAAGGATTACAACAGATCCCTGTGGCCTTACTGTTGGCAACTTGGCTCAATTCTTGTTCAAATGTGGGTTCACTGTACTGTTGACAAAAGAAACCAATGGAGTATGCAATAACATTAAATGAATAGAGTAAATAAAGTGAAAGCTACAAATTTAGCCTAAATTGCAAACTTTAAAGTTATGATATAGAAAATTAACGACCCAGTTGTTAACTCTACAGTTTCCAATCACTCAAATCCATCAAAGAAAACTGCATGTGATTGCATGAGCTCATACATATATCAACTACCCTGCAATAGCTTTTATTAGTTTTATAGTTTGTTCAAAGCTGTTAAGAACTCTGCTATTTCCCCCTGGACAAGGAAAGTTTTTTGCCTCTTACAAATAAATCTCAACAACAGACTTGTACAGCCTGTAAGTAAACAAACAGTTAAATACCACACCTTAGACTCCACATTTGGTTTCAACATCCAAATATTGAGCATACCAGACAAGGAGATTGCAACGACAACATCATCTGAGGCAAAACAGAAATGTACAGTTGTAGGTCAGTAATTGTATCAAATGTAATCCACGATTACATTTGCCAATTATAACAGTTGCTCATAAGGACTCTTGAAGGGACGCTTGGAGAACTGCAGAAAGGGAAATGAAGGACAGAGGCTGGACTCAGGAGCAGATTGACCATGTGACAACCAACAAAGATTGATGGCTTTCTCTTACCAATAGGCCTTATGTGCATGGATGCACAAAATAGACTAACTAACCAACTTTTATCAATTACTCTACAGTAATTACAATAACATTACAGTCATTTCTGTACCTGGTCTTCTTGCAGGTCTCACGACACATGCTGAACTGATCCAATTGGGGGCTGATGGAGAACGCAGAGTGTACAAAATCTAAACCAATAGTAGCCAGATTATTGAGTACAAGTTATGACTAGCAGTGAACAATCATTGTTTGTCTCACAATTTAGAGTCATTATCAATTATAGAGTCAAGATATCAAATTAAAGATTGCAAGATTCCTATAGCTGTATTAATAATAAAAAAACTGTGGTCTTCAAATTATAGCATGGTTCAAGAATTTATGATGATTTTAAATCACATGAAGAATTATTAAGGCTACATTTAATATCATGACCCCTATGAACAAACATACCTTTAACAATGAACAACATTAAATTAAATTGAACTCATGAAATTAGTTTGAATTCAATTACCTCAAGAGACAGAGCATCCAAGACATGAATATCAGAATAGCTGCCATAACAAACAACACGCCATTCTTTCCGTGTGCCAATGCTAACATGGAAAGACTGAAAGAATAAAGAAATGCACAAACATTGGAGCATACCGCTGTCAATCTTGTTAATTATGTTACTCTTAATGGGTGTTTCTTGTGATCAACTAGTCAACTACATGTATGTTGGTAGTTAGTTAGACCAAGTTGGCCATTTGTTTATATTGGAAGTTTCGGCTAAGTATGTGAGCTGAGCAAGGCACAACATTGTATGTTTTGTTCTGGTAACTGTGCTAGAGTGTTCATGCATTCATATGATGATATACCAAATTAGCCTACCATCTCAGTTGACAGTCAGTTGGTCATTTAGTAAGTCAGTCAGGCAGTCAATGAGTCAGTTAGTCAGCCAGTCAGTCAGTCAGCAAAAACCAGTCAATAAATTAGTGACTGATTCAGTCAGTGAGTCACTCCGCCAGCCAGTCAACCAGCAAACCACCAAGTCAGTAAGCCAATCAGTAAGCTAGCTAGTGGTATGGAGGTAAGTCAATCAGTAAGTCATTTGGTAAGTAAGCCATTCTATTCAATAAGTCAGATAGTTGGTCAGTCAGTAATTGTGAAGAAGAGCTCCCAAAAAACCTGTCGGCCGACAGTCGGCCGACAGTCTACCGACAGCTAACCAACAGGTTACCGACAGGTTAAGAAAAAAGAAAAATTGTGTTAAAAACGAACAGTTAACGTGACATAACAATCCATAATGGTGATGTATGACTCGACAGACTTCACCTACTTACCGATCGACGGCAAAGTTGAAAGTATGTAAAGATATAGATAAAGGTATATGAGATGTGTATAGGATATATCACTTGCGTAATTTACAACACACCAGACAATCTAAGAATCGCATTGGAAGATAATTTAATCGAAAACTCGGCCAAAAACTCTGAAAACCATAAGCTACGTATCAATACAAACACTTTCGTTCAAATCACCCAACAATGCAATGCGGCCTCTTATGATGTTTACCTTGTGCATTTGTGTTGCTAACATCGTCCTCTATCTTGCAGGTTTGGGATAAATTGCTATTTCCAATTTCAATTTTAATAAATGATACAACTGTGAATCTTTTTTACTCGTTATGTTAAGAAATAAATTACTATACGCAACAATTCGATAATTAGACTTGGATGCGTGATGCGATAATTGATTTAGGCGCGCGCCGCTAAAATCACGATTCTACGAGTGAAGTATCTTGTATATTTCACCACTCACAAAACGGCTCCTTTAGGAGCCACCAAATCTATGAAAGGCTATTCTTGTCAATGTATTACACATGTTGGATGTTGTATCAAGCGAAAACTGAGAGAAAACATTAAGGTTTGTGTTAACGTTTTACCGACAAGCTACCGACAGGTTACCGACACATTACCAACAGTTGGCCGACTGTCGGCCAACAGGTAGCCAATATTTCGGGCAAAACCTGTCGGCCGACAGACGACCAACTGTCGGCCGACTGTCGGCCGACAGTTGACCGACAGTCGGCCGACAGGTTTTTTGGGGAGCTCTTCTTCACAATTACTGGTCAGTCTGTCACACTGTCTGTTAGTCAGTCACACTGTCTGTTAGTCAGTCAGTCAGCCAATTGGTCATTAATTGTCCACCTGTTAATGAGTCAAAGTTGATCATAATGTCCACCTGTGAATGAGTCAAAGTCAAATCTTCATTCAGGTAATCAGTAAGTCATCTCTCGGATGATGTACATACCAATAGAGCCAAATGTGTTCCTGGAATGACATTTGCTTGAATGCAGATTCCATCATCTGTGTCCCACAAGCACAGCTCTCTGAGAGAAAAAAATCACTTAATATATAGCTCAAATAGGCAATTACACCAATTTACTTCTTATCAGTGAACAGAATTTGATTTTTTGTTACATAAATACTTCCAATCATCAGCAGTTATTTTTGAGAAAATCCTCTGTAATTTACCACTTATAGTTACTGCTAAAAATCTGAAATGAGCAGAACAGTCTCACTATAAGGAATAACAATTTGTGCCTTTCTTGTAATATAAATTTTGTTGTTATGTCTTACCCATTGTCAGCTGCACTTATTACACTGGACTGATTGTCCCATCCATCTGTAGCTTTAGCCAGTGCTGTGACTTTTGCTGAATGAGCAAATATAAGGTTCCTGGGTATGACCTGTAGTATTCAGTAAAAGTGTGCAATGTATTCATTTATTATGAAAAATAACAGCAGAATTTAGATTTATTACTGAGAACTGTAATGTCACTGATTTAATTTCACTTGTGATCAATAAAGCTAATTTCCTTTAATGGCGATCATGTTTTAGGACCCCCATTTCCATTTTCTCCTTCTGATAAATATGTATGAGTATAAGGGAAAAAACTCTTTATGGAAACCCATGGCAACGTTTCAGATCGACTGACGAAGGGGTCGTGCATAATGTATGAGAGACGAAAGGAAGATCAGGATCTAAACGAAGAAAATTCCCGTGTAGTTCAGAGTAAGAGCTCAAAGCTTGCTTTAAATTTAAACGAGGGTCTATGCGAGGCTTCCATTGGTAAAATTTCCGCACAGCCCCATCCTACATTATGCATTCAGTTCTTGGGATAGAGAAAACAATGACAAAAACAATACATTGCCATCGGGAAAACAGATTTGCTTTACAATAGTATGGGGCTGTGCGGAAACTTTACCCTTCAATTTAGTTAAAATGAAGAAACAAGGACAAATTTTTCAACAAAACAAAAATCTCAACCACAGCAATTCAGTATACTTGAGCTAATTTGGCATGATGTACCTGTACATGCACATGTAGCCAGTGTGTGATCAGCTGACACTTTCTAGATCGATACATCTCTGAATATAGACTAACAATCGAAAAAAAGAACTGATGCAATCCAGAGTTAAACCGCTTTTAATTTTAAGAGCAAATTATAGAACATGGTGATAATTTATATGGTAACCGTCAAACTTGTTCGTAAATGATTTTAATCCTAGAATTCCCATTGGCAGCCTTACTTTGATCTCTCCATGTTCCACGAATCGTAAGTCCCAGATCCCCAGCTGTCCGTCTGTTGATCCAGTGACGACAGTTTTCTGATCATAAGTTGTTATAATACACGAGATACAGTGTGATGGAGGCGTGCTTCCCCATAAAACCACTGGTACAACAGAGGAGGAAGACATCTTGGTTCTTGCTTGTCAACATTCCGCGCGCCTACATTAATCTTGCTCAGCGGTATACTTTAGACTCAGTTTTAGTCCTTCTCAGCCAAAGAAGTTTCTCCTCGGTCAAAATGGCGGCATCGGACAATGTAATAGTTATAGAAAATGACGGCCATTTTCAGTCGGAAATGGCGAAAGCTGGCGCCAAACTGGTAGTTGTAGACTTTACAGCATCTTGGTAAGTAGAAAATTGCATAACTGTGAATCGCTCCCAAAGAGAAGGGTTGGATTCTTGAGGAAGTGTCAGTGTGCATGGCCCGGATATGCAAAAATTTTTCGAGTCTTAACAATTGACAAAATGAGTTTGCTACCGACTGGCTCGTTTGGATATTCATTACGTTTTGTGAGCAAGCGAAAATAAGTAAGTGAAATTGACCTCTTTGTAGCCGATGTTTTTTTTGTCATATTATCATACTTTCACAAATTCGGCAAGACAAGCCGGTGGGTCATGACTCAGCAGTTGCTAAAGATAAAGTTCCTTAAAGTTGTAATGTCTTTCAACAACTTCTTCCTTTGCCCGAATATATTTTCAAGCCAGCTCAATTATTGCGAATAACCGCTAGAAACTTTCAAGGAAGAGTTGTTCAAAGCTCTGTATTCTAATGAAGTGTTATAGTTTAGTGTCTACAACTTGCAAGTGAGCACTTTGTGCTAATCGACTAATCCTTTAACTCCCATGAGTGACTAAGACACAATTTCTCCTTGCAATATCAATATAATATTCAGTGGACAAGTGATGAGAATAGAGAAAAATTATAATCAGAGGATTATTTGTTGGTCCAATACCAAATTCTCCTAGCTAACATTATGAGAATGATATAGCAGATAGTAAGGGGAACTACTGATTAGATCATGGGAGTGAAAGGGGGGGAAATATATTTCATTCCTCTGTTTAGATTTACATGTAAATGTACCTAAAGTAACTGACAGTCCTGACACATTATGAGCATGGCCACCTGCCTGTAGTTTCTAGGCTCATACAGAGGGTCCTATCGTGTTAATTTTTTTAATAACTGAAAAAAGAAGCAAATATTCTAAATATGAAGAATAATGCATATTGCAGACATAGTTACAAAATACGTACAACAAGTAGTGCAGCTTAGTATTGTTTATGACAGCAAAATGAGAATGTTTCTCTACAGTAGGTCTGATTAACCGCAATTCTAGTTACATGTTGCTTCTACATGTGTGTGGTCCCTAAAATCCAAATCCTTGATTTCTTGTCTCTTAATTCACCTTTTGGGCTTTAGATTTCACGTGTACTATCATGTGATTTTTGATGTAAACAAACCCCAAAAGTTCGGAAATCGAGTCAAGCTCGCCGCACATGTATCCAAACTTTGGCTTTGGAAATTTTTCTTAAATAACTTCCCACTTTCAAGAAGCGTGTCTTTGCTCAAAATTGACATCTTTCTTTTGTCATTTATTTGATCGTTTATTAAGCAAGTTGTCATTTCGCTGCCGTTGAAGCAGATGCGAAGAATGTTACAGGAAGTGTTCTGGCATGGAATAATCGAACTAGTTCTGCGTACAGTGATGTATCTGATTGGTATTTTCAGGGTGTTTAGTATGTAGATTGTCAGATAAATCCCTGTCCGACAGGAAATTAGTGCCCACGAATCGCTGTAGAATGTGAGGAAACCTTGATTCCCAAAAATAAAACCGATTTCAACTCTACGAATGTGTACGATTGAAGTTGTTTAGTAAGTGTATACCTAAACATAATGGTTACGACAAAGAGATGAGCTTATGGCACCTTAAAAACAATTCACGATACCTCAACTGCTGGGTAAGAAACGCTAACAGTGACCCAGTCAAGTTTTTCCATTTTCCGGGGGCAGTTGGTGGATAAGGTTGTCATCGAGGTGACTCGTTTGTGTGCATGAAGGACAGCTCAATGACATAACCTTATCCACCTTTGCCTTCTCTCCTTTTGTCCAACTGCGATTCGTGTCAATTTTGAGCGAAGACACGCTTCTTGAAAGTGGGACGTTATTTAAGAAAAATTTCCAAAGCCGAAGTATGGATACATATGCTGCAAGCTCGACTCAATGTCCAAACTTTCGGGGTTTGTTTACATAAAAAATCACGTGATACTACACGTGAAATCTAAAGCCCAAAAGGTGAATTAAACAAATCCCTTTACCGCAATCTGGATGCTTGCTCATTATCTGCTTTACTTCATTAGAAGTAAGTAACCCTAAGAATTTTACTAATATTTAATCTAAAGCTACATGGTATTTGTTTTCTTTATTTCAGGTGTGGCCCTTGTAAATCAATTGCTCCAACTTTTTCAAATTATAGTACTAAGTATACAGCAGCAGTTTTTTTGAAAGTTGATGTGGACAAATGTGATGTAAGTAAACTTTTGACATACATAATGTCATTAATACAAAACAAACAAATCAAAGCAAAGTTGTTTTTTTAGAATTATTACTGGATGCTTGAAGGCTCTTGTCTCAATTGATGTAATTTGTGATAATTTCAATTAAGGGTTAGTGAAAAACTCTCACTCTCCCTAGAGCATTTGATGACAACCACAACCTCATGATGGCTGTTAAGTCCAATCCTCACTTGTAACAGTCTGTCACAGTGGGTACACAGATTGCAGGAGGTGCTCCAGGCTGAGAGCCAGCACTTGCTCTGCTTAATGCCATTACTGGTGTTTCTTTTTTGCTATTCACTTCCCTTGCTGCCACACCAGTTTAAATCACAGTACACATCTAGATCAGTGATAGACTGCTGTATACATGATTACAAAATCCAAATATTTCAGGGATTCAGATTTCTTCTTTGTTCCACATCTGTGGCAAAAGGACTATTTTTTTATTTTTTGATAGAGTTAAAAATTTCATTTGGTACCAATTCAACAGCAATCAACAACAACATGAATGCATTCATATATTTTTTATGTTAGTTTGAAATAATAATGTTTGAAATGTCTTTCTTTTATTATTGTTATACTGTCTTAAATTTTTCACACTTAATTGTTACATATTTTTTGTATTCTATACTATTATATAGCAGGTCCACATCAGCATTTTGTTGTTATTTTACAACCTGCAAATAAAGTATGTATGTATGTATGTATGTACGTACGTATGTATGTATGTATGTATATTTACCATCTTTTGGTATCTTTTTAATGAATTTTTGTAGGACATAGCAGCCAGGCATAAGGTGACTTCTATGCCCACATTCCAGTTTTTTAAGGGCAAAGTGAAGGTGGATGAAATGTCAGGAGCTGATCCTAAGAAACTGGAGGAAAAAATAATTCAATGGATTGGAGATAGTGATAGTGAGGCTGGAGTTAAGGGATATGTAAGTCATGGAGTTCTTAAAAAATTGATTGTACATGTACACAGCTGACATTTAAATGAAACTGCAGACTTAGGAAAATTATTATGAAGAATGTTGTGCACAAACAACATGCAAAGTTAAAAGCATTCCAAGTTTTTTATGTGAAAGGTAGCAAATAGTTTACATATTTGCATGAAATCAAGAGTATCATACAATTTTCATGATTTCATGAAAGTCTCATACAATCTTTACAATTTTGAAGTAATCACAATCACTTAACTTTGTACAACTATATTTGAGCATACTGGTAGGTATAATTATATTAAAGGCACCTTCTATTAGAAATTACCAGAAAATCACAGGCTTACATAATAAAATAAATGTAGATCTCAATGATTGTGCAGAGCTCACAACACCCCTTGTGAATTGTGCTTTAAATGTATTGTATGTAACAGCATTAAGTTATGTGGAAGACACAAGAAGCACTAGGGCTGATTATATTATTTAATGAGGGATATCTTTGCATAGATCACAACTGACAAAAATTGCCTTTTATTGGATCCATTTTACGTATTAATTATGATATCAATACTAATGTTTCAGATGGATTTAGGAATATTTATTAACAAGAGTGGATGTGAATGTTTAAATGAAAGTGATGACCACCATCTGTCAGCTGCTCTGGCAAAGGGACCTGACTTCTTGGAAAGTGACTGTGATGAACAGGTACATAAACTGCAAAACAATCTATGATATGAATTCAAAATTAATGATTACTATGATGCGAACAAAACTCACTTTCACTTGAAAAGTTTTGCACTGGGGCTCATTTTGAAATTGAGGATAGCTTTTCAGAAATTCTAAATAACGTATTGATCTGATGAGCTGTAAGTCCAAAGCTTAAATACTCTTGTTGCCCATAAAACAAAGCATTATTTTGTGACTCAAGAACTGGACTCCTTGTAGATGGGGAGCTAGTTAATCATGAGTAATACCAGCCATACATTCAACGTGTTTTTCAGTCTTATCTATATCCCTTTTTATAGGGAAGTACAGAGAAAGTAACATTTCATACCCAAGAACAAAATTAAATGTGTTGAACCCAACCAGGTTGTCTCATACCCAGGCTGTCATCCACACTTACACTAGCTACACCTTCCAGACTAAGAATTTGTGGCTCTGACCACTGACTGCATTTTCTCAAAACACTCATAACTGCAATGAATTGTAAAGTTCATCAATCCACAGTGTTCCTTGTTTGAGTTATGATAGTGATCAGTAATGGAGGATTTTTAAAATTGTCTTTTTAGTTACTTATAACAATAGCTTTCAATCAGACTATCAAGCTACACTCACTCAAGATTCAAGGACCAGGAGATGGTAAGTGTCAATCAAAAAGGGTCATTTTATGGTGCTGACAGCAGGGTCAATAACCTTCCAGTTCTTGTTAATACATTTTAACCTACTAGATTTTATTATTTTATTATAAAATGTTTCTGATTTATTTTCTCTTTCACTCACTGCAGGTAGAGGACCAAAGACAGTCAAGTTGTTCATTAACCACACAAAAAGCATGGATTTTGACTCAGCAGAGAGCTTTGAAGCACTGCAAACTCTTGAGTATGCCATATTGTTCTGACTTCTCTTCCAAAAACATTTAGATGCCAAGTGAACTATTGACATTTCAATTGAATTTGTTCCAAATAAGAACAAGTGGCTTCTTAGTTAGCCTTCATCTTTATTTTCGATAATTTCCTTGTCTGTACCAGTAAAAGTAACACAAGATATATACAGCAGCCTTTATGGTCATCACAAGCAAACCCTAATCACAAACTTTGAGGTGTTTCAGTCCTGGGTGGCTTACCCCATTTGTGTTCTTAAAAAAAAAAAAAAGAACCACTTAACTCTGGCATCCGTGGTGTAAATGTTTACTGGCAAATTAAAATGTAAATTTAAAAACCTGCTGGGAACTACATGTATCTGGTATAGAATTTGGATGTTACCACTTGCACCCATCCAGGAGTAGTCACAATACTCGTGTCACTTCATGTCACAGAAACTGGGATAAGCTCATAGCAGTAGCTGTGATAATTAGTCTTGTTTAGCCATGTACTGTATTGCCATATTAACCACTCCATGCTAAATAGGTTAACACCAGAAGATTTAACAGAGGATGCAATCATTCCACTGAAGTTTGTCAAATTTCAAAATGTCCAAAGCCTTACGGTTAGTTAAATTGAATTCTTTTTGATTACTTCATGTTCCTTAAATCTTGAAAAGAGGGATTATACATGTTAAATTTACCAGTTTGTTTTTCTAACCCTTTCACCTTAGCCAATGAAAAGCAAGGAAATTTGATAAGCTGAAGTACTGATACAAGCTGTGTTCTTTACAGTCTTTCTTTTGCTCTCACTAGTAGTCTGTTTATCCTCTGAACACTGACACATTGCATAATTATTAATTTTTCATATAAGTTTTTTTGGGAAAGTCATCTGTAACAGTTCTGTAACAACCCAGTCCTTTGCCAGGTTTTTTTGGTATAATTATGGACTAGAGAAAAAATTATTGGTGTGTATTCTGCAGCTATTTGTCCTGACAACTTGTCGTGACTGACTAAGCCTGTAGATCAATTGGCATGAGAGAAACAACAATTCTTTGGCTGTTGCCTCAGTTTATTCACACAGTAAAACAATGAATTATTTGTGATAGTATTTATTCAATATTTGTGTTTTCTGTAGTTATTTTTTCAAAACAACCAAGGCAATGAAGAAACAACTGTTGTGGAGTATATTGGATTTATTGGCAGCCCTCTGGATTCAACCAATATGGAGGAATTTAAAAGGGTAAGAAACCTCCAGTTACATTGTTAACAAAGATTGGTTACTTTGTCCATTTTATTGTTATTTTACTTAATTTACTACTGTTTTTCTTTATTTTACTGTTATAAATTTGTCACATATTTATCTAAATGTTTGTTTTAACAATTATATTGTAATAATCAAAAAAGTAATTTGTTTTTAATTATTTATTCTTGTCAGGTGGCTGGTAAAAAAGGTGACAGACACTAACTCTGCACCAGTGCACTTTTTACCCAAATGCTTCAGCAAATGCCCATCTGGATGTGCTTGTCTGTGCAATACTCAAGTAGAATAATTAGATACCCTTTTGTGAAATTCTCTCATAAGCCATCAGTAATCTCATGTCACAGAATATTCAAAGTCTCAAAGGAAACTTATTCAAATTCATTGATTGCTGGTGCAGATGGTTAATTGGAAATTGCTTTCAAAGAAACTCTTTGCCATTAAAATATTACATATAGTAACTGTTTTGCCATGTGTTTTTATGATCAGCCCACAAATACACATACAATCACCTACACTTACATTGACATGTAACTTATTTAAGGTGTCAAACTTTTTACAGCTCTAGCCTTCTTGCTTACAGAAAACTAATTTGAAACTTAGAAAAGACACCATGTAGATTCCAAGTACCAAGAATGAGAGCATGCGTTTAGAAAGATTCCAGTCTAAAATTTAAGTAAGAATGCATCCTATAAACCACATTTGCATCATACTTACCACCATCAATATTAGTCTCCATCAGTACTGGAAAAACATAGTGAAAGCCTGCTTCATAATAACGCAAAAATACCACTGATTCTTTTTCTCAGTGAACCAGCAACTGACTCAAGTTTAACAAATAACAAATAAAAGTGGCAGCTGCAATGAGTAAACCTGACACTCTTGAGGAAACTAGATTGAAAAAGAAATAGCTTTTGCCAGAATAGAATATATATATATATAAAATCTTGATTATAGTCTATCCTTGCAGTACAGTGCTCGATGTGTTCACAGAGCGTGGTATATCTGAAGGTTCAAGTAATCAGTAAAGACATAACTTTTCTGCGACTCTGAGTTTGACGTTTAAACGATCATCAGACTGATCTTAATCATTAAAATCTGTCTGATGATTGCGTAAGCATGAAACTCAGAGTCACAGAAAAGTTATGTCTTATTGGTTAGTTCAACCTTCAGATATATAAATAAATGAGGAATATCTTAAATAGTATTGTACCAGCTGACTAATTACACTGTATTGAAGCTTACTGTGCAAGTATGTTACAAGAGTTTTAGTTCAACTGCAAGGCCAAAATGGTCTGAGACAAATTTGTTCTTTTTGGTTACCAGCTTAATGATCTCTTTTCTCACCACAGCAACATTAGAACTAATGAACATTGCATCATAGTTACCACCATCAATATTAGTCTCCATTCGTACTGGAAAAACAGAGTGGAGGCCTGTTTCACTCATTGTTTCTAGAAGTTTTCTAAATTCCGTACTACTGTTACTAGTTGTGGGGTAATTGTTATCAATGTTAAAGTCTCCAGCCACAACAAAGTGTGAATTCAGATTGAAGTCTTTCATGGCCCTGGCCAATTCTTTTGCTTGTTGAACCCGAGAATCAACTCCTGTAGGATTTAAATGGGTGTTGATGACATATAGGGGCTTGGAGTTAATGAAGAACTCTCCAACTACAAAACCTCTATAGACCAAATATTGGAGGATTGAGGAGTTGTATTGTTTTGAAATTGTTCTTACTAATGGTATACGACTAAATATAACAACACCTCCACTCTGTCCAAAGGGGGGGACAAAATCGAAGATGGATGTTCTAAAGGGAAATCCATGTTTCTCCATTTCCACAACAAGGAGTGATGCACATTTTTTGAACACAGCCACTCCAAAATTCCAGATGTATGCCTCCTGAATCAGAGCAATGTCAAAATCCTTTATTCCCTCAACAAGACTTTCAATTCTTTCCTCAACACCATGAGAATGCCATAGTGTGCACCATAAGTTATAACTCACCAATAGCAGATTCCTTTCCAAGTTGAAAGTAGGATTTCCTTTTTTCATATTCTCATGCTGGGTAACTTGATTAAATAGCATTTTTTTATCATCCTGTAATCCATTAAAAACGTAGTAGATGATAAGGAGCATCACTGGAACCATAACAATAGCAAGTGCATGTTTCATACGCAGTTGAGCTAGTACTTTTAGTAACCTGGAAATTTTAAAAGAACTTCTGATCAGTGATAGCAGAAATAAGACTGACAGATTGTTTACACTTCTTATCACTGATCTCTGTCAGAGATCATGGTGAAATCAAGATAATAATATTAATTATTCATTCACTATTCCATTTCGGTGAATATTTTAATTATAACTGCCGGGCATTTAGTCCATTTGAGTCCGTGCTCGGCAGTCTGACCAGAAGTGTAAAATTTCTAAGTGGCGACAACCGAGCGATGCACAAGCTGGGAGAATTTGTCAAACAATAAAGAAAAATAATTTATGAAAAAGCTTGACATTCTTTTTTTAACTAATGTGTGTTATTCTTAAGAAGATTACAGGAACGTTCTAGTGGAGATTCTATGAAAATTTCTGACTGCCGAGAATTTAATTTATTTTGAGACCGTGACCGGCAGCGGAGCATTTAGCCTCAGAGTCATGATACACAAAGCTGTATAAACACGAGTGCAAATTACAATTAGCGCGTACGATGTCCAAATTTCGTCTGTCTTGTTTTTCTGTGATGCCTTTTTCATGCAAATTGTAAATAAGTAATGACATGATTTCTCGTTTGACTTGGTGTGAATAAGCACTTGTCAGTTTTTCAAGACTTCAAGTTAAACGAGCTCATCTGTCGTCTCTGAAAAATTCACTCGCGGTTACTTACACTCGAATAGTGCACTCGAAGGCATCTTTTTGAAATTTTACCCATTATTACCAGAGAAAAGCCATGGCGTCATTATAACAACACCGTGGTCTCTCATTTGACGATACTAGACCACATTTACCTTGCTCTAGAATGCTCCATTTTCCAACACATGCGAAAGCAGGTTAACAAATGAAGCGTTTGGTCATCTGACTACGAGGAGTATTTCGCGCTGCGTTCCCGCAAATATTGCATAAAGACCGCACTTGGAGACCGCATGCCAGAGAGAGCGTGACTAACAACACTCGTTCCTAGCCCTTGAATGATCGCTTGAGCATCCACCCCACGGAACACAAAAGGATGTTTTGTGATTCAATGAGATGCAAACAAGTGGCCCTGCGCTCTGTAATTTTACCTGATCGCAGCCCTTCAAGTGACCCCCTTGAGCGTGATATTTTAAGTTTGTCATGTTGCTCAGATGTGAAATTTTCCATTTTTACGAATTGGTGGGTGAATCAACCTTAAAACTTAGGTATTCAACATGCAGAGATGGCGGCTTTCTTGAGATAGGAGGAGCGGTGAAACGAGTAGCCAAAGCCGCGAGAAGCTTGGCGGCAAGCTTCGCCGTCCACATAAAAAATGAATTTGTGCCTCTTGTATAACATAGTACGTTCGTCTCGGAAAAAAAAAACAAATTTCACATTCATTAGTCTTTATTCTAAAGCATCCGGCAAGCATGGTAAGACATGTGCCATTAAACAGCTAACAATAATCACGGCTGGATAAAATTCATAAACAAATCAGTGACAGTTTGTCAGTGACGCACTTCATTTCATTGGTTAATTGTGCATCGCTAGATCGTGTAGATCATTTATAGTCGTAGACTCTGTCCCAAGACTCTTCAAAATATCCGAGTGTCTGAATAAGACCGATATTCTTCAGAAAACGTGAAATCCAATGTTGGGGAATAAGCAGGTGAAATCAATCTCATTTACAAACTTATTATTCCCCTTTGTTGTGAATTTAAGAAACGGATCAGATTGGCCGTCAAGCACTAAATTTACAAGAAATTAATTTACTGTGTTGTCTGTCGATATTTCTTCGTTCTCTCGACGTCCAATAATTCGTTTTACCTCTGTAAGCGCAGAGTCACTGCTTTGATGTTATTAGTGACGAATTTTTATTTCTTTGGTCGCTCTCCTCCTAGCTTCTATCGAAAGATTTGCAATTTAAAAGAAGAAACACCAGTATCTGGTCTTCATCATTAGCGATTGAAGGAATCAGTGAAGGAGTGATTCCGTGTTAACACTATTTCCCTACTGGAATAGATATTTCTCTGCTCAGTACAGAACAGCACTGAAACGTTTTCATCTGCAGCGTAATTTCGACTTACAGGAGCGCCAGTCTTTTACAGCGCAAGTCCACTCCACTTCCAGTATTTCATGAATAATAACGTTCCATAATCAGAACCATTCCCTAAAACATCCGACACACCACGACACTTCCATATAAAATTCAACATAACCTGTAGCAAACTTGCGCGCCGAGTAAAGTTTTCTCACCCGTAAAACGTGCACAGCTGCTTGTATTGTGACGTTTACTCTTCGTCTCTCATCTTTCTTCTATTTTCTTGTACACTGCTCTACACCACAAATGAGTCTTTCTGTACCTACTCATTTACTGCAACGTTCTCCCCCACCACTTCCCCTTCACACACTAAGAGCTATTTATACCAACAAAATGTGGAAACAAAGAGAAACAAAAGAACACAAAAAGCTATCATGCAGATATTAACAATTAAGTGTTAATGCGACTTTACAAAACACGGTTACAATACACGGTTACAGTAAGGACTAATTACACTGTTCTAAAATTAATAATGTTCTACAAGTATTCTTCCAGATAGGAAGTTACGTAAAAAAACGTAATAGCATTCTTACCCTTAGGAATGACAAAACTAGCTCTGAACAAGAGACTTTTATATGACAGTGGGACAAACTGATTTTCCTCTATCATTGCAGACAATCACTTTGGGTCTATTTAAAGCCTACACTTGTCATTGGCGCGTTAGCTGCGACAATCTTCCTGTTTGGTTCCAATATCTGGAGTGGAGGACTCAGCTACGAAAAAAGAATGCTTTTTCGTCGCATTATCCAAGAAAGTAACAGAATAGAACAACATACATTGACTCACAGAAAGAACCTTCGGCTGGTTACTTATAACTTATGGTGTGACTTTTTAAAACCTCACACAATTTTGAGTCTTGAAGAAAGAATTGAATGTCTTGCAGAAGGAATAAATGATTTTGACATTGTACTCATTCAAGAGGCGTACGTTTTGAACGCTGGAGTCGCAGTAATCACAAGATGTGCTACATTAATGGTTGCTGCCATGACGAAACGTGGATTTCGATACAGAACGTCAATAGCAGATTTTACCGCACCATATGTAGGGCAGAGTGGTGGTATTGTTATATTTAGTCGTATACCTCTAGTAAATACCACATCAAGAAGTTATCACAACTACTCCATCCTACAAGTTACTGATTATAGGGGTTTTGTTGTTGGAGAGTTCTCAGTCAATTCCCAACGCCTTTATGTCATTAACACACACTTAGATCCCCATGGAGTTAATGCCAGGCTCTCACAAGCAAGGGAACTCGCCGCTGCCCTACAGGATTTTAATTCAGATTCACACTTTATTGTGGCTGGAGATTTTAATATTGACAACCACCATCCGACTACAAGTGAAAACAGCGATGAATATCAACAGCTTTTGAAAATAATGCGTCAAGTTGGACTTCAGTCTGTTTTTCCAGAGAGAATGGAAACCAACCAAGATGGTGGTAACTACGATGCGATTTTCATCAGCTCTAAAGTTTCCGTGGTGAGAAAAGAGATTATAAAGTTAGAAACAAGGAAAAATGAATCTGTGTCCGATCACTTCGGACTCACAATTGAATTAGAGCTATAATAACTTATGCAGGGAAACAGGTGACATTATCGGCCATAAACAAGCAAAATTTACTCTCCTAACCAGCAAAAATATGACGTGTAACCAGAAATAAATTGACTAACCAGCTCCAATAGTCTGTCGGTCTCTTATGGCGAACTTGCTGCAGTAGGTGCTTCTTGTATACATTCCTCTCCCTCCCTCTCCGCTTCCCTTCCCTGAAATTCTCACATGGCCTAAACATTCCCCCCATATCCCGCCTCTGTAGGAGGGGCATAGACATTTTATGGAACAACGCAATACCATCTTACAACCAAATTTGTTTACCACTTAATCTCTTTTCGTTACTTTTTAACAGTTGTGTCAATATTTTATCGTTATCTGTTTACATATGTATCAAATTATAGATTTTAAAAAAATTTATTCCCTGAAATTATGTTGATGTATTTTGTCGGAATGGTCTGTTAATTAACATATTTTCCTTAAACCAAAGTTAGATAAAGTGTTGGTGAAGGTTCATTTTATAATGTTGACTGAAGACACTAGAAGTTTTTAAAGAAAGAGATGACATTCTAATAATGTGAGAGAGGTTTGTTAGAAGTGCATTTTTCGAGCTAATTTTATCCTTTTACTCCAGAGATTTGATGTAGGGGCTCTAATACCCCAGGGTTATCCGGGAACCCGAACCGTTCTGTATACTCGAATGACTTAGTTACCCCATAAACCGTGAAAGTTTGAAGGAAATCGGTGAGATGGTATGTGTCACGCCTGCCCGGCCCCTCTTGTGGACAGTCCCATAACTCTAACCTTCAAGGTTTGTCGTGTCATGTTTAAATCTTAATCGTTAGTAAATCAAATCTCAGACTTCAAGTTTTCGGCCTTTTGCCACATTTTGTTTGCACTATAATCATAAAAATATCCTCTCCAAAGAGCCTACAAATAGCGAGAGTATCCACAGAGTTAGCATGGTGGTAAAATTAGCATACTCTTTAATCCTTCTTCAAAAGATATTTCAAAAAGGTGGCAAACCCGTGGATGCGCACTCAAAACACTAGAATGGCGCCGAACGGGCAAAATTTTAATTATTCTTGCGCATGCATAGACAAAATCCTCATCTGCTCTAGTTTCAATCTTGAGCCCAGGGTCAAAATTACCTCTGGGATAATCGATTAATTAAATTTTTTTTATTGGTTGCTGGGAAAACAGTCACACAGGAGGTGTGATTTATGGAAGGGATCGACAGGGCCAAAAGTAGAGCCTTAACAACGATAAATTTGAATTGTTTTACTGTTGTTGTTTTTTTTGCGTGAAAGTTGTCACTTGTAAACTGCCTGTCGATGTGTGAGAAAACATCCAGCAAAAGCCGTTGCATGCTGTAATGGCGGGAAGCTGTTCCTCATGGATTGCTGTCGTTGTTGTCAAAGACGTATAGGTAGTAATAAATCACTATATTAATTAGTAATAATAATTACAAATTAAATAATAATTAATTTGAGTGAAAAGCGGAAAAGAGAGAATTGTAGAGGTCGTGCGAGCGTACGGAAATGTTCTAGCGTAAAAGAGTTTGACATCAGAATAGCATAGTGTTCAGTATCAAAGAAGAAATCGAGAAGCATAAATAGGTAAGGAAATCGCGAGGAAAAGGGTCCCGTTCCTTAAAAAATACAGAAATGTGGTCTGTTGCCATCCAAAGCCCTTTTCAGGCCACAGTTTCACTATCTACTTTACAGCAAGTAAACCAATCAAGAGATCCCTTATACCAACGTCTCAGGTACTCCAAAGTAGATGAAACTGCTGCATCATGCTTGTTCAAAGTACATCTTTACTAACTAACTAGCTTGTAATCGATTCACCTCGCGCGGAAACCTGAAAACAGCGTAAAAGCTGTGTAAAAGGCCGCCAGTTACCCTTTTTTCTCTCACTGCCAAACTTCCAGGAGCACTGGAAGGTGCACTGGAAAAAATCTCGGTATTTTCTTCTGGTTTATAAATTACATTTTCGATTAGTTACGATGAGTCGTTAGTTCACGTACACAAAGATAATTTCCGTTCTTTTCTTTTTCCGCTGGCGTAGCGGACCTATGCTCTATTTTGGGCACGCGCAGAAGTCAACAGGAAGAAGTGTTTTGATTACTTTAAAGGAAAAAGTATGTTAGCTTCGTCAATGGAGCCTCTTCTTGTTGTTTATTTTTACGCATCACGTTTTGGTTCACCCTACGCTCCCTCGAGTAACAAAGTATCCCTTTGATTTCTAGCTCTCGTCGTCGCCTGGGTAACTAACTAACAATATGGTGAAGACGGAAATAGAAAGTGGGCACAACTCATGAACAAAATCACCGATTCTTTTCAATATCCTTCTGTAACTCAACAGTGTTAAAAGCAATTTGGTTCTAAAATGCCTTATGAAACATTCTTTATCCGAGCTGCTTTTACTTGCAGAGTTTTGCATAGAAGCTTGATGAAAATTGCCACATAAAAGTCGCTTACATTTGAAGCATTCAAGCTCCCAAAAACATATTTTGTAAGGCTTTTAAAACTCCAAGTTTAGAGTGCGTTAAATTGCTATTTAGTGCTCAAAATTTTGACTCTTCAAGTCCTTTTGAGTCTCCAATTTTTCGGATTCATATGGCCCATCTCTTTAAAAAGACCTCTGTTAGCTTGAAGACATAATTATCTATTGACGCTCTGTTCTTTTGACATTTTCCTGCTTTGCCCAAAGATGAGAGCCTCATTGCGTCATGGTAAATATTATAAAAAATGCAATCGAATCAACCATTGGCTAGAATTAAAGGCCATTCTTGTCTGAATTAGGTTCGACTGTATAATTTCCTGTCTTAACAAGGGCTTGACAGATTCATCTCTTAGGATAGAAAAAAATAGATAACCTGGACTTAAAAGGTTTTTTTCTTCTTTTGTGGTCTTCCTTATTGACAGATGAGCAGATTGAGTCATTGACGCAGGCTGAATTATTGACGTGAACAGAAGATACATCCTGTCTTTTAAATTTTCTTTCTTGTTCCTTCTACTTCTTTTCAACCTTTGTTTCTCTCAAATCCTTTTAAATGATGTTCCCTTCACCTGAAACTTCCAATGATAAACATTACCCTCGCAAGTGGGACAATGGAGACCATAGGATTACATCCAAAAAGCACGGGTCCATCAGGATTTTTCATATTTCTTGCTGTTCTTAACATCTTTTTCTCCATCACTGCCTTTTTGGGCAACGCTTTGATCTTAACTGCTCTCCGCAAAGTGACTTCTATTCACCCTCCAACAAAGCTGTTATTGCAATGCTTGGCAATCAATGATCTTTTCGTGGGACTTCTTCTATTGCCTCGCTTGGCAGTAATTAGTTCATTTGTGACTCAAAACACGCAGGAAAATATTTCATACTACAGCAGCGCTATAGCTATCTTTTTGATAACAGTATCCGTACTAACATCGACTGCAATATGTGTAGACAGGCTTCTAGCGCTGCTTTTGGGGCTGAGATACAGACATATTGTCACATTTAGTCGTGCAGGAGCCACCGTGATATGGATTTGGTTCATGGGCTGTGCTATGATCGGATTAATATTCGGCACGGGGTATTTTGATTGGGCCCGCTTTGCAGTGAACTTATTGATGTTATTATCTTTATTAATATCGTTCTTTTCGTACGTAAAGATTTATCTCCTTCTCCGTCGTCAGCAACTGCAATTACGGGGCCACTTCCAACAAGTGCAAGCGCGAAATGAATTCATACCACTGAATATAGCACGATACAAGAAGACAGTCTATAGTATTGCATGCGTGCAGGTTGCTTTGCTTATTTGTTATCTTCCCTTTACTATTGTGGGTATGCTATTGACATCACGTAAAATACCTGATGCTTTGGGATCTTCTTTCTTTCGAGCTACAATCACAATTCTTTGCTTTAACTCATCGCTAAACCCGATACTTTACTGCTGGAGGATACGAGAAGTGAAACAAGCTGTGAAGGACACGACAAGACAATTAAACTTGTGTCGTGCATCAATTTAGTTGTGGTACACGATTGCTTAGGTGTACTGATCATAACTTTAATCCACATCAAATAATTACTTTACCACAATGTAACCAATATTTAGATGAGTGTAAGCATCCGGTGACTTGGACCTCCTGCGGTGTACAGGGTTAAGAATTATCTTTTGTATTATTTCCTTTCATGTTTTGTGATTTGGTCTGACGACGGACTAATCTATACATGCAATAGATATTTGAATAGTGTAAAGTTAATGAATCGACTCCTTTGTTGCTTCAGAAAAGATTACGACGTGGATGTAATTAATTATCCAAAAAGTGAGGGTTTTTGTTAAAAAAGATCCATTAAATTTTCTGTGACTGAGACGAAAAAATTCCAAAATATTATTGTCCAGGTTAAATTATTTTGACACTAAATAGCGATCTTATTAAGTCTTTCTGTTTAGACTCTAAAGCTGACCTATCATCGAATTTTGGGGTATTATGTGATCTTTGAATATTCAATGAAAAAAAAAATGGTTCAAGCCCTTCGAAGGTTGACCCCGCAAAGAGTAAATAACTTCAGTATAAAGTTTGATCGTTCAATGAATGGTTATGACTTGACTTGGGACAAAAGCGGCTTTTCTCCCATTTTGGTCAAATTTCGCACTTTTCAATGAAAAACCCGCTCTTACTTTTGTTGTTGTCTTTATTTAACGTTGTAATTACAGGTTGGAAATTAGCCTTTGCGACACACTGACTATCATACTGTTTTACAAAACTAGAATGTGAAGATTTACAACGTCAGTCAACAAATTTGAATGTAAAGATCCACAACGTCAGTTAGCCATGTGCATACATTGGAATAATCTAATAAATTTCTTCATCACTGCATAAACTCACTTTGCCTTTAAACTACCAGAAAACTAGACTGAAAAAGAGAACCAAAAACTGACGTGCACTGCTCTGAAAACCCAAAATAAAAACTTAGAGAAGTTAAAATGTAAGTTCATGAATTGAATGTTTTACCCGTTCACGGATTCTTTTGGTCACTGCTCTATCACGAGATGAAGACAGGATACGAAATGATCGTTTCCTATAGATCTTTCAGTGAAAGCATGATTTGTCAGCACGCATATTCTTATATCATTAAGAGATAATAAATGACTCGTTTTTCCTCCAATAAAGTGTCGATTGTTTCCTTTTGCTCTTCTTCTTATACAAATCCAACTACATTTGGTTTTATAGACTATAGGACTGATTAGTATAGTACAAGATTAAGATCCGACTCTCCGTCCACTGAGCCACAGAGTCTTTAGGGTGAGGGAAGCCATTACGAGGTTCATATGTTACATTCATCCTGCATGCTACTAAGATCCAACGTCAAAAATGTCATGCTCGTGAACAGAATAAATCGCTCATCGTACATTTTCTGTGGCTCGGTGGTGGAGTATCGGAGCGCGGAACCCGAAGGTCTGAGGTTCGATTTCTAATGGAGATTCAGACTTTTTTCCTCTGTTGCACGCTCGAGACCAAAGGAAAAAAAACGCGTCTAATCAATCTTTTACCGCTCAGTAAAGAACTCAGATTCAAAAATTGCGCATTTACCACATACTTTTTTTCTCATCTAACTGAATCAAGTACGAAATTACAATTCCCCAGCTGTCTTGGAAATCTTAAGAGTTTGACAGATTATTTATTTCTTCAAAGCGGAATATAGTAAAAATGAAAGAGCTAAAAAAAATTTGCATAGGCTTTAAAGGTTCTTTTTCTTCGGGTCTTCTCCTAATGACAGAATGACAGATTGAGACTATTAACCGTCGCAATATCTTGCATTGATTATTGACGTTAATAGATGGTAGACTGTGTTTCCCTCAAATCCTTTTCAATCATTTTCCCTTCACCTGAAACTTCAAATGACGGAGCCGCCGCAAGTGAGACAATGAAGGAAAAATGAAGACATGTACATCCAATACTCACAATTCCAGAAGGGTTTGCCATAGTTCTCACCATTTCTCTCTTTCTCTCCATCACTGCATCTTGGAACAATTTTTTTTTTAAACTGCTCTTCGTGAAGTGACTTCCATCCGCCCTTCTTTCGATGTCTGGCAATAATATAAGTGATCTTTGCATGGAACTTATTTCAAAACCACTCTTTGTGTTAACTAGTGCATTGGGGACGCTAAACACGAAAGGAAATATCATATACTAATGCAGTCAAGTTAACAATTCTTTAGGAATTTTTTTGGTAACAATATCCGTACAGACTTCTACTGCAATATGTGTAGACAGGCTTCTCGCCTTGCCTCTGGGGCTGATACCGATATGTTGTCACATTCAGGCGCGCAGGGGCTGCTAAATTGTTTTTGGTTTCTGGGCTGTGCTTTAATTGGTTTAAGATACGGCAGTCTCAATCAATCTCAGTATTTTCTTATGTAAAGATAAACCTCGGTCTCCGTCATCAGCAACTGCAATTACGCCGCCATGCCCGACAAGCGCAAGCACCACATGAATTGATGCCTCTGAATATAGCACGATACAAGAGAACACGACTGTACTGCTGGACTGTAGCATTAATATTCTACATAAATGTTAACAATATTTTCACGGCTGTAAGCATCTGCTAATTACGACCTTTAGCAATGGTATTTGATGAAAAATCTTCATTTGCATCCCTTTTTTACAGAATGGCTAAACTTATCCAAATAAAAAGATCCATTAAATTGTCTCAAGAGAAAAAAAATTGGCCATTAGTTCCTCTTGATGTTCCACAATTGCCACAAGCAAGTGGTAAATTTAGCTATCAAAGCAAATTGTTTCTATGACAGACTGCGATGTTCTTGATTTTTTTATTTTGAATCTTTTAGATCTACATGAAAGGCTGTCCTATCACAAACAAATAATCTATTGTTTCGGCTTTAACCTATACTTTGAAACGTTTTAAGAAAAAAATAGAAATTTCGAGCGCGAGAACATGGTATTTAATGCAATCTTCTGAGGTCATTATGAGGTCATTCAGTACAGCTGTCATTGTTTCCTTTTCCTCTACCACTGAAGCAAGTTCAACAAACATTTGGTTGTATAGCTTACATATACATACATACATACATAAATAGACTTTATTTAAACGCGAAATTTGAGTGTAGCTACAAAAGCTGATGTTTTCGTGTTAAATATAATAAAATAGAATGAAAATAAAAAATCCTGAAAAGAATATAAAATTTAAATACCAATCAAATAATACATTAATAAAACTGATATAAAATACAGTAAAATACGATGTACTTTACAATTGATATAAAGATACATGCTTGTGATATTAAATGTTAAAATGACATAACCAAGAATTGTCCGCTTAAAGTCATATAAATCCTCTTAAGCTCTCAGGCCAGCAGGTAGGGAATGTAGAATGTAGACCATACGTTGTTGTTATCGGCTGAGAAAGTGACAGGATGTGGTAACCACGTAGGTTGCAATTTGCAGAACGAAGAGTAAACACGGTTTTCATATAATTTGGGTAGTTTTCTACAAACAAGCTCTTATGTAACAATATGAACATGCACTGGAGATGCTTACTACTTAACGAATTGAGGTTAAGTTTTCTGCATTACGTGCACCACAATAACGCCAAACTGTAGAGTAGTGTTGAAAATGCGGTAGGATAAAAGCTTTGTAAATTTTTAAAATGGTGGCACTTGAAATCAGTTTATGAAGCCCTAACATAACACGAAACTGATTGTTTATCTTCTTGCAGATGGTAGATATACGATATCGAAACATATGAATAAAGGGGTAAGTTTCTAAAGAAACTGTGGTGCTGCGTCGGTGGGAGAGTATAGTAGGTAATTTAGTGTTAACAACTGGGCTGAAAAAGTAAATTAGCCACCGTAAAGAGTAGAAAAGCTGACGTTTCGAATCACTCTGACGAAGGGCTAACGCTCGAAACGTCAGCTTTTTTACTATTTACGGTTGCTAATTTACGTTTTCAACCCAGTTGTTAACACTAAATTACCTGATATCGAAACATAGTTTGTTGTCAATACTTATACCAATATGTCTGTTGAGGGCTTAGCAGCAAAAGAAAACATATGATCAGTAGTGCCTAATACCATTGCTTGCTGCTTGCTTTTATTGGCAGTCATGCCATTATTGTGATACCACTGATTAGCAACTGGCAAATCGTAGTTGTACGTTCCTCCAGGTTAACTGGATCTACATTAGAGTCGCATATCTGTTGATCGTCTGCATAAACATGCAGCTTGGTACGTGCTACATTATAAAACATATCGTTTAAGAAAATATTAAATAATACAGGTCCTAATATAATTCCCTGTGGTATTCCCCGTCTGACTCGTTTCTAGGTAAAGAAAGCATCCCCGATCTTGACTCTCTGTGATCTGTCGTTCAAATAATCTCACAACGAAGCGCAAATTTCCTCACCGAATCCATAAGCTTTCAGTTTGGCTAGAAGAAGAGAGTGAGGGATGACATAACAAGACATAACAACTACTACTTCTCCTTTTGTGAGATCTGACAGGAAGTTACGATAGAAATCACTCAATTGGGATTCCTGCAACAGACTCGAGTGCTATGGCTATTCAATTTTCCTAGAGTTTAGTTTTATCCTCGTCACCAACATCACTACCATAATTACTTATATCATTAGGTCATTTAGGTGAGCGATGTAATTATTGGAAGCATTCAAAAATCTGAGAAACGCCACTCCGATGCGATTGCGATGTAAATTAATTTTTAGGTATTTGAGTTGGTTCTTAAGACATTTGAAACCCAGACGGTTTTAAGTTTTTTCAATTTTTTTCCCAATTTTTTTATCGTCGATGGTTTGATTTGTTAGATTTGTTGATTTAGTCAACTTTAAACGCAACTTATAGTCGCGAGGGAAGTGTATGCGACTTAAGCGAAAACGAAGCGTACACATTCAAAAGAAGAGATCATCACACAGAAGGTTAAAATGAAACCAGTACCGAAACACGACCAACTTCCTCCAACGAACAAAGTCGAAGAAACTAAGTTAGTTATTTAATTGTTATTTCGAGCTTAGCTGAAGAACACTATTCAATCTATCTAAATCATCCTATAAGAAACAAAGCTATAAATCTCGGATCTCCAGTTGAAACAGCTTTTCAAGTAGAGAGTTATGGAGCAAGAGATTCCAACCCTACAGATTAATAACAAAGGCAACAACAATAGCAACAAAATACCATAGAAAAGCAAGAGAGGATCCTGTAAAAAAACTCTAAAAGTAAACCAAAAACATTATCTCTCTCTGCTAGAAATACAAAAGAACGGGAGAACAAAAACTTTCAGATTTCACGCCTGACAAAAATTTGTCCTGCTCCAAGGCAGGACAACGGCGCCTTTGGTAGGGTAAAAAAATCGCCGGGTGCACTTGTCTCACTGAACTGATGACATATTTTCTCACAAACTAAGCAAAGTAAATGCCTATTGCACCTGGCCTCTTTTGCATGCTCGCATCCTGCTGTATTGAATTTTTGGAATTTAGTGGAGTCATGAGATATTTCGTAAGTTCCTTATCAGTTTACTCGCGAGTATCCAAGGTCAGTTCAAATCTTCCAAACGTATTTCATAACTTATTTTACTTATCAGTTATTGTTTTTGCTTTTTTTTTTGTGGTTTGGTTTGCTTTACTTTGCTTTGCTTTGTTTCGTTTCGTTTTATTTTGCTTTGCTTTGTTTCGTTTGTAAATAAGTTAATTTTCATTATAAATCTCTATTATACTTTGATTTTGGGTTCCACAACCTATATTTCAGTAACTACCATTAAAGAAGTCCACATTTTAGCAATATTTTCACTTCCCTCCAATACTGAGCTAAGCAAACTGAAATTTACCAGAATGTTAGCTATGTGAACATAGCCTTTTTTAGTCATTATTTTGACGCATTATTCTCTGATAAACCCTAACATCTTAATTAAGGCCAGGCAAGCAAAAGAAGTGAACCGAAACATTTTCTTACGACTCATATCATCTTGATAACGTAGGAAAATTCGACCTGATTCAGCTGAGCAAGAAATCATATTCAAGATCAAAATCTCTTCTCACCAGCAAGATCTCACTCTTGCTCTCGCGGTGACAACTCTTTAATTATTTTTTTTATCCCTAACAAAAATTAGCCTGTATTACACAATTTAGTCTGTCAACGAAGATCCAACTGTCATATTCGATTACACTACTATGAGGATGGCGACATGGCTGGAGAGGTTTGTCTCCTATTTCACAAAATTGTCATTCTTACCTTCTGCAATTAGTGGCTTCTTTCTGATAAAAGAAAAGTTTTAATTACACAACACTGAGAGTAAAACGGGCACGTTCACAAATGCCCAAAGTGTCAATTTCCACTTTTGGTGAAGAACTTTTCTTTATCTTTCTCTAAACACTTCTTCGCATGTCATTACGTACCTAGGGGAAATGTTGCTAGTGAACCATACAGAAATACGATCCAGCACGTTTTAGCAAGCTAGGCAATCTCTTAATTTGCAACTTTAGTCAATTTCCGCTTTTGGGTGTCGTTTTATTCAAGATTGCCCAACACGGACGTGATTAACAAAAAATATACTGATAAGAAAGTAAGTGACTGGCAAAAATAGCCACCCCAGCTTGCTAAAGAAAATACACACTAAAATGATAAAATTTATCGTATGATCTGTCCAGCTCCGCTTGCGCAATCCCTTACAAAATCATAGTGAAAGCTGTAGTGTATAGGCCGAACGGGTTGACATCTGGCCCCAATGCACTCATATGACTTTGATATAAAAAAAAAGAGTGATAGCAGTGAACTGAAAATAAGAATATAAGATACGATTTTTGATGAATTGCGAATTCCTCGTTTAGACTCCTAAAAAAGAAAGGAAAGGTTTGGTTTCAATTATTATTTATTATTACTTTTTTGTTGTTGTAGAATCGTCTTGCTATTTTCCCGCTTGCGTCAGTCTATCGCGTCCTTTGAAGCTGCAACAAAATTTTCGAAATTCTCAAAACTAAGTCAGTGTTCGTATGATAAAATGCTTATCGGGCCAGATGGGAAAATATTTGGCCCTCGTTCATGACGGACAGACGTCGCTGAGCTGTTCGCGTGATATTTCAAGCACAAGAAGCTGTCTGAATACAGTACTGTCACTATCATTGGAATGCTTGGTAAAATGACAAACATTCTGCGGAAAGTTAAACTAACATGCCTGGAAAGACTATACTTCCGAGGGATTGAGCATAAAACCCATATTGCAAAGCACTTTCTTTAGTACTTGCCCGTAGCACGAAGGACAGTCGAGGTAAGTGGCTTGCACACATTCAGCACAATCAACCCATTCAGCATCTGTTATACATGTACTTTTCACATTTATCAATATTTTCTTCTTCAGTTTCTACGCCTATGGTATAAAGTTTTAAGCATACATGTTTGTACACGTGGTGACAAACTTCGCCAGAAATGAATTTACAATTAGCCGACTGAGACCTGTTAGGCTGCTGATTATAAACAAGAGTCTCAAAGGGGCGATGACTCCAACGGCTAACGGTTAAAATTTTGGTCATTTTACGAAGAACGGTTTATTTCTTTCCTTGGGGTTAAAATAAAAATTTAATGATTGTAATCAAAACAAATCACTCACTTATATTAATAGAATAAAATCACCTAACTGCCAGACTAAAACGATTCGACAGTGACTGGGTTGCCCAGGCAAGGTTCGTTTTCGCCTACTTCTGTAAATAATCATGTGATCAACAGTTGCTCAACAACTAAATTCTAAACAGAGAAAGCTATCATTGTTATTTTAAGAATGAGATTTTTCCTATATTAAGCGAGCAATCTTCCTTTCAGGCTATTACAGCAACATTCACGGGTTCTCGCCAACGTGGTTACAATGGGACTCAATTATTGTCCATATGCCGCTTCTAAATCTTTTCTGGTGGTCCTTATAGTCATGAATGGTCTGCTGCATCTCCCTCAAGCCACCGGCAAAAATTGCAACCATAAACTGCCTAGTAAGTAGTGAAGGCACTTTTTGGTTTTTCTGAGGCAGGTTTTTTCTTCTTTATTATTTTTTATTTCGTTTTATTGTTACTCAGTTCAGAATGGCTGTTGCCAATTTTTTTCACGTGCCATAAGACTTGTTAATGGTTTTATCTTTCCCCCTCTTCCAGTAATACCTGATGTAGAGATTTCCACAAGTCCACCAATGCAGAAACTAGCTGTTGGTACAGCGGTAAACCTGACTTGTATGGCGCAGCCCAGGAGTATTGATGCAGGATATTACGATAGATGGACCGAGTACATTCAATGGTATGACCCACAGGGCAAGCCAGTTGGACATAAATGTGTGCAGGGTAGAACAATGGTGTTAAAACTTAGATGTACTTTAATTCTCAAAAACCTGACGGCAGAGAAACTCGGGAACTACACGTGTGAAGCAGGAAATCCATATCCTGCGCACTGCAGAAGAAAATCAGTCGAAATTGGTCCACAAGGTAAGCAACAGATTGGGAAAGTAATACAAGGACAACACTTAGGTGATGACTGGTAAATTAAATGAAAGTAACGTAGAAATAAAAGGAAAATAGCATTATCTAAATAGTTCTTCGTCTCGCTGGTGTAACTGATAGTCTCATGCCCCATTTTTTTTCAAATTGACTCTTTTTAGTATTGCAACATAATAAGAGGATAGCAAAAGGGGGAGGGGGAGGGGGGTGTCCTGATCCCTTTTCACGCGCAATTTCCGCGTTTTATTTTAAAACGCATTTTAGGCGTCACAAAAATAAATAGTAATCCTTCAAATCGTGAGATGAAAGAAGTAAATCACACGTTTCGTCTGTTCTCGCCCCCCGCTGGTTCATAAATACACGTATCACGTTCGTCTTCTGTAAAATCCACGCGTCACGTATTAAATTTGGCCTTAATTATACTTGGAGTTTAACCCGTTGCTATCCTCTAATGAAGCTACATAGAATTCCCTGAAAGAATGACCTGTGGGATATTTTAGCTCTTTTACTAAAAAAAACCAAATACAATTTCGCTTATATTATAAGTCGTGTTACCGACTCCGTCTCTCCTTGGTCTTTGTCAGCCTGATATGAAATTTTACAATCACTGACCTTTTCTTAAAAACAACAAGCTGTTGATATTGCATTAGCAAGCAAGACGCACCATTCTTTCATCACCCTCAGCGTTACATATGCTTTCTGTATTTTTATTATCAGAGAAATAAACATTATCTGTTGTCATATTCTGTTCTTTAGGAAACCAAACCCTTTAAATCGTTGAAGATCTGAAGAGCCAAAGCGTTTTTATCAACCCTAATTTAACTCTGAACTACACTCCAACTACTCATCCTAAGCCAACCACCTTATGGATGAAAAACCATTATTCATCATATGTTATTATGCTTTACAAACCAACAAAACCAACCCAAGGGTAGCGAAGAGGATTATTTCTTATTACTTTACAAAAGGTGTTGGCTTTGTTTCTTTGAAGCGTTTCACTTACGTTTAGGGTAATGATGAAATAGGAGAACACGCGGATTACTTTCTCAGATATTTTGGTATGTTGCATGAAGGTAAAAACGTCATAGCGGAAAGAAAAACAAAGTGAAGAGAAAGGCAAGAGAAATGTAGATTTGCACGATTAATTTTTTTTTTCGGGGGGAGGGGGGAAGAGAAACAGGGGAAAGGGATTTCTGAACATGCCGTCGTTGTGGCAGTAATAATTCTCTCAATTTCTATTTTTCAAATTTCAATTTTATTCCCCAGACATCAAGCCCAATCAAAGCGTGAGAGATTTAGAAAACCAAACAACTCCTATCAGCTTTAGTCTGAATTTTATCTGCACCGCCAGTGGTTATCACAACGCGAGCAATTCACCGACGAAGGACAGCGACCCGTATTCTAAGCAATTCAACCGAATTGCCAAGCTTAAACTTTTAGTTCTAGACCACAAGTACCATTGCATTGGTGGAACCAGCGCAGGAGGAAACATGTTAGAGAGGCTCTCCAACACGTCAACCATCAGCTTAAAAGTTAATTTTTAGCATAGTATAATATATACTTCACTATGAATAATGCCAACGTATAATAGAAGCATGGAATTAAGTAGTTATATTTTAGACGATGCCATAGTCCAGTAAAAGTATTGAAGATCAGTGACTTTAAATGACGTAAACCTCTGTGAAAATACTGACACCTAGCTATTCATTGTTCTCACTCTTTTGTAAAATTGCTGACAAACAGTAATTTTTGAATCAAGTTGAGGAACTTTCCAGAAGTATTGATAAGACAATGGAGGCACCTGAAATGAAGAAGTTTTTTTTTCTTCTTTTTATTCACTGATGTATTCTTTGCATAACAGTTAAAATAAAAATAGCAGCTTTGAAGCTTTAATTTTTTTCCTTAAAAGTTGTGAGGGGGTCTCAATGGGATGATGGCTCTAACGACTAAGGTTAAACCTTTGGCCATCTTACAGCTAATTTAACGGTCAATTAATTTCCTTTGTGGTTACCAGAATAAAATCGACAGTTGACGGTGAAATTTGACAATTTCAGAAAACTTTTATGGGGCAAATTACCTCTTACCGCAATGCCATAATTCTCCCCAACAACCAACAAACCCCAACCCAATCTCCCCCCCCCCCCCCCCCCCCCGTCATATCCTTCTCGCCTGGCAAAAATGCTGTACAGTTATCGTCAGTATCAATGTTAAGGTTTCCTTTGGTTTAATGAGTACATTAGATTAGCGCAATGCCGGTGTCAAGTGCCCTCACCTGACTGATGACACTGCATTTTCTGATGACGCTCAAGTACCTCATCTTTACAAGTGGGTTTTTTCCAGTGTTTGGAACAGAGCTGTTACAAGTGGCCTCTAATGTGCTCAAGGATCCGACGGATTATCATGCATCATGCAATATTTGCGTAACACCTCTCATTTCATAACGGTTATGTACAAGCCACTGATACTTTTCTAACCACGAGGGCTGGAATGTTGAATGTTTGAATGTTTATCTTTTCCTTCAACCACAGCTTTGGAGAAGAAAAATTGAGTATGAAGGAGACGGGCTAAAATGGTTTACAAGGAAATAATTCTTTTCATGGTACTCAATAATTCTTAGATCGACTTTGCCACTAACGATGTCCCCGACATCAAAGTATGGTACGACATGCTGATCGGTGGAAGAAACTTGGGAAACACCTTAAAAAAACAAGTAAGTAATTTACTGCTAAGTCGTCATATTGAAAGTACGAGTTATTGTTTTTAGAGTTCTTGACAGCTCTCTATGGATTTTTTAGAGCTATAAATCAAAAATACAACGCGAGTTAAACGTTTACTTCATCGATATCTGAAAAATGCTTCTTAGGGACCGGTCATTATTTATCGCCTGGGGGGGGGTCGGAGTATTTTTGTTGTCACATCGGAGCATTTACCTGATCCCCCCGTAGAGTATCTAGTTTTTTAGAGATCCCCCCTTATCGATAGTGGAAAGTTTCATGATCCCCCCCCTTTTCTCCCAGCCACCGCCAAATAACTTTTTGAATATGCAAGTGATATTTTAATAGTGGTACTTACGTCTCATGGACCTTGAACCACAACGGTAAATATTTGCTCGTCAGATACGAACTGAATTGTCGAGGAAGTGCCAATCTCAAGCTGTTCATCCAAATCCACGAAAACATAGTCATCGTCGCTCTCTGCCTCTCCACTTTCGGATTCTTCATCCTCGGATTCCACGTCATCTTCATCACTCGACAGTTCTTCTGTTATCACAGTCTCTTTATTCTGTCGGTAATAGTGACATCGAATGGCCTTCACTTTGTCAAGTTTCCGACCCACAGTCGTCAAACCATGCTTGTTGAGATACAGGTCTAATTCTCTTACCCGCAACTTTTCAACTTTGCCACCCTCGATGAGGTTATCCCATTGAAAGTCCTTGTACGTTCGTTCGGCCTCTTGCCTTCTTCGCTCCTGAGCTGCTCTTGTTCTGATGTCCTTTCGGATCTCAATATCCTTCAAATGATTAACATATGCAATGACGTGCTTCTCTTCCACATTATATTTTGAGCAGAAGCTCTTCATGGTATCCTGATCGTTTCTGATACTGTCAGAATGTTCCTCGTACAGATCTTTAATACGTTTTCTTGGAAGGTAATCATCTGGTGTCCTGCCCGTCGATTCCGTCTGATAGATATCCATGAAATGTCCAGGATTGTTTGAATCTGGTACAGGTTGCGGAATTCTTTCCGTTTCTGGACCGACCCATCTATTGTTAGAACACCAGGAACAGAGATTGGAACTTTCTTCTCTTGACTCTTTACAGGCATCACGACAGAATTCCATAAAAAGTTCTCCACGAATATAGTGGTCTTCCATAAACGATTCGATCTTTCGGAAGTATGCTGCACCGGGCGCTTGCTCTTTGTTTCGTTCTGATGCACCCCGATAGTTGTCGAGGTAAACAGAATCGAAAAAGAATAATTCATCAGGGGACTCGCTTACTTTGCTCTTGATGTAATCTTTAAGGACAGGGGCATCATCAATTCTCTCGGCTACCTGACTACAGACATACCAGGCATTTTTCTCCATCCGTTTCTTTTCGTACTCTTCGTATGACTGGAGAGACAGTTGTTTGATTTCCTCTTCTGAAAGATCCTCAAATCTCCTATATTTTTCCCACTCTAGAGTTGCGCCATCCACAAGAGCATCAGAAATTGCCGAGTTTGTCCTTTCGGCTTCACCTTGCCCGCTGTCGCCCCTCGAACGATGACATCGCACTCTATAATCGGAATTGTGAACCCTTGCTAACTCGGCGTCTCGAAATCTAACTTCGTAGTTGGAAACTCCCACGCCCGGACCAGCATCTGTAAGGTCAGCCCATCGTGGCTTTACAGGTGGAAGGCAGAGATCTCCGAGAACTTCAAGACCATGTTTACATGAACTGGTTACCCTTAAAATCCTGTCCTTTCTCGCATCTTTTTCCATGGAATCGACTTCCTCTTTAAACAGATCATCAATGGCATCTAAAATGCGTTTCGTGACTGGTATTATCTGACTAGCAAACAGAGCCCTATTGTGCTCTGACATTTCTGTGTCTTCGCAAAACTGCAACAAATTGTCAATCCTTAATTTCAAGTGTTCTGCTCTCTCTTTTTCGTAAGTGAAGAATTTACAGTTACTTTCTGTTTCTCCGGATAATTTGTCTAGGTCATCTGACTCTGTCATATCATAATAAAAAAAGAGGTCATCGTGTAGTCGCGCGCAGCATTTACGAAATCCCAGTGAGTACTGTGGACTGCCAGGTGTCGGTTCGTCAACCTCAAAAGCTGATGGATCCTCATGTAGCAAACGAACCGTTTCGCTGGCCCATACAGTGCCTGACGATCCCACTATTGCTTTGGGCCGGACAAATACATAGTGGCGATCGTCCTCAGTTATCAGCTTCTCTTCAGTTTCATTCATTACACTTGACTTCGTGAAAACACGGTGAGAACCCGGGGTCACATATACCATTTTCTCAGGCCAGTCGTACTTTGGCAACTTCCTTGCTTTAGTGTGATCTGATAATGTTAAGATCCTAAGATTTCTGGCTTTGTCAAAACCTTCAGATGTACCTGGTCTAAGGTAAGCCTTGTCATCGGTGCTTCTCATGAAACAAAACTTTCTCGCGCTGGAATTTCTGGCACCCCAGAATCGTCTTTTTATGCTTTTTACGTGTGCTCGTTGGTAGTGAGTGTTTTCGTTTGTGTTTTCTTCGCCTTTTGGTGGCTTTTTCCAACAAAATAGGCCTTTGCCACAATGGCGCTTCGTTTGGAGACTTCTTTTGTTTCTCGGTCTCGCCCTGTTGTATACTGTTGTAGCGGATTGAATTAATTTCTTCCCACGTTGAGCTAGTCGGTAGTTGGCAATTGAAAGAAGGTTTTTCTTCTTCACCCTCTGGCCGGTATAGAGGACCGTATCATGTCGTCTACCATGATAAGATGATTTATCCTCAATTGCCTTTGCAATGAAGTCTTCATCTTCCTCATCTAGCTTTGGCTTCGGACCTTGGTTTGACAACTTTCGCCTCTTCAGTCGATTACATTCGATAAGGCTTGAAGCTTGGCGCTTGAGCATTTGGCGTTTTCTCTGATAATTGCTTTCGGTGGGCTGGCTGTGAAGAAGCCCCTCCGTGTCTTCAACTTTTTCCTTGAGTTTTTGTACTTCGCTTTGGATTTCTTCTAACGTTTTGGATGACCAAATATTTGTTTTCTTTTGAAGAAGGTTTTCCTACTCTTTTATCTCCTTCTCCAGCTTTTCCTTCTTGGAATTTAAGCGCAACCTAACGAGGTCGGCTGCTGCCTCATTAGCATTTTTTACCTCATCAACAACGAATTTAACTCTCTCCGTCATAGACGGAAGATTGTCAGGATCGAAGCCTAGGGCTGTCATTTCTTCTCTAGAGAATATGGATCGCAATATAACTCTAAGACAAATTTTATCCCATTCTGAGTCCATGGTAGTAACGATACCTTGCACGGTTTCCTTATCGAGAACAAGAGCACTATGTCCACTTTTAGTACTACAAGCACTAAAAATATCCAAAAGGAATGACTCTAAATCGACTTCGTCAGGACGGAGCGCGACATACTCAAAACCCTCGGTTATACGAATGATATTGATCCTGAGACCATGTTTTTCATGAAGTAAAGCTTCGCGAAAGGCAACTCTCTGATATTTTGACGGTGCCCCAGAGTGATGAGGTTGAAACGCAAGAAAGTACTCTAATGCTTCTTGAAAGGGGATTGAAGACCTAATTCTTGTCTTAGCATTGGCATCTTGCACCGGAAGAAATAGTTGATCGAAGACATAGAGCAGACCTTGAAACTTGTGCTTCTTTTCCTCTGAAATTGCTCTCGATAATTCTTCTTCTATAACACCCCTATTTTGCTCTAGGGTGCAGCTTTGTTGCGATGTTACAATCTCCATTCTCTTTTTTCCCTGAAGTAGTTTATAAAAGGTGACTTCGTCTTAGATCGAGAAACTCACAGTTTTACTAGATCTATGGGCTTGAGGAATGTATCTTAACGATTGGATTTTGGTAGCTGTTTTCTCTACAAGTTCCGTTTCTTTATAACGCCGCGTTAATTTTCTTCATCAGTTTGAGATTAAAAAACACACCTTTCGCATTTATTTATTTTATTAGAAAGTATTTTGCCTTCACTTTGCGATAATTTAAATCGCGTCAATTTTCTAGTAAGTATGCTGGTTTATAGTCTGCATTTGACGCACGCACGAGGGAGCCCCCACATTTTTTTTCTTCCGCACGCTTCGCTTGCGTCACGTTCTACATTTCCGTTTTAATTTAATTGTATTAATGGTAAGCATAGTTAAATATTTAACACTGTTATTTACCACTGATCTGCAAATTATAGGGTTGTCTTTCAGATGCCGGGAATAACCCTATCTAAATTATAGTGACCACAAATACCAGTATTTGCAGTCTTTAAATTCATAGAATTAATGTCCGCGTCGTTTCGACGTTTCAATGTTAATGATTACTTATACTATTGCATGCATATTTTATTGTTTTACTTCTCACCAGTTTGAGCGTAAAATAATGGACCAGTATCACGAAGAAATTGCCGCGTTTTCCTTCATGATGATTTTAGTAACATCGAAACGCCGTCAGACAACATTTGCCAGCTTTTATATTTTTATAAAGACTGCAAATCCATCATTTATTTACCTGGTCATTGTCGATATCTGATAAAAGCCGCTCAGTTCTCGCCCTTTGCTCGCTTCGCTTTTCATTATGGCATCGTTTATGGGTACTTCCATCACTTAAATCCAAATGCTTTCCAAGCTGATCACCATTATCGTCCAGATTGCTAAGCTTTTCTGTCATATCTTCCATTCTTGCTCAATTACAATGTCTGAAGTCCAACTGTCGGAAATCTTCTCAGCGCGCTTTTAAAATAATGCTTTGTTGTTGTGACCTACTATTAACTAACATCGTTGTGACATATTAACTTTAACTTTATTTTTTACATATTAACATATAAAACCTATATTTAGCCGAAACGTGGGCACAGAACTCGTTCAATTGCGCTGATTTGCTTTCATTATAAGCCTTTTCAATGGATAAAGAAATTGACTATCTTTTAACAAAAGCTGACTTGAGCAATTACACAGACAATTTTAAACAAATTGGTGTTGCAAAGGTCGAGCATTTCCTGGACGTCGATGACGAAACTCTTGAGCGAGACATTGGACTAACGAAGATACAAACTCGCCGTCTGAGGCGTTTCTTCGCTCAGATACAAGGCGAATCAAAGCAAAGAGGAACAAGCAGTGAAGGTATTGAGTTATCGTTTCTTAGATGATTATTTTGAAGGCCTCTATAAAATAATTGGCTTGTGCTTCAAACCAGCCATGAACAAAAAACGTAAGGCAACATGGTGCATAATTTGTAACGCAATCCTTAACAAACATTTATTATGTGATCGGTAGGTGTTACGTCCGCCAGTGCTCCCAAGAAGCGCAAGCAGGCGATTTTGTCATTTGGACGCTCCGGGCAACTACAAGTCCTGAGGAACGACTCAGCACCAGAAAAGAAGCCGTGGGAAAAATATCTTCTTCCCAACCCACACACAGAAAGGCTGAAATTCTACAATAGTGTTGTACCGCAGATTTATGAATCTTCATTCGTTAGTAAACAAGCCGGTTTCAAACAGTATCTCCTCGAGCAACAGCAAATGCGTTGGCAGTTAAACACAAAGATAAAAGCCCTTTCCGATAAAGAAAACAACTTGCTTAGAAACGAGAATTGGGGAGTGTGCCAAAACATCACGAAGTTCATGTCAGGCGTGGATGGATGTAAGGGCAGTGGTGATGTCGCGAAGTGTGAGTCCTCCTTGACCACTGTCAATGAGGCCTTTAATTCAGCATCCGATTTGCTCTCATTTATCGACAACAGACGAAAGAACCTTTATACAGAAGAGCATACCTTAAGGTCGTTTGCAAGTGATGAGCTCAAATATTTCCAGGAAGCTCAAGAGCGAGTGAAGGCCATACACCAAGAGCTGCAGAAAGCCTCCAATGCGCTCACGACCACCCTCATGAGCTTGAAGAGAAAGTTCCCATCAAGCAAAAAATTTGGACTTGAGACCGTACGACCGACCGTACAAGTTGCTACTTTTAGCATGCGTGGCTAACCGTACCATGGGCACTATCTTAGCCATTACGTAATGGAAGGGCGAGGGAGAAGGTAAGCGGAGGCGCGATTGCGCGCGTACTTTGAATACTCCATTAATGTGCGCCAGGAAACACCGGCAGATGACAATGAAGTGCGCATACTCGAGTGTCGAGCTTTAGTGTAGCGTACCGTGGGCACACGGCTAGGCATTGCACGAGGGCCTCACGTCGGCTAGTGGATATGAAGCTGCGTAAGCAAATAATTTGCAACCCGCGTTTTGAGCGGGAAATCAAACTGGTGAGGTTGAAGTTGAACAGTAATTCTCAGTATTTTGCAATTTCTAATCAACTCGCAAAGCAACAATACCGGCAGAGCTAAAGCTTTGTCAACGGGAGGAGATTGTTATGATTCAAGTTTGTGGAGAGAGGGTTTTGAGTGGAATTAGAATGAAAAGAAATAGACTGAGCGACCAAAGAAAACAAGAAGTAAAAGACGTAAAGCAAGTCGAGAAAAACGGGCAAGAAAGTTAGAGAGGGCACCAAAATAGGCAGAATACGGTGAAAGGAACGCGAAAGAGAACAAGAAAAGACACAAGTAAAAAGGAAAATATCTAGCGAAGAGCAACGCGAGAAGGAAAAACAATGACGCTCCTGAAAACAGACAGAGAAAAGGTCACTAACAAAGAGGAGCGAAGTACAAAGGATCCGAAAAAGACGGGGAGGTAACTCGTGTATTATGTGGGTTTTCTTCAACGCTAAGGCCCAGAAAAATTCAAACCTTTTTACCAATCGTCATTTAATACTAGCTTCAGTTTATAATTAAAATCACGTTTCGGTAAAACAATGACTTTGGCCTTCATCGCCTAAAAACCCTCGCGCCGGTTCATCGCTCGAATAACATTTCAAAGTGTTCGTATTCTTCAAGGTATTTCTTGGCCTGTCGTTTGGAGTGTTTTATACAGTCGTGGTGTTAATGGAAAAGAAGTTATCTTACAGATTTTATTTTGCCTGAAAAGCCTTCAAATGATAGCGAACGGCGAGCGCAAGTTTCTACCTTTTTCTCTCTTCGGTCAGCTATCGCAGGATTTACTCTGTTCATTTAAAAAAATCACGCTTTGTGGAAGAAGTGTTGTTTTAGCCTAAGAGCGAAGTGGTAGCCTTTCCCGAAATTGAAATAAATGAGATTGAGTCAGCGACGTCCATGTTAACATTAAGTCTGACTCGGTAATTTGATTTCGATAATATTGTCATGTGAGAACCCGTCAAATATCTGAGAATTAAATTATGGACCGCAAACGTGTGGTGCGAATAAACTCACGGGTAAAATGGAGTTAGTTCTACTGCCGAATGAGTGAACTTCATTGTTTAGTCATGGTACTTTTCAGCGCTATGTTTTCATGCTTTCTACTCGATTCGTACGAACTTAAGGAAATAATTTCAATTGTCTTACTAAACATGGAGTCATTCTCTCTTCTCTCAACATCTCGAGGCGTACTTACTGCTCGGGTTACGATGAACATGCTTGCGATACGATATTTTTTTCTTAATGCTTGAAACTGAAGAATCAATCTCTGAAATCGACAGTCATCACATTTTGCAAGAAGCGTCTGAGCTGTGATCGTGCAATCTTCTCTCCGTTACATTGGCAACAGGAGCGATTAGTAAATTAACAATACAGACAAGAGGGCCTATTCCCACATACATTCACCTCAATCCTGTTCGCTTGCTGTGGACATGAAATTTCAAACATGGCGTATGTTTCCTCGACTAATTATTTTGTAATGGTGTTTACAAATTGTGGAAAATGGTTGGGTTGAAATATAATACAACTACTTGCCAGTAGGTAGTCAAATGAAAATTTTTTACCTATCAATAAAATTTATTGTTGTGTTTTATGTTAGCATGTTGCAATAACTATATCTTCCAATAAATTTAACTATTTGCAAACATGAGAAAATACCATCTAAAACTTTTCAACCCATTTAATATTGCCAATAACAACATCAACCCAACTATAAAACTTAAGAGAAAACTTGATTGATGTTTGGAATTGATTGTTGTGATGTAAAAATGAAATCCAGGTATTATCTTAAGTTTTCCACAAATGTCTTCATGATCGAGTCCTAAGTCTCTCTTCGTCATCAAGTTTTAATCATGACACTTTAGCTCTAGCTTGTCTTCTTTTAAACCAAACTTTTGCAGCGTAAGAAACATGTTAGACAAATTTCGTTAGCTAGAGTTGCTAGGATCATGGGCAGTTGGCTTAAAGAAACCCACATTATAAGTAGTTACAGCAGAGGTTACCGAATCAAATAACAGAAAGAATCTCAGAGAGACGCCGTGTATTTCCAGCCAGAGGACAATCATGAAACAATAATAGCCAAAACAGGAAAAGTTTTAAGAAATTACGGGTTCAAACACGAGTTGAAAATGACTTTTCTTTTTAATTTTTACGCGAAACAAAGGAGGTTGAAACGTTAGAGAAAAAATGATGGGGCAAGCAGTCATACCTGGCGACTTCAAGAGAAGATATAAGAGAAGCCCATACGATTCTGACGTCTTGATTTACTAATTCACTGTTATCACGTGTATACTCTCCAATCCACTGTTGATGTCTAAACTCGAAGTAGTTTAACGTCGTTTCTTTCAATTTTGGCTCATTTTCCCAAACCAAAATTACCAGTCACGCTCAAAAGAATATAATTTCAACTGATGCTGACATTGTACCCTCCCTTTGAAGAAGAAAAGATTGTCTATCTTCGAAACTTTGCTCTTAACATCAGGAACTACAACGAAAAGTCCTTAGCTGCTTGAAGATACCGCTGACTAGCGTGCTTTTTATTGCAAGTTGTGAGAACGTCGTCCTCAGGATCCAGACCCCGCCAATTCTTCCCTTCCCTCCCCATCCCCTGGCCCTGGACTGGTCTCTTAGTCCCCTTGAAAAACTCTTCTTCAGCCAGTGCTGAAGAGTTTTATTACAGTTTTTATTGTAATGAGGGGCTAGAAAATAAACTAACAAGAGCTTCTCTTTTAGGCTTGGCTAAATCTATATATTATCATTATACACATCATCATTATTATTATTGCTATCACAGCCAAACAGCTATGAGAAAGCCCTTCCTGTTTAATTTCTTTTTACCAGAAGAGGGATGTGGTAAGTTGTTTTGGTTAATTTCGATTTAAAGTTACAGGGTGTTTCGCTGGTAGTTTAAGTCGAAACCACTAATCTCTCTTATCGAGTTCCTGGTTTTGACAGTCGTATCTAGTTTACAGATCCCTCAAACTGAAATGCAGTTTTAGCCGCAAATAAGTTGTTTTATAAACTATTATATGTATCATTTTAATTTTATCCGATTTTTTTGAATTTCTTATGTTAGAATTATGACTAAAGGGACTGGAAGGCTGTACACATAGCATTTACCTATGGTAGTGAGAAAGACGTAACGATCTAACTAGTCTCCTGCTTTTACTACAAACTTTACGTGTAACAGTATTTCTTGAAGTATTTCCCTCTAAACTACAAAAAAAAAAAATATATATATATATGTATTTCGTTTTAGCTTGATCTAATCATAAACCGAATGGGGCGCGACAATTCGAAATGGACGGTGTTTCTTTGGGCGAATTAACCGCATATTAAAACTGACCGCACAAATAAAACCTCTGCACAATTTGAAACCTGAAGGGCTGGTCTTCAGAAACGTGTGGAGACTTTTCTATATTCGTATTTGTTGCTTTCCAATTTCTCTGTCAAGGTCGCTGATCAAATTCTACCGACACGCATAACGTCAGAGGCCATTGTGGGAGATCAATTTTGAAAAGTGAAATTCCCCTACACAGTATTTCAGGTTGGTATCTTGGGAGGCATCGGACTAAATTTCAAGGCAATGTGTATTTTGCACATACCCTATTAATTCATTCAAATAAGGTGCATTCGCTTTAAAACGCAGTGGCTCTTTTTCGCCTACAAAGGTCCCAACAATTCGCGACCAGCAGGGTCTCGGGAAAAAGACAGCAAAAACAGATTTAGCGGGCAGCTATCTAACAGTTACTCATGACAGACCTTTGGTTTAGTTCTGCTGAACGGCAATTTTGATTTCAACTCTTTTATTTGAGCTTCAAAGCGGCTTAAGAACGTCGTGGCAAAACCTAATGGTTGCTGATCGAGTGCAAGCAGCGAAGGTTGCCTAATCCACGGAACTTTATCCGTTTCAGTTTCATTTACCTGGGGTCCCTCACCTCCATGTAAACAGGCCCCAAGAAAAAGCACAAGTGATAATTTGGATACAATTCTTCGCTAGAACATAACATTGAGACTAGCGACATGTTTTGTTTTGTCTGCATGGTTCAGATATATATGCCCTAGAACAGAAATGTTGGTTTAACAGTTTTGTGAAGGACATTTAAAGCTGTGAATCACCTCAGTTTTATTCATTTTGTGACCAGTTTGGACTTACAGCTAAGTTGTACTTCGAAGAACTGAACGAAAAAGCCAGGAACGTTGAATGGCAGGGAATTCTTACCGGCAAGGGTATCTTTTAAGGATCGTGTTTTCGGTCAACTATGCAATAACTTTAGATTGTGCGCAAATTTTCTCGAGAAGAATGGTTTGCTTAACTTTCCCTCAAACTTCTGTTACTAACAGAATTGGCTCAGCGGCAACTAAACAAGTGGTAATCCACAGATTCCAGGTTTGCGTCGTATAACAGGAGAAAAGTGCTGCTGTCACAAAGGCTTTACAAGACAGGTTAAGACTCTTGTTCATTTAAAATAGCTCTAGAGATAATAATCATAAGAAACCTGGAACATATTTCTTTATTTTTTGGCAGTTTTCATCCTTTGTTTTTTTACCCCATCTATGTATACTTATTCGTCCCCATTTTTTTGCTCTTTCAAGCTTTGCCGAATAGCTCTTTGTAACAGCGAGAAGGGTACGCTAGATCTCCAACTGTTCAAACATTTATGCGTAAGACAGCCGAAAGAACTTCAGGTTTGCTGCAAGACTGGAACAACTTCTCATTGAATGAAAATTGGATGGCACAAACAAGAGAATATCTTCTGTAAAGGTATTCTTAGACTGGTTACTTGTTAAAATACTTTGGTAAAAGCTGATGAACTTTTCCATCAGAAATTCACTATTTAAAATTTTAATCAGTAAAAATTTATCCAGTTACTTTCTAGGAAATACAAGATAGGGTTCACTGTAATGTCTTTGAGTGAGTTTACCAATCATTCATATTTCAATTGGTTTTTTTTCTTCAACAGGGAAGAGGAATATTTGGGAATTTTGAGAAGAGTAAACTTAATCCTATTCCAAATAAAAAGGATGATTCAGGGGTAAGTTGTAAACAATGAAAAGGAAAAGGAATATTTGGGAATTTTGAGAAGAGTAAACTTAATCCTATTCCAAATAAAAAGGATGATTCAGGGGTAAGTTGTAAACAATGAAAAGGAAAAGGAATATTTGGGAATTTTGAGAAGAGTAAACTTAATCCTCTTCCAAATAAAAAGGATGATTCAGGGGTAAGTTGTAAACAATGAAAAGGAAAAGGAATATTTGGGAATTTTGAGAAGAGTAAACTTAATCCTCTTCCAAATAAAAAGGATGATTCAGGGGTAAGTTGTAAACAATGACAAATATTGATTAACCTTTTACTTCCAAAAGTGATTAACATGAAACTTCTCCCTGTAATATCCTCACATTATCCAGCAAACAGGTAATGAGAATATTCAAACTTATCAGGTAGAAGTTGTTATCCTGATCTAAAACCAAATTCTGGTAACTAGTTTACAGGGAAATGTGTAGCCGCTAGAGAGGAGAATTAACAGTCAAATCTTGGAAACTAAAGGGTTAATGGTTTTAACCCAGGAGTAACAGTTGATCATGTATTCTTACTGTCGTTTAGAGTAGTCCTGGAAAAAAAAATAATGTTGTTGATGATAGAAACTGATCAGAAGTTTTTAAAATGTAAGAGATAAGTTGGTCAAGTTGTTATCTTGATCTGAGACCAAATTCTACTTCTTCAATACCTAAGAACTGTGTTGAGCGGTCAAAGAATCAGTGGTGTCCATGCAATTGACCCTGATGGTGAAAGTGTCTTTCACGCATACTGTGACCTAACAACAGCCGCTAGGAGAGGGACTGTGTTCCAGAAGAGACTCAATGGCTCCGTGGATTTTCTGTAATGACCACAAAAATGGCTTCGGTGATTTTCTAATTAGTGAATTTTGGCTTGGACTGGACAATATTCACGGTCTGACGCGAAATGATCCATTCTTATGGCCGGCAGGGAATTTTGCTCGTATTTCTTTATGTTTCTGTTATTTTTTATTTCTTTACCTTGCAAGTTTATAGTCTTTTATTTGCAATTTAACTTAGTTTTTTTTTCTAGTCTCATGTAGCTCCATATACTATATCATTTTAAGCACTTTTATATAGTTGTAAGTTTATAGACCTTATTCGCAATTTAATCTAGTTTTTATAAGTTTAATAGTTCTATAATTTTTGCAGTTCCATAATATTACATCATTCTAAACACTTTTGTAAAGCTTTTAGGTTTATTTAATTATCTTTTCTTTCGTGACTGACCTGTTAAACTAGCTTTATATAGGTAAGTGTCAGCCACGTTAATAAAGTACGTATGTGCGCTAAGGAAACAAACAAAAATAAAACAAAAACAAAAAAATGCTCAGAGGTTTTTTAAACCCAAGTGGAACCTCGAGAGCCTGCAGAGCATGCGTAATGTTGGCGGGCGAGTGCTTAGCACTATATATCTTCAATTTTTACAGCTGCTATTTTTTATTTCAACAGTAGCGGAAGACTGGGGGATAGAAAGAAAATTGTACCGACAGGGTGAGCGGAAAGTCAAAAAGAAGGAGAGGGGAGGGGGTGTGGGAATAAATATCACGCCTGCCCGAGGTCATTGTTGCTTTGGGAAAATCTGCCCATGGAGAATGGAGTTCCTGATTAGCGCGGTTTTGTTTTACCTGTCAATCACAAGCCAAACTGCTTTATGCTACTCTTGCGGGAAAAATGTTGAAAGTGTATTGAAGTTCACGCGGCAACCAGGTGGACAATCAGACATAGACCCAACGTTTCGACACTTCTGTCTAGCGCCTTCATCAGGATGATCTAAACGCTGCAACAAGAGGTCCTTTTATATGATCACTAATTAGCTGCCTTTTTTCTGACGAGGTGTAAATAGGCGTCAGGAAGTAGGCCACCATCTTTCAACTCAACGACGACCGTAGGCACTTGGTAAGAGCAGAAGTAAGCAGCATACTCAGGCGTGCTAAACCTCCTCCCAAAAACATTCAAAAGTATGTTTTCAATGCGCTTCTAGCTCTTAAAAAGGATCCGGACAGGCTCGTATTATCTGCTGACAAGGGTAATTGTGTTGTGGTTATGGACAAACAGCAATATCACAACAAAGCTTTGTCCCTGCCTAATATTTACTCTCTCAAGAGTACGTATGCTGTCTTAAATTCTGATCCTACATGTAAAACCAGGGATCGCGCAGAGGGAGGGGGTGGGGGGGCTTTAGTCCCCCCACTTTTTTGCAAGAATAAAAATAAATTAAACAAAAAATAATTTAACAAAAAAATTTTCCTTCACGCATTTGTCGCAAATGCCCTAGGGCCGAACTTCACGATATCACAGTATAAACTTGGTTTTAGATGATTTAATTCACGGTTCACGGTTCTCAGGTACAGTACAGTACTCCCTCACTCTCTCCAGGCAACTAAACTACATCATACAATACAATGTAAAAACTAACGATCTGTCAACAATGGTCTCCTGTATCTAAGTTACTCGATCAAGCTGTCAATGAATACGAGATACTTGGCGCGTGTCCATCTTTGATTTCTGACTGTCATTGACATGTAATCTAAATATCCTATCATTGCATGTTTTAAAGGGTCTCGCTCGAAATAATTATCTTGAAATGTTTGTATTTGTCACGCAATCTCCGACACATTTTTCTTTAGCCCCCCACTTGAAAACTTGCTGCGCGGTCCCTGAAAACTCAAAGAAAGTTAAACAAAATATTGCTTGATTTGAAAAAAAGCTGGTAAGATTAGTGACTCTACGTACAAAATGTTATACAGTAGTGACGGCTTAAGTCCACGTTTTCATGGCTTACGTAAAATTCACAAACCGGGAATTCCTTTCAGACCCATTGTCTCTTTTGTTCATTCTCCGACTTATGTCATTTATGGTTATCTTGCAAGAATTTTGTCGCCTGTTGTTAGGGATACTGATTACACTGTCAAAACCACGCAATTTGCATATAGCGGCAACTACTATCAACAAGTTTTTGGTACAGCGATGGGTTCGCCCATCTCTGCTGTCGTTGCCAACATGGTAATGGAAGACGTGGAACAAAGGGCCTTAGCCACTTCACCGGTTAAACCCTTTTTCTGGAAACGATATGTCGATGATGTTATTTCTGGAGCGCCTCCTATCGCATTTAAGTTCAGTAGAGCCGTCTATCCAATTCACCCTTAAGCGTGAAAAGGATAGACATTTGTCCTTTCTTGATTAAAATGTGTCAAGAGGGATTAAGGGTAATTAAGAGACAAGTGTCTACCGTAAACCTGCACACACCGACAAATACTTCGCTTTCAATTTTCACCACCCTATTTGCCAGTCTGTAGCCAAAACTTTACTCAGGAGGGCTGACTGTCTACCATCTTCACTCGATTCAAAGGCTGAGGAGAGGAATTATGTTTCTAATGTCCTGAAGGCAAATGGCTATAAAAAAACCTTTCTTCGTAATTGCCAAAAACCAGTTACAACTAGTAGCACTCCTGATGAAAGGGAACCAGCGACTGATTTTGCTGTTACTCCTTACATTCAGGGTGTTACGGAACCCATCAAAAGAATTTTGAATAGCCACAACGTTAAAGTTGCTCAAAAACCTTTTCAGACTTTGGGGTATATTTTCGCCAACCTAATGATCCTGTCACGAAAGAACAACGAACCGACGCCACTTATTATATTCCTTGCAATGACTGTGACAACGAATACATCGGACAGACCAAACGTCAGTTTGGTACACCGTTTGAAAGACCATCAAAAAGCGGTTTTCTTTTGCAAAAAGGAAAGTTCAGCTTTATCGGAGCACACCTGCCTAACTAACCATACAGTTGGGTGGGATAATTCTAAAATTATCACAACTAATCGGCGTTACCACCAGCGTCTTTGTTTGGAAGCTTGGTATATTAACTCCGCTCACGCTCCTTTAAATCGTGACGATGGCGGCTTAATTCCTGACACCTATTTACACCTTGTCAGAAAAAAGGCAGCTAATTAGTTATCATATAAAAGGATCTCTTGTTGCAGCGTTGGGTCTATGAATTGTAACTTTTTCGGTTACATTCATTAAATCTGTAAACCAGAGTAGCATCAAACCATGTCTCATGTTGAAAGTGGTGAACTCTGTCTCTCGAGGAAGGTTGACCTTTGTACAACCTAGAAACCGATTGTTTTTAAGGACAGGAAGCGGCTGTAGACAGACTAAACGAATCCCTCAAGTGTTATTCTTGAGTATTAACCTCTCACTCATCGGCTCTACGTGTGTTTGTTCTTTTCAGGAGACAGTGCTTCCGGTTTTTCAATAAACTCCTTTGATTGGTTACCTGCTTATTTCCAAAAAGGCAGTGACGCGCAACTAATTAGGGGGTGTTTCGCTTTTACTCACCCTCTTCGGGCATGCGCCTTTTAGCTCTTCCCCGCCTTTCACTGTAACTCCAAATCAAACATGGTCGGTTGAATAAACGATCACGAGCTTTTTAACGATTACTCGCCCTTACAAGACGCCCGCACTGCATCCTATGTTCCCGTGATTTCCGTCTAATATACTTGCACGCTCGCTGAATTCGATCATATGAGGTCAGACGAGGACGAACAATCTTCCGCTGTTTTTATACGCGAAAAGATTCAATATAAGGCAGTACGAAGATGAGTGACATTAGCCATCGTTAGATAACTTTTTCATGTAATGGGAAATTGTCCTCAAGTATAAATCAGTCATTTTAATTAGGGCAAGAGACAAAACACCAATTCCTCTCATTACTTCCGTGAATACAGGTCAGAAAGTAAGCATTCCTTTGCAGAGATTCCTACACATCTAATATATAAGAACATCAACAATCTGAAGGGAAAGGCACTATTTACCAGTATTTTATTTCATTACCAAGCTCAGAATGAAACACTAATTTGATAGCGTCCAAAGGACATTGTTCAACGTCACAATCCTCTCGAATAGCCTGTTAAACATGCTTAAGAATTGGGATATTTGATTGTGTTATTTCGAGCGTGTCGTGAACTTCTCCTACCTTTAGAATGAACAGAATTAAACATATAGATTCCACCTTAATCTTTGATCTGCTTAAGTCTTCTTAAATTTAAAACAGACAGACGGATAGACAGACAAACTAAACAAAAGCTATATTGACCTTTTCCCTGGATTCTCTTCATCTTTTAAAACAGACAGACGGATAGACAGACAAACAAAACAAAAGCTATATTGACCTTTTCCCTGGATTCTCTTCATCTTTTAAAGAAAAAACGGTCCAATTCAAATGATTTTGGGAGTTTTCAACGCTCGATAGATTTAAATTTCCGCTCGCGTTCGGATCATAGACTGTCCGCGTTTTCACTACAATCGTGAACAAAGCAGATTGACGAACAATATGACAGAAACAGGAAATCGAATAAAATTGGGAGTAACTGATGACAAATCTGTCTGCGCTGAATATTCATTGTCTGGAATTGAGGACAAGAGTTTTACGAACCGGCCGAACTTTAGCAATCTTACAAGTAAGTCATCTGTTTCTTTATGCACATTTGATTTTATCACCTTTACACGTAGTCTAAAATTATCATGGCTCTACTGGTGCCTTTTTTCTTTGATGCACAATAAGTGTCTCCTAAGGGACTATAATCAATGTGAGGCCAGCATGTAGATGCTCCTGTTGCACAGATTAACTTATTTAATATCCTTTTTCACTGTAACTCAGTTAATGCTTGGTGCCGGAGCAAAAAGAACGTGACCAAAGGGTTTAAATGAAAATCGTAATGGAAGTCGTACCTCTCCATGGTTCTTCAGCAAACTTGTTTAATGAAGGTTCAATGAGTTCGTTAAGATTATATTAAATAATTTATTTAACTACTGCTTTGGCTCCTTGAATAAAGACAGAACTTTCTGGGAGGTATTACTGACGCCGCTGCTCCCACCGTGTTGTAAATGTTTCCACGCAAAAATTGATTGCCTAGATTTATTATGAATTTAATTGTGTATTGAGTGAGTTCTAATTTCGTTACAGTTAAAATACAGAGTCAACGTTATAATTAGAAGTGGCATGTAATTGGGAGCGGCATAGTTCTGCGAGCAGTGATGTATGAAATTAGGTATTTGCAGGGCGTTAAGCGCGCAGGAACTTAGCAGCGTGATGGTCAAGAAAAGCCATGTTTATCACAGGCGACCCAAGCTCCAGCTGTGAGATGATCATCTTGCGCAATAACAGTCATGGCGGAATTATAAGAGTTTATATGGGCATATTTACGACCGCCCTCAGGAATAAAAAAAATACGTCAAGTTCTCAAAAAAATACCCCACCTTACTTCCACAGTGTATCATTTGTTATCTGACCGCTTACTTTGATGAAAAGAGCCCATTTTAGCGAGTTGTTCATTTCGAGGTTTTCAACGTACATAAGGGCTTTTCTTATGAACGTTGAAAACCTCGAAATGGACAACTCGCTAAAATGCGTCCTTTTCATCAAAGTAAGCGGTCAGATAACAAGCGTTACGCTGTAGAAGTAAGGTGAGGTAAATTTTTTGAGAATTTGACGTATTATTTTATTCCTTAGGGCGGCCGTAAATATTCTCGTACAAACTCTTGTAATTCCGCCATGACTGTTATTGCGCAAGATGATCATCTCGCAGCTGGAGCTTGGGCCGCCTGTGTGTTTATCAGGAAATTAGTGCCCACAATTCGTTGTAGAACGTGAGTGAATCTTGAATCCCACACGAAATTACGTATCTGGGTGTGGATTTCTTCAGCTAATAAATGCAACATTTTTGTAACCCTAGTATTAGATTGTAAAAGAGTACATAGATCGCAGAACGGAACGTGTGATGCTGAATTGTCGTCAATAAAGCCTGAATCAAGAGAAAGTACAGAGTCCAAGATTACTGAACCAGCGTGTGCGGAATTCTCAGTAACGCAAGTGGGAAATTCTGCAAAACACAGCAAACTCTGAAATGAAAATATGATCTAAAAATATAACAATAATAATAATCATTATAATAATAGAGATGATATTTTTGGGCTAATTTTGGACGTGACAGCGACAAAACCGGATTTTCTGCTTCTTGGTTTTGTTTGGGCAAACGATTAGTCCTGTCAAACTCTGAGCAGGACTGCAATGTAGTATTTAAATTCCTTGTATTTTATTTTATTTTATGCCTATCTTAGTATCTAGTTGTTTTTTTGTGGTTTCTGGTTCAGTTTCTACACTATGTTTTCACTGAACGTGTTTTCGATGATCTGACATGTAGCATCAGTAGTTCATGTTACCTTCAGCAACATGCAATGTTTTACTCACTTGACCATTAGATCTTATTAGCGTTCGTTTCATTGTTTTATTTGTTTTTTTGAGGATAAACTCTGTTGTCACTTGTAGCCATTTTGGTATTTAATTTGCAATTTTTTTGATGTAATGATTGGAATGTTACTTGTGTGTTACAAATAAGCACAGTTACTTGCTTCCAATTTTCATTTTTCCTTCAACAACAAGAGGGTTTCCGTAGGGTGATGGCTTTTACTCGCGTTGTGACAGCTATCAAAATTTTTTCCGTTTACTGAGTGGAAAATTAGTGAGATAAAGATTGCATTTTTTTCTCGATTACCACTTAGATCTTGGCATACGGTTTGAAGTTTTGCGGTTCAAGTTTGAAAGTATAGAGTGCTGTTTCGCGGTGAGTGATTTGCGATAAAGTTTTTTACATACTTTTAGAATCTAAACTCACGCCTTTTTTTTTTTAAATTCTGCTTCTCGGTATTATTTGGAATCCCTTTTAGACATTTATGTTTTGATGAATAACAACAGAGTAAAAAGATTTTTCTTTGCGTTTTTTTCTATATTTTTGTTAAGAAATGATATATTTTTCCCTAAAAACTCCATGATTATTCCTGATATCTTTACATGTGCCCTATTGTATTGTAAACAAGGCAAGTCCGTGCACGCTTAATTTTATCAAATCTCAAATCGCTCGGAAAATGAACAAGACGTTTTTTCAGCTGCTTGCCGCAATAAGGCAGATAAAGTAAGGCAAACTTTATTTAAAACCAAATTATCGTAAGACACAGTGATGACGTGAATTGTATTTTAGAAGCAAACGGATATGGTTCCAGTTCTGCTTCAACCGCATTTTATCTGACTCTGCTTGCTTTGCTTTGCTTCCCTAAAAACTCCATTATTATTCCTGATATCTTTACATGTGCCCTATTGTATTGTAAACAAGGCAAGTCCGTGTACGCTTAACTTATCAAATCTCAAATCGCACGGAAAAATGAACAAGAGTTTTGTCAGCTGCTTGCCGCAATAAGGCAGAGAAAGTAAGGCAAACTTTAATTAAAACCAAATTATCGTAAGACACAGTGATGACGTGATCAGAAGCAAACGGATATGGTTCCAGTTCCGCTTCAACCACATTTTATCTGACTTTGCTTAAACTCGTCGAAAAAAAAATTCCACTATAGTTAGAGCGGCTTTTCAGTAGCTTATCGTTCAAGGTGTTAAGGTCAAAAGCGTAAATACTGGGTAAGTTTTCATGTCTTTTCGTTTTGTACTCTAATAACTATTGTGTTCTCTGCGAAGAAGAATTTTTGTCTTCTTCTTACGCTTGACGGTCATGTAGTTATGCAAATTTCTTCTGAAAGGTCCGCATTGAAGATGATGAAATGGTTTCGCTCCTTTATTTGAGTGGTAGCTACTCCTAGCTACTTATGCGTTGCTTTTTAAATTTTCATATTTAGATAATCAGATTTATTTTCGACAGAGACATTTCTTCTAAATTATGACTAAAACGATTTTAATTTGTGTGATAAATCGTTGATGACACCGTAATCAAATATGCAAGATGAGAATAAACTAAGTTAAGATAAAGCTCACCGAACGATGGTAAAGGTGGGCAGGCACCACGACACGCTAACCTATCCAATTAACTTTCCATATTAGAGACAGCATGAAAGGGTTAAGGTAGAGCATTAGCGAGCTCTACAATAATTCTGTCATTGTTATACAAAAGAGGTAGAGTATATTCGGTGGTTTGATGTTTGCGAAGGCCAAGTTAATCATCAGGGAGTACCTTGTGCTTGATTGAGTTGTTTTAAAATTTTAGAAAAAGCAGGAAGTACAGAGACAGATCTATAGTATTAAAGATAGTAGCGATGGAACACACAAAACGGGGTAAATGTAATCAGCCAGGCCGAGGCCAGAATTGGCAAAAAAATTACAAAACTGCTGAACAATATGGCTTGGATTCAAAGGTTGGTTTGGATGGTAATCTTTTACATCACGTTTTGCTTTGAGAACCTCGTTGAGTGATTTGTATGAGAGTTTTAAGACCATTTATTGAGACAAAGACAAGTGAAAAAGCTTTCCAAATAACCCGCTATGGTATGTAAGGCAGACACGTCTTTTTTGAATTATAACCCTTCCGCCAACTTGCCACTTGAAAACGATCATCGCCTTTCATTGAATACCAACGTATCCGTTTCTGTTTCTTATCTGTCTGCAATGCTCATATTTTGAACGGTGTAGTCATTCGCAAACTCACTTTAGCTATAGTTATTTATTTAATTAGTTTGGTCAGTCTAATTGCGTTGCGTTCCAATTACTTACTGCTTGTATGCAAATAATATTTTTGTTCGTCTTTTGGTAATTTCAAGTAATTTATCTCCGTCTGGATTTTCATTTTTTAAATTTTTTATTCATTTATCTATTAGATATACTGCATTCCTCAAGAACTCCAACCACAAGTTTCCCGAAAAAAATTCCCGAGAAAAGCGAATTTAAAAAAAAAAATATATATATATATTCAACTATGAAACAAATCTTGACGCAAATTGCAATGATTATCTCAACTTTGCTACAAAGTACTTTGTGATAATTGTGCACGGTCACGATTATCCTCGAATATCACTCTATATATGTTCTTGCGTGAACGATATCGCCGCGGCCGAAGTATTGGCGCTACTTCGGAATAACAGTGCAATCATTATTTTGTTAACTGTTTGAGTAATGTGTCCCTTTCTTCTTTAAAGCTTCCTGACTGATGCCTGAAAAGTCATATTTGCAAGAGGGAAACATCAAATGCCCAATCTTTAAAGTAATTCTGAGTTGCAAGATTCGAGAAATATTGCAATTTGCTGCAGAATGTTATTCCAAATTACACACTTCATATTACAAAACGTAGCTCGCATTTATGACAAAGTGCTGCGATACCTATTATGAAATACGTACGTTATTACAAAGTGCCGCAACCGTTTTTCCAAAATGTGTTGGTTATAACAAAATGCGTCGTTATAACAACATTCCGCATAACACTTCCGAGCTGGTTACACCCTTTCGTGATTTCATCTCTCCTAACCACCCTGTGCATTGCGCTGCAAACTAGCTTTTTCCTCGATTGTTTCTTGCTGCAACAGCCTGCAGGTAGTTGTAAAGGAGAGCCACAATGCTACACCAGAGACACTATGTAATTCTTAGCTCAGCCAAAAAAAAATTACTTCTAATTCTTATCTTCCTCACTGGTTTTGATATTTCGAAGAATAGCGCGACCGCTCGAAAGTCGTCTTTCAATTTTTCTAAATTTTGACGTTGCCCGTTAGCAATCTAAAAACAACTCAGCAATATGACCTCAAGTTACGAGTCACCTGACCTCGGAGACATTAGAAAGTTTTCATTTGCTTTACAAACGGACTTATAATAAAAATATTAATAATAATAATAGTAATAATTTTATTTATCCTGATTAAAGACTTAAGTGATGCTCCCGTGTAAATTCGGTTCGAAAGGCCTCAATGAGTCCGTAATACGTCCATTTTCCTCTGTATTATTTACAATTGTTTACACGACTCCAAGTATGCTCCCGCGAGTACATTTGAGCACAGGTGGCCCAAGCTCCAGCTGTAAGATGATTATCTTGGTAAAAAGCGTCATGGCGAGATATTTAAGACCGCTCTTCAAAGTACGAATACCGTCAAATTCTCGATGAAAATTATCTCACCTTTCTTCCACAGTGCATCGCTTATTATCTGACTTCTTAATTTGTTGAGAATGTGTACTGGTATATCTCTGTTGGTTTGAGGTGGGTCCTCATGTCGAGAATGGACTCCCTGTTGAACTTTTACCCTCGTAAATGGTGCTGTCTACGAATATAGCTTCTGAAACAGATATTTCAGCCATGAAATGGGATTATTGGGTGGTGTTTATTTGTTTGTTCAATGAACTGGTTGACGACGTGTCTGTTTGTATGCGAGAGAGAGCTAATGACGTCGATGTAGCGTTTTCAAACGAACGGTATTGTTAGCGCCTTTATCTAGGATTTTTTTATTTCGACTTCAGCTATGAAGATATTTCCATAAGCTATTGCCATTTTGGAGCTCATGGCGGTCCTGTGAGTCTGCAAGTAATTTTTTTTCCTTGAATTGGGGTGAGATTTCCTGCAAATTAGTCTAAATGCTCTTTCTAATAAGTGCTTTTGAATATCGGTGGATGGGGGGTGGGGTGGGGGTTATTTGTATATTTGTATCTTCAAGATATGACTTCTGTTGTTATGCGATCGTTTGAAGAAATTTATCCATGTATGTAACGTAACAGTATAGCTTTTCTGTTAGTCCTTCCGTACGTTGAGTTTTGTGTCTCACTCATAAAGACCGCATACACACCAGGAAACAACCGCTATTTAGGCCGGCTAACTATGCGTTTAGCAAGCCTTTACCTTTCTCCTTAATGAGAGTAAATCATCATTATTGTAGAGGCTATAATTTTTCCAATAGTTGGCGGTGAACTAAAGCAGGATGGCGGGATGGAATGAAAAATTAGGGCGGGATGCGGGATTCACCGTGCTTTATAGCGCAGAATGCCAGCAATTGTATAAGTAATAATATTCTAAGCCTTTGTTTCTTAGGTTTGCCTTAACAAATCAATGGACTAAAACAACATTTCCTGCGGAGGAAAGCGCATAAAGACTTTGGCCAATTAAAGCTCTCTACATTACGTTTCGCCTTAAATGTTACAGATCTATCGTGATCTACAATCTGGAAGTAAATTCCCCCGAGGACAAAAGGTGTTCAGCGTAGTGCCATCTTCTCGGTTAACCGATGGATAGTGAGTTAAAACGTAGGAGGTGAGATACACAACGACCAAAATATTTCCATCCCAAAAATCCGGTTGTTGTATACGACGGCTTACAGTAAAGTACTCAAATATTGATCTTCTAATTTAATGATAGGAGTGAATTTCCATTTCAGCGAAATATAGACCTTGCCATGAGCTCCAAAGGCTATCTATCCATCGGTACTAAGAGTGTTCATGGAGGAGTCCATAAAATTCTAGAAAAAATTAATTTTCAAATCAGCACTCTTAATCTCCACGGTATCAACAAACGCTTTTCACCAATACTATAGCTTGATTTTTTTCTGTATATAAACCATACGCAACCTACAATTCCTCTATTCACTCTTATGAAGAAGTTAAAAAAACTCTTTGACCAATTTTCATGATCAGCTCAGTTGACAAAATCAAATTATTCGGCTGCTGATCACTTTGTTTTGAAAAAGAAAAAAGACATGATTTCTACCCTTCTCATAGGCATAGGCCTAAGAATTAATCATCACACTTGATTAGAAATGGATTGTCGAAGTGTCAGTCTATGAATTGAAGTTAAATTTTGCCAAATCTCTCATTGTTCACAATTTCAATCTTCAAACATAACTGCGATGTTATTCTCCTGTGGGGATACTTTTCAGAGTTTCGTATGATTGGTGTTGAATCTTACATGTCTCAAATAGGACGCGTCGAAAACTTTGCCTCGTCACTCGCCCGCTCGGGCGGTTTCTCTCTCCGTCCATAATGTACGCAGTGTACTCGCCGTGTTGCTAGATTAAACCACACAAATAGATAAGTAACGTATTTTAGTTGAAATACAAACTGGTGGATGAAGAAACACGGCTTTTTGTGTGCCAATAGCGCGGCTGCCCACTACTCAACTGAAGGTGATCACTCATCTCGACAACATATGTGGCTTGGTGTCCCATAGGAGGCAGTAGCCACAACAACTCGGTAATTTGCAAAAAGAAGCAAAACTACGAGGCACGATTCACAAACGGCTGCTATCCACCTGGTTAACTTAGTGCCTTCTTTTGTAGCTCTTAATGGTTAATTTTCAATTAAAAGGAGTTTTGGAAGGACGCACAGAACAGGACATGTGCTAAGTAAATAGTCCGGAAACTGCTGAGTTGTGAAGTATTTATGATTTCAGGTACCTGAAAAGTAAGTGACGAGAGTCTTTGATGCCGCTCGACATGCGTGGTACGCTCAACAGTTAGTTCACCATGAACCATACACCAACGAAACTAAACAGGATTTCAATTTTTGGCTTCCATAGTCAAATCCTTAGATCATTTGGAGACAATTTCCGAAAGTCACGGTTACTCTTTAAACTTTTCTAATACTGGCATCAGAATGAACGCTGGGACTGGACAATCCTGTACCTCTTAATAGAAAGAAAAATTGATAGCTATTTTCTACGGGTCTCCTCAGAAATAAACATTCAAGATAAAAATCGTAGAATTTTCTCGGAGTCAATATGCAAATTTGTCGGGGTTACTAGAAAATCGTGTGCTATCACAAGTTCTCAGTAAAAAAAATGCAAAGTAGATTGACCGTTCAGAACCAAAAAACGAACGGATTTCTTGAATTTAGGAGACCCAAGCGATAGGTTCACTATGCTGGAATAATTGTTCATATGACTCCAAGGTCATAAAATCATGTAGGGTTGTTTTGAAAATTCTGAAAGTCGAATAATTTAAAGACAAAATATTCGATTGAACAATCCCTTTAGGACATATCATTACTTAAATTGCTTATGATGCGAAATCTATTTTTCGTGTATTAATTTAGCTTATGTTCAAACCGATTCCGATTGAAGAAAAATTTCCAAAAAATTAAAACTCTTTTTTTCTAGCCCAAACGTGCTCTTATTTTGTCTTAAGTATCCCGTAGACTGGAAACGAGTTAGCGGGTGACACTGGCAAATCTCTCACATCTCATGTAATTTTGTTTTAGTAAGTGTTGACGTATTCTTGAAATAATGTCCGATAGCGATGCAGAGCAATATTCAGCAAGCTCTACCGAGAGTTTTGATACATCGCACTTAAGTAGTAAAGAAGAAATGGAAATTGCGAGTAACGCTTCAGCCCGACGAAGGAGAACCGAGTGTATCAAACATTGATTTCGATGAAGACTGACGAAGGCGGTTTCTCGCCTGCAGTGTTCGGGTCAAGATTAGCACAAAAAAACTCCTGTTACTGTTGCGTTTGTGTTTTGTTTTCTGGGTCGAGATCGATGTTAAGAATGGGTAGCTATATTCATTTCTGTTGCCATAACATATTATTCTTTCGCACTAAGTGCGGCGAAGGTTCGCCTTGATCAGTGCATTAGAATTTCATTGTTGAAGACTAATCCTCTAAGCAAACCGATAGCCAACTTTTGAAGGCAGCATCGAAAGAATCAGCTGTATCACGAGGCACGATGATTTTTCACTGAGAAGTCATCGGACAGTATTGCTGCAAATTGCTCCTTTCTTTAAAGATGCAAATACAGAGGCTATTGTCGTCGAGCCGATCAAAGCGAAAATGATGGAGTTTATAGTCACCTGAATTAAGTTTACCTCAAAAAGGGATTTCAAAAACTTTGGTTTAAGGGTAGCATTGCTAAATGACGCATTTCGTTATTAGCAAATAACTAACATCATGGTCAGTGTTGTACACATTTATTTCGTGTGCATCGCGCAACACTTGGATTCGCGATCCATCTGATTCAATAATATTTGTGTTTCACAATTTATCTTGTTGCAGTGCTGTTATCACAATGGCTTATGTTCTAGAAGAAAAAATTCATTGAATCACTACAAAAACAAACAATGGGCGTAATATTCAATGCAAAAATTCTCAGTTATTGACTTTGTCCTAACCGACAGAAGAAATCTTTCAGATACGCAGCCAAAAGCGGCCTGTGGCAAATTTTCCGGTTGACGACTTTCGTTCTCAGCCGCGAGAAATGCCATTATCAAAGTCATTGGATACGTAACTTTCCATTTTGGTTTTCTTTCTCTCCTATGAAAGTTTGAACGTCGCTGTATATAAGCGATAGGGATTTTTCAGTGTTTTAGCGCCCATAATCCGAGAAAATTTCGACAAACAACTCTGATGAATTTAGAATGGAGAAGGCTTGGCCTTCATTCGTCAACTTGACCGAGAGGCGCAACAGCTGATTGACGATACTAAATGTGTGTTGTTACGGCTGTTATCAGCTAAAAATCCTTGTATAACACTGTAGTTTATGTGATAAATAACAAGAAGAAGCTCGATATTCTACGCTTGCGAAATGTCAGCCGAAAAGAACTTCCGAATGTGGAAAAATTATTTCCGGTGTGGGAAGAGGCCTTTCCATGACGTGACCAGTTGTATGTATTCGTAACAGCCTTCTTCGAAGCCGGGACGTAGCGTAAGGCCGACGACTTTAAAGAGTAAAACTCCTCGGTAGCATGAACAATAATATTCTAAGCCTTTCTTTCTTAGCTGTGCCTTGATAAGTTTATGGGCTGAAATAAGCCTTGGGTTAACGTCAACTGTGACCAACCAAAGCTCTCTAAATTACGTTTCGTCTAAAATGTTCGAGATCTATAATCTGGAAGTAAATGTTCCGAGAACGATAGGCATTCAGCGCGATGCCTTCGTAGCGATCAACCTATGAAAAGTATGTTGAAACAAAGCAAGATACCTTACGACCAAAATATTTTCATCCTACAAATTGCATACGACGGTATCTTATGAAGAACGCAAATGTTGATCTTTTAACTTACTGATAAGAGTGAATTTCCGGCGGCCAAATATAGACCATGCATTAGGTTCAAAAGGCTATCGACTCATCGGTATTAAGCGTGTATATGTGGGAATCCGCAAATTCTAGAACAAAAATTTATCTTTTAAAGCGGCACTGTAAATCCCCGCTGGTCTAAACAAGTTGGCCTTCATCCTTGCTATTGTGAGACCCGAGGCATATCGCCAAGGGAATTTGTGGGGAGTGCTGTCGCGTACTCTGGAAATTCTGATCGGGTCTTTGAAGAAGATACTTATCGGAAGCCGTGCTGTAAGTTTCTCTCCTATGTGGTATGGATATTTGATTAATTCTAACACAAGATAGGGCTGTCACGTCTACACAACTAATATGTCTCTTTAGATGATTGTTAGAGGGTTTCGTGCACGGTAAAATGAGACTCGGAGGCCAACTCTTTTTTCAGTTTTTATCTAAAGCCTTACTTAAAAGCTAACTTCAGGCACTATTTTTAACATGAGATTGATAGTATTGAAAATTTCGGGTGACCCAAAATATTGTAGAATAGTTGATAAACTCTCTAAATACTGAGGTCCTTTAGGAAAAATAACAAGAATTATTAAATGTTGCAACTGTCGACGGATTCTCCATACTTACGTTCAGTAGTTCCTGAACTAGCTCTTTACGGAGGCCAATTCACATTATCAGGTTATTTGATAAAACTAAATTATCTTGTTATAAACCCCCACCATCGCAGCACCACAGTTTCTTTAGGAACTTATCCCTTTATTTATCATTCTATAACTAGCTATTTTGCACATGATGTTTGCTATCATGAATCGAAGTTATTTCTCAGAAAAATTTGAAATGACAGAGAATGTTGATAATAATGTTGTGAAACATTTAGTTACTTCAGTTAGTTAGTTAGTCAGTTCAGTAAGTTTTAATCTTCCATTTATATTTTGAATGCAGTTACTGTGTCAATTCGAATTCCGAAGTTATTTAGGTTTGAAGCTGTCATAATGAACTTCCGAATTGTGACTGCCTCGCCTAACTCCTAAGTAGATGAGCTTAGTACGTATGTCTAATGACCTTGCTTTAGGCCCAGTGTTCTATCGACAAATGTTTAATCTCCCAAGGTCAGCCAGCTATCATGCCCACCTATATCAAACAAATAGAGAAGCCTTGACTATACTCTATTCTGTTGTAAAGCACTGAGAAGACGGCTAGAGAACGAAAAAAGTGTGGGGAGGAACATTCGACTACGTCTCATGTTTCTCTCCACTTTTTGAGTGCTCTAACCACTTCCCAAGTGCTTTACAACAGAACAGAGCACACTCAAGGCTTCTCTTTTTGTTTTATACTAAAAAAATCCGTTAAACTCCCAACGCATTACTTTCAAACAAACCCTAGTTCAAAGCGAAAAACATTGTCGTCAGCATGCTCTATACCGACTCTCTTAAAGCACGCTACAATGAGCCAATCAGAAAACTTGTTACAATGGCTCAAATAATCTGATTGGTTGAACAAGACTTTTAAGTCTTTATTCTTTTATTCTTTATTCTTTTAAGTCTTTTTAAGCCTGATATTTTTAACATTTTTGACAGCTTAAAAGCTGTCAAAAATGTTAAAAATATCATTTGAAATCTATAAAAAGAATTAAGCTGACAGACAGCATCCATGAATAAACGTAAATCGTTCAGTTTTTAACAATCACGAGGTCTAAAAATAAACAAAACAACAAATACACAATTTTCTTCTTTTTTTGTGGTTTACCCTCACAGAACCTTTAGAGTGCATTAGTTTGAATTTCCAAATGTTTCCTGTTTTTGTGAACTCCGGCTAAATTGTGGCTCATAAAAACACGCAAGTTTTTTACATGACAATTAGAAAACAAACTGCTCAAGGCTTGCGTTTTATGAAGGAACGACAGCCGAATACACAGGAAAATGAAGATTGCTCTGGATGACAAGGCCTTAAAATTCGGCTGCTGTGACTGATGTGGCCTTCCACTCAACGTATGGGAAAGGATATCAGAGCAAGCTCTTAGTTGCTCACTGGAAGGGCGCCCGATATAACTTCTGAGGCTTCATTCTCTGCGATGACCGGAGTTCGCCATGATGAGCTAGCCGCGATGGACCTTAGCATGATCGCAGTCGCTCTAACACCTTCATGATTTGTATTAATTTTAACGGTCATGCCATTTTGGTTATAATTTTCATCATTCCTGTTTTGTTGTGTTTGGTTTTTGAACACGAAACCATACATACTGTGCGAATGTTAGTTGTGTTTGATTTTTATTGCCGTAAGAAAGCTTGCAATCCAACTGGGCGTGAAAACCTTTAAAACTTGGACAGTCCATCTCATTTTCTTTGAGGATTGATTTTCAGTGCTCACGTTATAATAACGTCAATTACGGCGTTTTGCATGTTGATAAATCTTTGCTTGGTTCTTCGGTTCCTGCTCGCCGGCTCGCTTGTTCCGAAATTTCTCTTTCAATTTACGAAAGAAAGGTGGTTTGTTGTCTGACAGAGCACGCTCTTTCAACCGATGACAGCGCGCATTATATCTAAACTATTTTATAGCCACTAAAAGCGAATATATAAGCATGTCCTTTAAAGCTTACTCAGAAGAGAGAAATCGAAACTAGCAGAATGTAGACAGTGTGCAGAAGTGTAGAGACAGAATTCCGTAGTTGAAGTTAGTGTTTAGCAGTACATGAAAAGTCTGTGAGAAGTATTCTGTGAGAATCAAAGTGTGAGAGCCCACGAGATTCACCAGAGTTACACAGAATGATAACTAGTCCTGACATTTGATAGGGTAATAACATCAATTGATTAAGATGCATTTATTTAGTAATAAATTCGATATTGAAAGAATAGAGAGGAGTGAATCATGTGAAATCATTTGAATGCTAATTTTCCTTCGATGATTCTGCATCACCTTCTTTGAGAAAAAACCTAAAAATATCATTTAAAATCTATAAAAAGAACTAGGTTGACAGACCGTTAAGTCTTTAACGATCATGAGGTCTAATCTCAACACAATTTTCTTCTTTTTTTGTGGGTTACCCTCACAGAACTTTGTATGGTGCATTAATTTGCATTTCCATGCGTCAGAAATAAAAATAAGAATAATAATGACAAGCAAGTGATCCATGAATACGCCCTCGCTGTTACGAAGCGAAATGATCGTCATTGATTGTCTTCACAACTTGTTACATGGGTAATATTTGGCTCAAACGGGATGAACGCCTGTGTTATGAATTGAAATTATTGTACCATCCCCTTTCTTAAAGTAGGTTTCATGTAGGTGCATATTTCCGGAGAACCTTGTCGTTCAATGTAGTATAGACTGGAACTTTCTTCCACTCTCGAACTTTGTTATCGTGACGTCATGATAGTATATAAAACTTGATCAGGAACAATTAGTTGAGTACATATTTGGATATTATCCTGAGAACTAAAGCCGCAAATATTGGTAAGTAAATTCATTTTATCGTGTTACGTTTTTAAGTACGTCGAATCAGTTCTCTTTTTGTGATTTATTTTTAGTTGACCTTTGCTTTATATAGAACATAAGTGAATAATGTCAATGAGTGCGACGGGTGCTTATCATAAACGCCCGTTGTGGCACTCGTTTATTTTATAAAACTCAACTCAAATTGAGTATATCCAAATCAATCACAACCTCTGTAGCTTCAGAATGACACCCTTTTTATTTTGTAAACTATGCATACTTATGTACGTGAAAAAAGAATTCTCTTGAATATTATTGTATCACCTACATTAAGAAAACAGAGAAATCCAACTGAAAAGTCTATCGACTTCAATGATGCTCATTCGGTCGTTTCGTTTTGGTCGTTAAGTTCGTTTCATTACGATCGTCTCGCTTTGGTCGTTTTGGTGGTTTCGGTTGTTTTGTTTTGGTGGTTTCGGTTGTTTCGTTTTGCTGTTCAGGTTTCAGTGCATGCTGTGATCGGTCATACATGTCCAATACGCTCAAACCGTTACAATTCGGTCGTTGACGAATCGACACACTGTTAACACACCGGAAGTGGGGGTGGTAAGCAATGTGTGAAAATGAGTAGCATCGTATAACAAAAGACGAATCGTGCGTTAACATACCGGAAGTCGAGGGGCGTGAGCAACGATATGAAAATGAGTAGCATGAAAAGAAAAAATGACAACATGAACCTTCCACGTTCTTAATGCGTGAAACGGCCGGACGTTCATTGTCAGAATATCCTAAATATTAAAATGAACCTTCTTCCTTCCTGAAGCGTTAAACAGGGCGTACAAAAAAAAGGCTACTTTAAAGTTTGTTGATTCTCAGATTTCCTAAATTTGGAAGACAGACAAACACCCAGTAAGTGATTAGCACGCAGACATAAATCTTCGTTTTTCCCCTTTATAGCTGTCGAGTGCGTTACGAGCTGAAGTAAGTATGTTGTCATGACAAACATCACCAGCAGCGCAGACACCATGGGGGCCAATTTACATGAAAAACTCAATTATTAAAACCAAATTATCTTTTTATACTCTCCCACCGTCTCAGCACCACAGTTTCTTTAGAAATTTACCCCTTTTATTTGGAATAATAAGCGGAATTATGTTAGGGATAGTTGCTTCTTAATTGCGTAGTTATCTCATTACGTATAATTTCACAACGGTAATTTAAAAAAAAAAATGATAACGAGATTTGATCATTGTTTTTCGCTTTTTGGCCATCGATTTATAAAGCACGCAGATAGATTGGAGAGCACGAAAGATGCGAAAGAGTTGCCGAGACTCAGCCGAGAGCTTCTGTATAACTTCTTAAACTTTCCTAGTAAATGTATTTCGATGAGTGCTCAGCTATTGTTTCATAACGTCTTAAACACAGTTGTTTGGATGATGATTTTTCACAACTCAGATTTTTGAGAAATATTTGTCAAAATATTTGCATAGCAACTAATCTATGAAGGAACAGAAAAAATATCCTTGAGGATCAGACCTAAGTCAATATGAATATATTCGGTTTTACCAGATAAAAACATGGTAATCAGAAACTCTATCAAAAAGCAAGGCATAAAATTACAAAGACTGAAATATTTCGAGATAAGAGCTTTATTCAAAGAAAAACTAAATTTTTTCTATCTATAAGTGAGAAACGTCATAATTATTTGTGTGAAGCAAACCCACGCAAGCGAGTCATTACCATCCGCTTTAATTGTTGCTTAGTAAAATTTACGGCCAAAATTTTGAAGTTTACTGGGTTTAACCAGAACCTCCTGATGAGCAATACTTTAAGGACAAACCGATTTTCAAAAATGACATTTACCGTTCCAAAGAATAGCCCGAAAGTGGCGAAGCCTCATTCGAAGTTTCTAGTGCCAGTCTGATTCGTATCGATTTTATGAATTGAAGTATGATAAGATCGAGATAATAATTTTTACTTTTAAGGCATGAATGTCTGTCCCTCTTTTCAAATCGAGTATCGTTTACCGTATTCAATTTTCATTTTGAGCTTTTAACAGCCGGGAAGGAACGGAAAACCATCTTGAAAATTACAAAACTCGCGGCCAAACTGAACTAGAACTTTGCAAGCAAAAACGGAAAAATATTTTTCTCAAGGCACATTTCGAATAATCGTGAAAATAGATTCATAGTTACCGTGCGTGCGTTTGTCGGACACAGGTAAAACAAAAGAGTGTCGTCAGGGGCATAGCAAGCCTACGGCAAAATTAGAAAGGAAAGACGCACGTTTACGTAATTGAATTTTATTACATCAATGTATCCGTAAGAACATGAGATTAAACTTCATGACAGGGTAGATATCTTAATAAATAAAATTCTGCGGCGTCCTACGTTCCGAAATTATTTATTTTCCAACGAATTAATTGAATACAAATCAAAATACGCAACACTTGCGTGCCAAGGACGATTTATGCTTTGAGAAATTCGGGGGCAAGAAGGAAGTCTTAAATCACGTAGCGGTGTGTTATAAAAGTGCCTTGTGTGAAGGGAAGTCACTTTAAATTAGCGAGAACGCTCGCTCGCCAATCCGCCAGCATTCAGCAACCGTTCTGCTCCTGTACTCTTTGAGCACGTCATCACAAAGTAAGATTTCATTAGTTTGCTGTTTGTTATTAATCATGGTGAGGTAAACTTTGCGGATAGAAGAGGGGATGGCAAAATTATACCTACCCAAGGTTCTACCTCCGGTCAAATTAACGCACGAACTATAGATTAGAAATCATTATTTATCAAACAAGAGGTTTTTCAACTTTTCTGATTGACGTTTTGAGATTAAAGGCGCTCGAAACGAATTAGCGATTATTCCAGTGGCCGCTTACTCCAGAAATTTGGCTGCTTAATAAATCTTATTAAGCCTTAAGGCAAAATTTCGTTCTACTAAAATTTTATCTTATTAATGTTAGCTCATTTAATGGAGTAGATTCTGAATACGAATCTCCTGGTTCCATCGATTGTTACAGATGGAAGCGCCGAGATATTTTGCCATGCTTTATTTCACCGGAAATTAAAGACACAGACGAAAAAGATGAACAAAAATTTGAACTTCTTCGCATTAACCAACATTAAAAGTTGAACGTGGCAGCGTTTAAATGGCGACAGTCCATAACAAATCACTTGATTTGAATTAAATTTGGGCGATCTAGTCCTGAAATTGATTTGGAAAAAAAATTAAATGATGGAAGAAAAATTTTGATTCGAAAAGAATAGAATCTGTCTAGAGAATAACAACGAAGTAGAGCGGATAAGGAAAAAGGAGGGTTGAAAATAATCCCTGACGATCGTAAAGGTCACTCAATCGAATAAAGGTTAATTCGGGCAATCTAACTCCGCTAAATCATTTTTTTTTTCAATTAAATAGGACCACGAAGGAAGTTATTACCAATAAAATGTTGCTGCCGTTCTCCTACGAGAAATTATGATCTCATCGTCATAAATACACCCATCAATTTTCAGCATGCTCTTAAAGTAGTGAACGGTCTAATATAATTCTTTATTTAATTTTATGTTACGTCGGAGACTTACAAATGTCTTCCAAACCTTTCTGCTAATCATAGTTGAAGAAATTCACTCTAAAAAGCACTTTGAATTATATTTTGCAAAATTTGATCAGCCACGTAGAACCATATCCGTCTTAAAATGCAAAAAAAAAAAAATGTTACATTATTATTATTAATTCAACAGTGATCTATTTCCTCTTCATGCAATAAGACGTTTCATATATTGAAACCTAAAATTATGCTAAAAATAATTTTTCAAAACCGGTTCTCCTTTAGTTTTGAAAATCTCATCCAAATATTTAGCCAAGACTTAAGCAGGAAGTGGTAAGAATTTCACAACATGAGTCACGTGTATTTTGATTAAAATTGCAAAATTTAACTATTTGAGTCTTGGCCTTGAGTGCCTGGTTCAATTAAACATGCAGAAAATGACTTTGGCCATGTTCATGCCCCAGCATTGATAATATTGATATCCCTTAACACCTTTTGTAAACCTTGTGCGTTGGCTAAAAAGTGATCAGTGTCCCTAGGGAGAAGAAAAAGGTCTCTACTCCAGAGTTTTCAAACGGAGGAAGTCTTAAATTTGAAACTCTTTTACGCCCGCTCCAATATAAACTACCACTTACATAAGAATATTATAAGATTAAAAAAAAAGAAATTAAAAAAAACGCCCAGATAAAATTGATCACGTAGCTGTGAGATTTAAAAACGATTCGTAACAAACGTGTAGTTACCTTCAGTAAGATAACCAGTCTGCCCGCCTGCGATAGCTTCCACTACCTTTTCACCAAGGTATGACTTCAGTTTGCTCTTTTTTAAACTCTTGACTTCTTACGAGTTTAACTTTTTGTTTGTGCCGCGGATGGCGTTTGCATATCCCCCATAAACTTTCGCATATTCGTCAGAAAGGAAACACAAACAGTGCATATTGTCTTTGCAGATAGATGATCAAAAAACAAATCCGATTGCCAGAGGCCTTTTTTCTTTTTTTTCAAAATATTAATAAAGATATTGGTTATCGAGTTTTCGAAAATAGCCGAAAGCGCCCTATTACATATTTCAAAATCGGAATATACAGAGAGAGGAAGTCTGTATAAAGGGTGTTACCGAACCAAAATGAATTTGTAAAACTGATGTGGGCTATTATTTCGAGCGGTAAAAAATGCATCACCATCGCTTTATTGCATTTACAGTACATTTAACTGTAAACTAATTTAGTATAAGGTTACTGGCCGCGTAAACAAGGGAAGTTACAGATCCAGCCGCTATCTGGTAAGGTATAATTTCGTGCAAGTCAATTTTTTGAAAAAACAACAACAATGTAAAAAAAAAAAAGAGGTACCAGTGAAAGTTATAGAAGATAAACAGCGAGAGACATAATTTTGTAAGAGAAATAGTGGGTTAGGGCCTTTCTGTTCCAGCGAAAAGTTGTTTATTTAGAAAAATTTTCATCATCGCCATTTTACAAGTGCAGATAGTTTGTCGCGACTTGACAAAGTTTGGCTGAAGCGGACAAATCTTCTAACACACCGCCGACAAAATTTGTCCTGAGTAAAAACTTGACAAAATCGAACAAATCAAGAAAACTGTGATCAAGTTGTCGAACATTTGTCGTAAAAGCTACGACAAGCGTGTAATTGAATTGAAATCAGTGTACTAGAGAGGCAAAAATTGTGCTTTGTTGCAAAACTCGGGGATTCTAAAATCCTTTGGCAAACTATGCTGGCCGGTCTTGCGAACAGATTAGGAGCTGACGGAATTTGAGGAAAGAAAGAGAGAAAATTTTCGAACGATTAAAACATCCCTTTTAAGTAAAAGGACAGCATTTTACTCGGGCAAAGTCTTGTTTTTCTTTGAATAGTTTTTACGCTTTCAGTGATCGCGGAAAGAAAAACAAAAATGTGCATATGTAATTAGGTAAAAACCAAATTTTCAAACTTTTGAAAATTTCTCCCGTGAAATACAACAATGTGACCTTTAAATTTTTTCCCGTATTTATATTCATCTAAGGAAATGTTATGGCAAAATTTAAAAAAAAAAGATTTTTTGTGAGGTTCATCGATTCTCGCAAAAGAATAAAAACAGCTTAAAATCTCTCGATTCTCGATATTCTCAGAAATACGCTCCTAAGTATCTAGAGGTTTCATCCTACTGCATGCTCCCTCCCTAGGAGTTCACATCTCACTTCATCTTGTTCACGTTATCAGATGGAATAAGTTCGCCACGAAAATTGACAACATTGTCCAAATTTCCAAAATCAGGACCCTCCTAGTTAAGGTCTATACCTAAAAAACTTTGGAATTTTGACAAGCATGAAACCTTGAGAAATATTAAGCCATAACAAATCAAAACAGCCTACTCAAGGTGTTAATAACACTTGGTTCTTAGGGGTAACATCTTTCCAAAAAGATTTCGTTTCACTCCTTCGCTTTCTGCTGGCTTGAGAGTTTGGATGCTACTGATAGATCAGCCTGCAATGCAGACATCTTATTAGTGCGAGTTAACGTTAAGAAACCCACAATCGTTTATTCGACGGACCATATTTCATTTAGAGTTGGAGTGAACGGCAGGGGGAGGGTGCGTTCATTGCCCCAGCCTACCCCTTCCCCTCTCCTTCCTTTTGACCGTCGCCCACACCCTTGGTACAAATTTGTTTCTCTTTCCAGGACTACACTGCTTTAAAAATCATAACCGGATGGCTGCTATGATTTTCACCAAGATAATACAGAGCACTCGCCCGCCAAAATTACGCCTGCTCTGCAGGCTAATGATAGATATCTCTGTGTAACAGAGTAAAAACAGAATAATTGAAAGTTGTTATTCTAAGTAGTTTTTCAAATTCCTTTCGAAACACCTTAAAATAAATTTAGAGAAGAATTTGCCTAGAGTGTCAGCTCCTACCCACTCAAATAAATCTTTTTCCACTCCGATTTTCATCTTTTTTTTTTTTCGATGGGTCATCCCATTTGCAGGCTGCAGGAAACATCAGAACACAGAGTTTTTAACATTTCATGATGATGCGCGACTCTTGGTTTAGAAAAGTGGCAAAGTGCCTATTACTTTTGACCCTTACGGGCGTTTTATGGAGTCTTCCATTTGTCAGGAGCGAAACGTGTAATCCCAACTTAAACAGTAAGTAGTGAAACATCCTGATATGAAAAGCATTTCTATCTTTTTTAAACTTTATTCTTTTTTTAAATCTTTTTCCCATCGTTAGATAAGCTATAGATGGAATTTTCTTTTTTTGTTTTTAATCTACGAGTATTCTCTCTTGCACAGTCAGACCCGTTGTCGACATCTCTGCAAGTCCAGAAAACAGCAGATTACCCATTGGTGCCTCCATTACCCTGACTTGTACAGCGGAGCCCAGAACGATAGATGCAGGATATCTGGACAGATGGGTCAATTACATTGAGTGGTATGATCCACAGGATAACAAAGTTGGAGCTAAGTGCCAGCAGCCTTCAAACATGCGTGAATACAAACGTAAATTAAGCTGCCCATTAGTGCTTAAAAATCTGACAGCTGAAAAATTTGGCCGCTACACCTGCCAATCTGGCAATGGTTACATAAAACACTGCACAAGGAAATCATTTGAAATAGTGATTCAAGGTAAGCAAACCAGGCTTATCATACCCCTAATAAACAATTCTATGAGCGCGCGTTGGATATGAGATGATAGATGGCCAACGAGGCCCGTTGGACTGAGTTGGTTATAATCATCTCATATCCAACAAGCGCGAGGGGAATAATTGCTTTATTGAAAACGCCCCAGAATATTTATATTCTATTATATGTTTTGGTGTGTAGTATCGCTGAGAATTTTTACTAGTTGTGACGTATTTTGACGAGCCTGTAAGGTGAGTCAAAATACAAACTACGAGAAAAATGCTCAGCGATACTACATACCAAAACGTATTATAGGTTATTTATCATCCAACTCATTTTTTTCAAGTCTTTCTGCTCGTTTCTCATAAGACGATTATCCAATGATCCAGTCTTAAATAAATTTAAATAGATATCATATGTTCTTTACTGCGTGGATGGATGCCGAGATGCTATGCGATTGACCTGTCCTAATGCATATTATGTTACTTGGTACAGTCGAACCTGTATTAAACGGCCACTCACTGGGAATAGTTGACCTCTTAATACAGGTTCCACAGATAAGAGGTATTATAAAAAAACAAAACAAACAAACATAAACCAAAACAGCATATACACAACGTCACTAACGCCACTTTTATAACTGACCACTTTATGCCCATAATCTCGCCAAAAAATACTTTTTACTGCAACGATTGGGAGAGAAGGATGCATAAAAAGATGTCTGAAGGATTGTTCTTATTTTTTTTTCTATTCGAGTGGTTTTGGGCTGTAAGTGGCCGTTCAAAACAGGTGGAGAGCAATACCGAGAGGCCGTTGGGACTTACTAAAGGTCGACTGCGACCGCTAAGTTGAGGCAACCGCTTAATAGAGGTGCAAATTACAGTGATTAAGGGGAGACAAATTCGGGACTTAGACAACTGACAAACACTAATGCGATCGACTGCTCAATACAGGGTGATCGCTGAATACGGTGCCGCTGAGTACAGGTTCGATTGTATAAGGAACTGATTCTTAGCAAAACGATGAGATTCAGTAGCAAAAAAAAAACCATACATATTCTTCGCAAGATGAGTGAAGAATTATTTTGTGAAACAAAATAAACGAATGATAACTATAAGAATGAAAAATAAGGGGCTCACACTCCGTCAAGGGAGGGTTGACTTGAAATAGTTCCTTCTGAATACCTTCTGAATGTAATTCATCTTCTTGTGTGACACAAAAGTGTGATAATGAAAATGTCTTCTTCTTCCACCGACATATTCTTAATACAATTTAATTAGCTTCATACCAGTAATAACAGGAGATATTTACTGCAATGTACCTTTTCCCTACAGGCCATGGGCCAGAGTTACTAGGAGTTCCCCAGAACCAAAGCGCCGATGTAGGGGCCAATGTAACTTTCAGCTGCACTGCCACAGGTCTTCCTGCGCCAAGCATCTCATGGATCAAAAACAATGATTCATTTGCTTTACAATCCAACCCAAGGGTGACATTCAATAACAATCCACTGGACGACAAAACCATGCAAAGCCAGTTGTTTATCACAGGAGTGAAGAAAGAAGATTTTGGCGAATATCAATGTGAGGCAAAAAACAGTGGTGGTCAAAATTTGTCATTGCCAGCTTTCTTAACCTCGAAAGGTCCAGGTGAGACATGCATATACATCGGGGTTTGTTTTCCTTTTAATTTTTAAGTTGAAAACTTAGACTATTTCATCCTTATCTTTACCTCATAGCGCCACTTGTGTCCAACCAAATATTTCGATTAATTTGCAGGTGCCCAAATACCTGAGATTGTTGAGGGTCCAAAGAACCAAAGTGTCTCGATCGGTTCCAATGCTATTTTCAACTGCACTGCTAAGGGTTTTCCGAGGCCAAGCATCCATTGGATAAAGGACAATACTTCATATCCTATAGAGTCCAACCCCAGAGCAAGTGTCATTCAGGACGACAACAACATTCGAAGCCAGCTCTTAATAACAGGAGTACAGAAGGACGATTATGGAAAATATCAGTGCATTGCCAAAAACAGCGCTGGTGGAAAAGAATCAGGAGTGGTTTTCTTAATTCAAAGGAACTTTGGTCAGATTGATATACTTCATGAATGTTGAGACTTGTTTTAGGCCTAATTTCAGTTATGTGTGTAGGTACTAAGAAAAAAAGAAAAAAGAAAACAGAAAAGAACTATTCAAAAAATTAATCTCTATGAGAAGGGCATTATTTCTCAAATAAAGCAACTAAATTTGGCTCATTCTTAAGCGCTTATTGCTTCTGAAGTCTCTTAGAAACAAGAATTATGATTACTTCTCAGGTTGCTGTAACAAAACTTGAGTAAATTCAAAAGGAGCAGTATGACATTTAACCCTCTTCCTTTAATTACCTTCGCAAATCACCTATCAACATAATATTCATTTCTTCTTACCTTTGCAATAATGTTTGTATATTTTTCTTTTATAATTACAGAAATGCCGGAGATAGTTGAAGATCCAAAAAGCCAAACCTATTCGATTGGTTCCAACCATTTTTTCAGCTGCACCGCCACTGGTCTTCCCAGGCCAAACATAATATGGATCAAGAACAATGATCCAAATGTTACGAAAACCAATCCAAGGTTGGAAATTGTTTTATTTTTAAATGACACAAAATTCCACAGCGTGCTGCTGATAAAAGAGGCGACGGAGGAGGATGCAGGCACATATCAATGCTTTGCAAAGAACAGCGCAGGAGAGAAGAAGTCAAATGCGGCTACTTTACATATAAAAGAAGGCAAGTTATCGCAATCAAAGGAAAAATTCATAGTCTCCCCTCAAAAAATATTTATCGAAGTCACCAAAATTGAAATGCAGGTCTTATAATTGAAACGCATAAATTTGCATTCAAATTCTTTTACTACGGTTCAGTGCGATTGAGTCAGCTGTAAGAATACAGGCCGCGATTATGATTGGTGGATGGACTACCTTAATTTTCACGATTTCGTTGTGTTATTGGTTGAAATTAGATACTCGCAATCGAATAATCCATCACCCAAGTTTCAAGCTGGGTATTTCCCAAAATATAGGAAGCTGTTTTAAGAGCTTTTCAGTTAGTATTTGTAAAAAACGGTAATGGTTACGTGTTAGAAGACTGGAATTACCAGCTCTTGTTTCAGTGATTTGAATACATTTTGGTTTTCTCGGAAATTGCAGTGGTTGTAATTAATTGGTCGCAGACCGAATTGAACTCCACACGGCCCTGACAACATTTAAATCACTACGATAGAGATTGTTGGCCATTTAGTTTCAAAACTTTGTTAATTTTTCTCTCTCACATTAAATCTGACAGCAAGACTGCAAGAAACCTCAACCCTTCAGATTTGGATCCCGGTGACTGTATCTTTTATTGCGGCAACTGTGCTTATCAATGGTGTTTTGGGGCTTTGGTGGTACATACGTTGTAAACGTGATACAAAGGTAATGCTTCTTTTTTCCTTTTTTGAGTGGATAAGTGCAAACAGAGGCTTTTGAAATCGTTGAAGTATCTTTAAGTTTCTTTGAGGTCTTTGCAGTTCTTTTGAATGGACTTGAAAGCATTACGGTAGCCAGAATACATTTCCCTTGAAACGATTACCTCAAATTCAGAAAATTATCTCTTTTCCATTACTCATTCGCTTCTTTGAACTTTGAAAACTACTGGAAAGTGTTCTTGGGCGTTAAAATTGGGTTAATTTGCCAACAGTGGCTTAACTGTTAAAATACAAATGATTATGATATCAGTCACGCTAGGCCAGAGGCCAGAAGTAGGTTTCGAGGAAGATAGACATGAAGAAAATAAACAAACAATTCCTAGGTACATCTCGAGTTCCTCATTAGTAATTTTTCCATTTTTTTTATTTTTTATTTTGGAAACGGCAGTCGTTGGGACGAGGGAAAGTCGCAAAGGTCCACATGAGCAATGGCAAATGCGCAACAGTCTTAATTGCTCAGGAAGCTGAAGAAGCCCCGTCGCTTGAAGACAAGTTGGAGGAAGGGCTGCTGCAGTATCCAAAGAACAACGGTTTGCATGACATGTGATCCTTATGAACCGGGTAGAGGTTTCTTTGGGCTTTTGACATAATCACAGTTTTCTTTGCAGCCCACATTAAATAATCGCATAGAATGCTAGAAGTAAACACTTGACACGAACCCGGACAGGACTACCTACAATGTTCTCTTTTGGTTATTTTCTCCTCTTTATTGTTATTATTATTATTTTTTTTTAGTTAGCATCAGCTCCAATAAAGTCAAATTTGTGGCCGAAGCATCACCTCCAGTACTTACTTAATAGTAAGAGCTACCTCACCCAAAAGAAAATAGAATCAACACAAGGGATACACCTCAATAACGGATATCACTATCAAAACTATAAGTTGTTTAAAACAACTAAAAATGCTGCAAAAACTTTATTTTCATTCCATAAGGGAGAACAACGCGTTGAACAAGTCTCGTGGCGAATTATCTATTCGGTAACCAACATCACAACGTCTCATTATCTTCTAAAAATAAAGAGAGGGAAATCCATAATCAATAAATACAAGCCGCTGTACAAAAACACAATCGCTAACTGTTCTGTCGGAAAGGTCTCTTGAGTATTTCCGTGTTTTCCAAATATTTACAAACCGCGAAAAAGTCAAATAGTAATTAGTGTACAGGAGCAGACCGCCTCCTGTCATCTCTTTCTTCCATTTAATTCTTCTTCCCCTTTTCTTTTTTTTTTTGCTTTTGTTTCTGTTTTTTTGTTTTGTTTTCTTTGCTTTGAGGTTACTTCAACTAATGCATGAAAAACAAAGAAGTTGTAACCATCACAACAAAAACGTTTACCTGGATCAGGAAAACTTTGATCGAGTCAAAAAGGGTAAATTGTAAACACATCAAATTCGAAGTTGCAAGAAAATCTAAACTCTACACCAATTTTGAATAAACAATTCACATTATTTTATCCTCACAGTGATTTCAGTCCTTTCCATCAAAGCACTACATGCACTACCCTTACACATCAACCCATGATTTCCTGGTTGTAAGTACAAGATGTACCCTTAATTACAATCTCATAGGCATACTTGGACATGTACATGTGTAAGTACGCGCATGCCACCATTATTCTCAAAATCTTCCTGCCAGGAAAATTTTTTAATAAGAAGTATACAAGTAGAATAAGAGAGATGGTAAGTTTAGCCTCGGTAAAGAAATAGAGAAAGAACTTTTCTTTGCCCCACGCTCGTGAAATGACGAAAAGCATCTTTCTCTCAACCAGTCTACACAGTTAACCCTTTCCCTCCCAAGATCTGACCAGTACTTCCCCTTACTTACTCTCATACATAGGTTATGATGTTAGTTTCAAGAATTTGGTATTGGATCATATAACAATACCCTAATTGACATTTCTCTTTCTTAACCTCGATTGCCAACATGATATGGTATTGATATTGTAAGAGGACTGTCTCGGTCACTAGTGAGAGTTAAAGGGTTAAACAAGGTCAAGTTACTACATCCTGAAAACAAGTTGCACTTCCCAATTACTGCTCTCAATTTCCCTACATCACTTCGACACATCATGTAAAAAAAAGTTCTACAAATGATGGTGAACCCATAGTTACTAACACAGTTGACAGGAATTACAAAGTCACTACAGTAAGAAAAAGTAAGGTGGTACATGAATTATTGATGGATCAAAGCATCAGTGATGTGCGGTGCATCAGCTGTTCACCTCTTTTAAGCAACTGAAAATAAACAAGATAACCGCTAATTTCAGCTTTATGTTAAGTTCAATAATCAAGGTACTGAATAAATAAATTCTAATGCATAAGTAAATAGCTTGATGAAAAGGTGAACAAAGAAATATAAGAACTCCCCCCAAAAAAAAAAAAAAAAAAAATGAAAAAAAAAAAAAAAAAAAAACAAAATCATGGAGCCTTTTTGACACCAAGCCTTTGCTTGCCTGTCTTCCTACACAGTAGTTCATCTCTCAAACATTTTATGAAACTTTTGGGCACTAAGTAAACTTCAGAAAACAAATGACAAAAAAAAATAGACTATGATGCAATCATTCAGCAGTCCTGCTGATGAATTACAACAATTTACCACATTAAACTGTAAAACCGTCTACAGTATGTTATATGTTTCACAATAGTTCATTTTAGTTTTCCTTCACAAATCTAGTATTGAATGTTTGATGCACATTGCAGTGTTTATGGAAAAGGAAAGGTACAGTGTGAGTGTTGTGTTGCCACTGTAAAATAAATGGAAATTGCATGAATGCAAAATGTTTCTAACTTTAGCACTTTTTCATTGTAACATTAAAAAGACTAACAAAAAAATGGGACAATATTTGTCAAACAATGACATTCAAAGTAACATTAACATTTACACTTCTAGTCCCCCCAAAGTTGTACCTGGTGAAACATCACAAATAGGAAATAACTTGCACTTACTTGGGATAGTCCAGAGAAGCTATAATGTCTTTTATCCTTGATGTTAACTCCAAGTTTTCTTTACTATTTTCTTGAATATATTGTTGCAGTTTTGCTACAAATGAGTCCACTGTCTCTGATGTTAGAGGATCTGTCACTCCTGGAATTTGAATATCAACAAAACTACGGGAAATTATTTGTCGCAATTTGGCAAGGTGTCTCTGCAGTGCAGTGATTTCATTTTGTTGCTCTTTCCTTTCTCCTTCCAATTTGTCAATGCCTTTCTTCATATTCTCTATGTGTTTACTAAGAATGGCATTCTGCTCTTCAAACTCTGTGTTCACTTTCCTCAGTTTCCTAAGTTCATTTTCACGAGCTGGAATGAATACAAAAAGAACCAAAGAAATAAATAAGGTACACACAGTATTCCTGGAAAAAGGCTCATGGAGCAAAGCCATTACATATTCACAATGTACATGTACAGGCAGTAGCTACATGTCCATGCACAGTACACCCACCATAAAATTACTCGCAGTTTTCAAGCTTAAAAACTCATGGTCTCCAGTTAAAAAAAAAAAAAAGTGGAAATGGTACAACAGCTCTCTTCCCACATGGAAGGTATGGTACCTCATCTTGCAAGATGTTGCAAGTCAGGGGCTAACAATTGTGTATTAGGACAACTCTTGTATGAAGTACATGTGGTAAGCTGGATTAGATTTCCATAATCATATCACTGTGGCTTTTCCAAAATTATTCCTTCCTTGTTCTTCCATGAGGACCAGGCATGTTAATGGAACACAAGGCCTAATACCGGTAATAGCAGAATGGCTTCATTTTTGGTTAGGCCTTACCTTTATTGAAGTTTAAAAACTCCTCTGTAAATATTGGAATATCTCCATCTAAAGGAATTTGTAGTGGCTGTGAATCAGAAGTTTCTTCCACTTTTTTTGCATCAGATGAATCTCTACCATTTGCCTTTTCTACGTGCTTCTCAGATTTATCCATCTGCGAAGAGACCACGGCAAAGTGCTTCTTGCCAGACATATGTTCACGCTTGTTGTGTGGTGAGTTGAAGTATAAGTTACAAGCACTGCAGAACAAGTCATCATTTCCCTAGAGGAGACAACATAATATTGCAATTGTTATCACCATTCATGATATTGAATCTACCAGTGACTTCTAAATTGCAGAATTGTCATTAAAATAATACACAAGGAAGAGTGTACAGAATGCTTAATTTTTTGCTTATTTACCTCAGCACCATTGACATCTCCTTCACCTAAAAAAAAAAGTCAAAACACATCAAACACTACTTCTGTAGAAAATATCCATACATCACCCCTGTTGTACAAACATGACCATTTCTATAGAAGTTACATGTGGGTGAATCAAAACATTTTGACTGAATGCCGCTTATTTTCTACAACAGTGAGCCCAACTGATTATATGCCAAAAGTCAGCCCATGTTCACCAAAGCAGTTTTGAACAACTGTTTGGAAGTATGCATGATGCTTTACAGGGAAAATAGAAAATGTCCCTTTGATAAATGCAGCTTGACCTTTTTTCATTGCTTTTTGTCTGGCTACAAAGTTCTTGTATGCATCAGTCTGTTGATATACTTCTAGTTCCTTCATGTACCGTTCTTTGTCCTTCTCAGCTTCTTCCAAATAGGCCTGCAAATATGGAACACAAACAAAACAATGTTGTGGAATGTACAGACACTAGAAAGAAGCTAGTCTGATGAAATAGCTCTTGCAAAGACACTTACAAGTGAAAAAGTAATAACAGGTGCATCTTCTTCAACAAAAGTAAAAACCACTCATGAAAAAAGTTTCAGTTTAATTGTAGGTTGTCACCAGGAAAAGAAAATACTTCTAATAATGGTACAAAATCATGTATACTAAATGTGGTCATAGCAAGAAATTTATAAGTGTCAGGAAAGTACATGTGTCAGGAAAATACATGCTGCTCGAGATTGATGTACATTTTGAGTAGTGCAATCAGTAAGTCCATTCCAACCTAGAAAGGTTATAGCAGTGGCAAAACCTGCCATTATGCTACTGACGACAAATGTGTAGTAGCTACATGAAAGTGTACCTGTTTTTGTTGAGAAGGTAGCTGACTCCACATATTCCCAAGAATCTTGGTAACTTCATGAAAAGGAAGGTTCTGATTCTCAGCCCTGACCTTTTCTCGATGCTCATTCAGGAACCTGACATAACCAGTAAGAGGGGCTTTAGGAGCATTCAAGTCCTTGTCAGTCTTCTTCCTTTTCTTTCCTTTTGAAAATATAGTCTAAAGTGTCAAAAATCCAAATAAAGGTGTTAGAATTTACCACAAATTGCTCAAAAGCAAAACATCAGCTCTAAGTTTGATTCTTATGAAAGGCCCTTTGTACACACTGACAGTACGTGACTTTTTGTTTTCAAGGCCATGTAACAGTAAGCTGTACAAAAAAAAGACATACTCAAAAGGAAAGAATCACACAAATTAGAGATAATAACAATAATGACAACACTGTGAGGCTCCTCTTTTTCTCACAAATTGTTCAAGATTGTCAAACTTCCAAACTGTCCTTGCTTGCCCTCTCAAAAGTCTAAGAATTGGCATTGTTACAAATTTCTTACTGATTATCCCAGTTTTGACAGGTTGTGTCAAGAGGCAGCTGTACTTTGAGAAATTTGGCCCTTAGTACTTGTTTTTGTTGTTTCCTGATTGATTCCCTCAACATAATAACATATTAGGTTCAGTTTTTTTTCTGTATACAAGTACATGTAAGGTGCATAGCATCAAAACATTGTTCAATTTTGGTCTTACCTTCTTCTGCTCAGGCTTTTGCTCAGGTTTATTTGGACTAGCAGATGGACTATTTTCAGCTAGAAGAGAGGGAAAATTGATTGATCTACAAATGAATGTGCTTCTGCTCTATCAAATTTGATCTGTTTAGTTGAGATCTTTTTTTTTGGCTGGAAAGATACAACAAAACTTTCATACTCTCTACTGTTCTGAATAACTTGAAAAACAATAATTTTAAGTTCAAGTACAATACTCTGTTAACCTAAAATATCTTATTGTCAATTCTTTATTTTATATGTAGCTGTAACTCCTCAACATTTCCTACTAAAAAAGTTATGAGAATTTGGTGTGAAATCAAGATAACAAATTCTACATGATAAGTTTGAGTACATGTATTCTCATGACCAGTTTTCTAGAAAATGCATGGATATCTTAGGGAGAAGATACATTTCATTCCCTTCTAGGATTTAAAGGGTTAAGGGCCAAGGTACAGCACATTCTGCTCTTTCATTGTATCAAAGGATTACTGACTATATCCCATTCCTAACTCCATCAAACTCAAATGATTGAAAATTTCTATCTGCTACCTATGAACCAAAAGTTGGGATCAGTAGTGGGTGTATCACTAAGTAAGAATTTAGGCTTTTCAAGTTATTATTGGCAAGGAGAGTGCTGATTGAATATAAACAGAATAATGAAAAATGGATGAAGTAATGGAAGTTGTGTACCTGACGATCTGTCTTGCACAGATGACCTACAAGAAACACAATTGTTTGTAAGATGTCACACACTGTTACCTGTCTGTACTTGAAAGTTTTATCTCACCCAAGAATAAAAAAAGGGAAACCTGAAAATACACAAACCGGGCCATTTCTTTTATTGGGCCTGGTAGATTGTTGAGACTTGTCCAGTAACAGTTTAATACAAACTATTCACATTTTGCGACTAAACTACTTGTACAGCTAAATAGTATAAATTGTCTGATTCCACACAAGAGCAAAAGTATAAACTGATAATCGATGAAGCCATACATATCCAAGACCCGCTGATTTTTTCTCTTTAGTAAGGATGTACATTAATTTAAATGGCATATTTCGAGACAATTCAAATCGTACACTTGTTTATTCTTTCTCAATCTACCAACGAAATTTAAAAGCCTTCTACCCTGCAATAATGATGGTATTCAATAAACATATTATCATGTTTTTAAGCGACTCAAAATAGTTCGCGCCCACACACTCTGAGAATTAAGACTACAGCAAGTGTAACTGGTAAACTTTGCGTAAACTTTAACTTCTTAGTATATCCAGTCAACCATGGTGCTGTACAAATAACAAACACACACCAAAAAAAGCAACACGTAAACCATCCATAACGGTAAAAAACAAAACTGTCCCCAGAGTAACGTTACAAATCAAGCACTCATTCCTCACAATAAAAATGTCCATAAATTGCAAATCAAGTCGACATGCATTTAATCCGCAAGTTCGACAAATTCCGATACACGTAAATACTGTGGCAGAACAAGTGATTTCTGACTAAGATTTAGATATTTGAACACCTACACCGTGTTGTGGATGTATCGCATTAATATGGTAAGTTATTTAGACATTGAAAAGTTTAATAATCATCCTTTTAATTCTGTACGACTTCATTTTGTTGAAGAGTTATAAAATAGTAATGAGATTGTCCGATTATTCGTTTTGAGACCGATACAACAGCTTTCACTCTACTTTTCGAAGCCAGCCGTCAGTATCAATAAAAAAGACATATTTGAAAAAATTACTGGCCAAAAATGATAAATGTGACGGATAAAGATAAATGTCTTACCGTCCTTCGTTTTGTTTTTCGCCGGTTAGGTCACTATCGCCTGCGGTTTCCATGATCTGTCCGATTTCAATGGAGGTCTGCCACGTAGATATTCGGCAGAGTTACGCTTGCACTCGCAGCGTTGAAGATTTCGAATGGATTAGTTGAGTTATCACCTTAGTTTTGCCAATTCTTTCGCAGTAAAGTTGTAAAAACGGAAAGAAAACAAAAGAAAAGCGAAGAAAACAGCGCGCACTCCTCGAGGCTACCACGCTTCCCGGAACATGCAGAAACCTCTCCTTCCAAATAAGGCTTGGAATGCCATATTTGGGTTGCAAGGTAAATGAGATTCTCATTTTATTTTCAGTTTATTTCTCATCTATTCGCTTAACGCTTCTTTCCTTTCTTTGCTTTCGGAATATCCCTGAGCGCCCATTTTAGATTTTCAATCATTTGGAATACACAATTTGAAGACAAAGCAAGAGTAGAGATGGAGGGGGACTTCAATCAATCGAAAGGAGATGAGGATGACCCCTTCACAACCTTTTGTTTTCCTTTTTTTTTTCATTTTGTTGGCTCTGACGAAGGGCTAACGCTCGGAACGTCAGCTTTGAAACTCTTCTCAATGGCCAATTTACGCTATCAACTCAGTTAATAATACCAAATTACTCTGTTATACTCTTCCACCGACGCAGCACCATAGTTTCTTTAGAAACTTAACCTCTTTATTTTTCTCTTTTTTTATGCTACTCTTTGCAAGGACAAAGACAACGCGCAGAAACGAACGTGGTGATCACGATAGTTTATTTTATTCTTGCAATGTTCTTAAATCTTGCAATGTACTTAAATGCTTCTAAGGCCTGGAAGTTGAACTTATAACTTTTCCTGGATTCTTTAACGGCCATTTTTCCACTGATGTTATCCACGACACCATGTATTTACGAAGCATTTACCGAGACTGTTCAAACGATATTACGTCTGCAACAAAGGTAATTTGACTCAGAGAGACAAAGAGGGTAATTGGAAGCAAGAGGTAGCCTGATTTACAGTTTGCCACAAGTGGCTACCGGAAAATTACATCAAAAAATGTTTCCACCATTTTTCAATATCTTTTTAACCTTTTGTGGGCCCTCGGTCGCGGAGGTATGTGAAAGAGCGGGCTAACGACGAACAGCGACCGAGATTGTCTGGGAAACAATTGCATGTTTTTTTTTTTAACTAGTCCCCATCTGCTTTTCTGGCTTGTTTCTTCTGAAGGAAAGCCTGGTAAGGCTATACTTCCTTGAAAAAGTGATGTCATAATGACCAAGCATACTTCTTTCACTTGTGTTTTGCTTTTTAAAAATAATAATAATAATAATAATAATAATAATAATATAATAATAAATTTTAAAAAAATTGTCATCTATAACTGTCAACCATAATAATCAGATTTTAAGTTCCTTTCTTCAGGTTTCGATATTGACATGCAAGTCATTTAACACACAGATTCTGTGTTGCCATGTACCTGTTCAGTTACAGATCAAAGATGACAAAAATGCCGTAAGAACAAAAAAAGTGGCACATGATGGGAAGTTGTGTGTATCAATGATGTGACAGAGACTCTGATCCGACACATACTCAGATCTATGATTGAACAGATGCACAGCAACATGGAATCCTTTTCTTTGTATGACTGAAGGAGCAAATTAATTAGGTTGCCCTGACTAAGCTGGCAATCTACATAAGAGCTCTCAAGAACTTAGTACTGTAACATAAAAATATCACATTACAATTGAACATAAATTTATGTAAGAGGAAGTAATATAACAGATACTCTACCATGAATTTTCTCAAGGGATTGGTTAAGCCAGCTATGGAGACCTAACCCATAATGAATTCAATGTGAGCCTACATGCTCAGGCAGCAATATGCCCAGTTTGCATGTGTCATTGTGGATGAAAGAACAGTAGCCTGTTAGCCTGTTAACCTTCACTCTGATGAAGGGCTGACACTTGAAACGTCAGTTTTTTTACCCTTTACAGTGGCTAATTTACATTTTCAACTTAGTTGTTAACACTAAATTACCTGTTACAAACTCAGTCTATGAAAATGACAAAAAAGCACATTTCATAAAAAATCCAAGGAAACGAAGGAGGTGATCTCATAACTCTTTCCCCAACCTGCTCTGAGCATTTTCACCTGCGTTCTCTTTAAACCTTTAACTCCCGTGAGTGACCAAGACAAAATTTTTCCTCACAATATCCATACAATATCAAGCAGACAAGGGATGAGAACAAAGAGAAGAATAAAGTAGGGGATTATTATTTGATCTAATAACAAATCCTCCGAACTAAAATCATAGGAATTGTATGGCGGTCATTAAGGAGAATTACTAATAAGATCTTGGGATTGAAAGGGTTAAACCAAAACCATGACAGAGAAGCACAAGAAAAACATACAGCACTTTGTGGGCCGCCACTCTGCCAACCATGGAGTTTGTTTTCTCCCTTCATAATGCAATAATAAAATGAGCCAGAAACCTTAAGAAAGTCTGAAAGACCATTGATAAAATTAACCTGTTTATTTATGTTCATAAATAGGGTTAACTAATAGGGTTTGCAAAAAAATGAACTGTTAGAGTGCTTGACATAATATATGCACGTGACTGGTAACTGGCCACTAAAAGCTGTTTGAACAGCTAGTACAAACATGCCCTAAATGATGTTATTGCCATGCATGGAACAGGAAAATTAATCTCGCATCGAAATATCTGTGACGATAGTTTTTTTGTCAACTTAAACAGTGATCTATGGTCTAACTCTTTACTCTTACATCTAATCATTGTAAATCCTAGAGGCGATTGACAAGAACCTTCTCCCTATAATATCCCAACATTATCCAGCAAACTAGTAATGAGAATATTCAACATTATCAGGTAGAAGATACCAACTCAATCTACCACCAAATTCTTGTAACTACTAGTAATTTACAAGGAAATGTATAGTAGTGAGAGGAGAGAATCAATAATCAAATCTTGGAAATTAAAAGATTTAAAAGATGTTTAAAGGGGCAGGAAATCTAGGCCCTCTACTGTTTGGGTTTTCTCACTATTTTTCTTGTAATCCTTTCCATCATTCTCTGTGTAAAAGAACAAATGCACCTAATCCAGCAAGAATGGCATACTAAAAAACAAAAGAGGAGAGCACATCAATCATCTATTCAAATAATTGTTATGGATTTCTTACAGTGCATAATAACCAAAATTAATCCCAAAACAATAACACTATGTGGAAGTATTTTCACAGATATGATGGAATTAGCCCACCAAAATAAAATACAACAACAAACTATGATAACAAAAAAAAAAAACTAAATGATGTATTTTCTTTCAATCCGAATGAGAGCTAAGTCCCCAGAGGCTGAAAAACTCCTCTGAAGTCACCACTTAAAAGTGAAAAATAAAAAAAATTTCTTTGTAAAACTGTGCAATAATCTAGGACTTACTTTAAATTTTGGATAATCATTCATGAGAATTGTTACCATGCCAACATAAGGGACAAACCTGAAAAAGAAAAAAAAAATACTCAGACTAGTAAACTTTAATCAAGTACTCTTTTCAAATAACAAAAAAATTAAATAAACAAAACAAAAAACACACATAAGAAACCCTCTAGTGGCTTAAAATTCAAAATGTAATAATTATTACAAAAGTTACACCACTTCCTATTTCCAGCTGAATGTGTAAATTACACCTGTACTAGGGGTCACCCATTTGACCAAAATCTAGAGAGTGACATGGTGTATGTGTTGTCAAAAAAAATGTTTATTACATGTTAATTCATTTCACTAAGAGCTAAATGAATAAGTCATGGTAATCTGTAAGTTTTTTCTTTTTTGGTTTGGTGAAGTAAATCACTGATATATTAAGTGGCCTCAAAGGAAAGAAACTTTATAGGTAAGTAGACCAATCATTTGTCTCAATTAGAGATTAACAAGGGGACAGTTTGAAAGAAGTGAAGCACACTAGAATTAAGTAGTCTTAGATTCTGTGCTATATGTGAAAAAAGAAAAAAGAAACAAACAAAACATAATCCCCTCAAGCTTTAAAACTCAGCTGCTATCTTTTCACACCTTTACTTTCTAAAAAAAAAATTAACACCTCTCTGGGACAGGTATTTAGTACTTGTCACTGCATTTTCCCTTTAAAATTTATATTATTTCCATCATATTTGTCTGTCAGGACAGTGCTCCCAGAAAAAATCTGATATTGACAGTTTTAACCCCTGATTTAATATACAGGAAAAACAAATACAACTGTGCATCTTACCCCCTTGCTCGCCCAACAACATCTTTTTTCTCTAACCACAATTGTCCAGGAGCATAGAGCCCTCGATCATCCACTGAGTTATTGTCACCTTTTGTTAAAAATTTGATAGCACCATCCTCTCTGAAAAGAAATATTCATTCCAGTTACAATGATTTCAAAGTTCTTGCATATAAATAACTAGAGGCTAAATCTGCCTTAGCAGTTCCACGTACAAATTAGAGCTTACGAATTTAAGAGAAGAGTTAATTTTTTCTAGGCAAGGTATTATAGAATAAATAATAGTTAAATTAACCCTTTAAATCCCATGAGTGACCAAGACAGAATTTCTCCTTACAATATCAATACAATATCAACCTGATACGTGATGAGAATAAAGAAAAATATCAATTTGGGGATAATTAGTTGATTCAATACTAGATTCTCTGAACTAACATTATAAGATTTGTATTGTTGGCAGTAAGGAGAACTACAAATTTGATGTGGGAATTAAAGGGTTAAATACACAATGAATATGCCATGTGGAATAAAAAAATAAATAAACAGGAAGTATCATTTAATATCAAAATATGCAATGTAAGAATCTGCACATTCTCAAGCCAACAAGTTAATGTTGGAAACTTCAAAATTAAAAGATACCCATTAAGATGCACCTCTAGCAAAAAGAGAGATTCTGATTAATGTAATATGCAGTGTAAAATCAACAACTGGACAGTACATGTAGTTTAGCGTGATCTGTAGTTTTATCCATAATAATATGTGTCATCACAGTGGTCAAAATGTCGTGGACTTACGAGGCGCAGCAGAGTAAGTCCACAAAAAATTTTGACCACTGGATGACAAATATCATTTTTGTTGAGAGTACAGACCACGCTAAGTCTGTTGAGTTGTTTTTTACCACAATTTTGATGTTCATTTAAATGACTCTTTCAGTGACAAAGGTATTGTGTGACACATTGATGCCAGCAGTGTATTGTCTCTACTCTTATCAACAACAGCAAATTGGGCTGTCAGATTGCCACATTACTGCCTATTGTGGTAAAATAACATACATACTAATCATAGAACACTTTCAAGAAAATTACCACGGAATATCCTGTGAAGCAAATACATTTTTTTCAGTATACACATATGCCTTGAAGGAAAGTGTGTACCAGAAAAATAAATTTCTCAGGCAAGCTACCTTCTGATATACCATGACAAAGTGTAGCATAATTATTGTAAAACATGCTAAAGAAAAAACATAAGTGGTAAATCAGCAGGAAAAACAGTGCTTTGTACAATTTAGGTCCAAGGGTATATCTCTCATTAACTGTTGAAGGACTCTGTGATTTTCAAATGAGCACTCAATCCAGCCATGTAATTTCTATTAGCAGAGACAACACTAGACTACAATCGTTAAGACTGTTCCAATAAAAAGTGAAAGCCTTCGATACTATAAGCACAGTAAAGATTGTTAGAACCCACTTTAGAGATTAGAATTCAAACGGAAGCCAAGTACTTCACGTTCAGAATATTGATGAAATTAAGAGAAGAGGTAAAGCTACACACTCACTTTTCGTGTATCTTTAAAACTCGGTGAACGATAGGTATTTCGCGCCCTTCAACTTTAAATACAACGATTTCTCCGACACGAATCGGATCTTCTTTATTGGTTAGAAACAAAAGGTCGCCGCGCTGAAAAGCAGGCTCCATGCTTCCACTGAAAATTAAACAAAAACTTCAGTATCATCAAATGCTTCAAAATTCTAAAATACAATATTGAGGTGAAATAGAAAATGTCTCTCACGAGTTATTTTTTTCAATTATTTACCTCAAAACTACAACTATAGGACTCTCGCTGCCCGTAACTACCATCAATCCTTTCCAGATCATGAGAGCAGATGACACTATCATGGCAAAATTCAGACCTTGATAAAAGAGCTGGGGATTGAAAATCGGTCTGTTAGAACATAAAACATTCCTCTACAATAATCTTATACTGAAATCGTATTTAAACCGGTGTACAACCTGTCTTTTATTCATTCGTCTCACATCTTCAAACCAAGATGAGATGTCCATGATGGCGGACACGTGTAATACGCAAGCGCACAATGTTGGAGTGTAAAACGAAGGTGTAGAACAAAGGACGGTGGAAAACTGGAACAAAGGACGGTGGAGCAAGCAGTACAAGAACAAATGTGCATACCATCATTGGTCATTCTTTACCATACATCTTCAGCGGTGACCGTATACGTATAGCTAGATTCTGAAGATAAGAGTCAAAGAGCATATAGACTCAAGTGCTAAAAAAATGCTGAAAATATATCTTTGCGATAAGCATGCCTTTAATTAACAAAGGGGTAAGTTTCTAGAGAAACTGTGGCCGCTGCGTCGGTGGGAGAGTATAGCAGGTAATTTAGTGTTAACAACTGAGTTGAAAACATTAATTAGCCACCGTTAAGGGTAAAAAAGTTGACGTTTCGAGCGTTAGCCCTTCGTCAGAGCGATTACCCTTTACGGTGGCTAATTTACGTTTTCAACTCAGTTGTTAACACTAAATTACCTCCTTTAATTAACAGTTTAAGAATCCTGTTAGGGAGCAGCTAGAGAACGAACGAAATATAGGGAAAATATGAGACGCAGTTGATTGCTTCTCTGTACTTCTTGAGTGCTCTAGACACAGAACAGAGTGCAGCCAAGCCTTTTTTATTTTGTTTTTTGCCCTCGCACGGTCTCTGGTCCCTGAGACATAGGCGCCGCGTATAAATATGCACAGATATAAGTGAGAACAATTTTAAAGGTCATAGGCCCTTATACATTAGGCAAGCGTAATTTTTTGGCGTAATTTGGAAAACGAGCATAATTTTTGCATTTTGTTACAAAGGAGCAATGCTACCATAATCAGCATATTTTTAGTTTTTTTATTGCTATAATTTTTTTTTTTAAGAGAACATTACCAGAGTCATCATTTGTTTGTTCTCTAAGATTCAGTATTCCATTGTTTAGTCTATTTTCAATTTTGCAATGTCTTAGGGGGAAGAAGGTTACCGCAATAGTGCGTCTAAAGGACTGGAAATACTGGAAATACTGGACCTAATTCAAGATTACGTTGGTACCAGGTAAAGTCTATATTTCTACTCTCACAAAGTAATTGTTACTTGTTACATTCGCGATTACATGGAAAAGATACGGGTTTCCAAAAGAAGAGTGATTTAAAGGATTAACTTTTCCTCTGTTTAAGAGTTCGTATGATATTATTTTAACCGTTTCGTTTTTCTTCTTTTAATCAGTTTTAAATAATTATCTAGGCCAAACCATAATTTCGTCTTGTAGCACGAGACACGAACATTTTCTTGCACTTTTAATGCTTAGTCCTGGAATCATTTTTTTTTTTCGAGATCTTGTAATCAACTTCGTTTTTGGTTTTGACTTGACTTTAGGGACTTTATTGAAGAATTTTGTTCGAGAAGAATAACTGGTTCTTTGGAGTCTTAGTAAAGACCTTCTCCAAGATGTGAATAGTTTCATCTTCGCGCAGTAAAGTCTGCGTAAACACATATTCTTTATTTAAAAACAGTGAATACAGGAAAGGAAAAGATGCGGCTGATCTACAATCAAACATACTGCAATGTTAGTATAGCGAACAACATGATTTCTCGTGCACTTTGTTGCTTGTAAGTACCACTAAATTTTTCAAAGACAACAAAGTTACACGAGCCCGAAAATGATGTTAGAAAGTGACTCAAGACTCTATCCCTTCCCCTAGACTCCTCTTTCCGAATGTCTTTCCATTAGATCCTCTCACCTCTTCCCTGTAAAGTAAAATGAATTGTCTTTTTATACAAACTCCATCTGGTTTTGAAATCCACGTTAGCGATCAACTTGAACTTTACTTAAAAGGAAACTGAACGCTTGCTGGCCAAAAAATACACCTACCTCGCATGCTGTAGCCGTAATTCTTAATTTGATATACCTTTCTTATCCGAAAATTGCCTAATAACTGAATCTTTACGTTATAAATCTGTTGAACTTAGCTTAAGTTATACATCTGTTGAACTTAACTTCTTTCCTACAGTTTAGAGTTTCGATAGCTGTCAGGCATCGTTTACAGAGCTAAAATCATTATTCGAAGCCATAGAAGGTATTAAAACTTGACTCTACATGTCTCAGGTTATAACAGGCTATTTGCTCTCTAATATAAGCGTCTCTAAGTGTTGGGGACCGTAACCACACACCTTAGTTAAAAGGCAAATTTGCGATGATATACAAATGAGACTTAATTAACGTTAGTCCAATGAAATTTCTCAGAAGTGCCTTACAACTATAGAACATTTCAAAAGAAGTGCTTCCTATACAAATTGAGAACAAATAATTCATTGACCTGAACATTAAGTGGAGTAGTTTCGAGTTACTCATATGACATACAGTTCTAATTTGTTCATAATATTTAATTTAACCATCATCATGTGTTTCTATCAGACTTAGGAAATGTCATGCTTTTTCAGAATATTTGTCCAGATATTCATTGATAATCGACTGGTAAACTTTCGAAGAGCTTTCCGGCTACAAAATCCAGTTGCAATTAGCTCCATGTTTACGAACAAATGGTAGAACCGGCTGTCAAAAAGGGATTTTAGTAGGCCATTACCATATGGCGTTGTTCTTAAAGGCTACAAATAGATTAGTCTAGACAGATAATCGCCTGAAAGCCTGAGGCCTTCATTGATAGTGCTGTTGCATAAGTAATGCGTGGCTCACTTTGCTGAACTGGTCAATTTTCCTGCAAGCCAAGAAACGCTTGTGCCGTGGCGCTAGTGAGGTCGAGCTGCTTGCAAGTTAGATCAGATACGTGCTTAGATTTTCAGAGCAAATCTAATCCGCGCCAAGCTAGTGTATTTACGTTTGTTTGTTTTTTTTTCGTTTTTAACCGATTTGGCGTCGAAAGTAGTACAGGTAGCACCGTCTATTCTTTGCTGCAATTTTCCTTACCTAATTGCAAAACCTTCACTAACAGGGAGACAAATACTTGAATTCGAAATTTTGGAGCCTAGTCAGCGACAGCATCTGGGTCACACAGATTTCATAAGCATAATCATCAGGCCTCAGTACATTTATGCACTTATTTGAGATATCGTGGTTGTTTTTATAATGATAATCAAATCGAGTGAGTTTTTTGCTTCGGCATAAGAGCGTCATCAGGCTTCTCCATCGTTGATATTTGTATATGTTCTCTGAAATAAATAATAGGAATAAAGATGTCATCTATTGATTATTAACACTAAAAAATGATGAATGAGGATAGAAATAATGGTGTGTATGAATTAATGCCAAAGTAAAGAATGAACTTTGGAACAAGCAAAAGAAGAAACGAATGTGCGCCCAGGTGGATGAACGAACAAGCAAACGGATGGATGACTATGTGTACAAATGGATGGATGGCTGCAGTTAAAAATAAGAGGTTTACCCGAAGGACTGATTGGGTGACAGAAGGATCTATGGACTGGAAAAGGACGAAAGGAGGGAAAAAGATGGATACAGCCATTACATCCACTCTCCCTCGCCAACTTCGTTCGAATGGAAAATGTTTTCTTTCTAATTCGGACAGAAAACTAGATAACTCAGACACAATAAGAGAACTGCAGGAAATACAATTTGGGTAGCTTGTTTCAGGTTGATTACCTTCACTTCTCGCAAAATATTTTGCAGCTGTTGAGCGATCTCTGAAAAGGCTGGTCTCATCAATGGATTTTCTTTCCAACAAGAGCTCATTAGCTCATATCTAAAAATTCAATACAGTTCTAGTTAACATTGTCTTGCAGCTAATGCTTTCAGTATCTAAAATGACCATACCAAGTGTAAAAAGGGGCGCAAAGTGGTGACCTTGCACGAATAGATGATAGAGCTTACTGGGGAGATGACTGACTTGTGACATGTGAGATTTGACTTGACACGCAAAAACTTTTTAAATCAGAACGAATGACATGATTCGATGCATTGTTTCGATTTTTGACAAGAAAAAAAGGATGTCAGAGGCTTGATCTTCCAAAACTTGGATCGAAGGCAGAACGCATTGAAATTATTTCTAGAAATAAGGGAAGTAGACGTTCTTTCATTTGAACCATTCTACAATATAATCAATAGCTCAATTTATTTTCTGTTGGCTTTAAACAAGACTTTGAAGCTCACAATTCTCCATAGCATTGATCGGGACGAGGCATCCTGTATCCCATAGCCAGTCGACTTACTAGGGCAATTGGAGATGTGATGTCAGGGTATGGGTATGGCAACTCACCTGTTTGAAAAGCAGAAGATATGACCTTAGAAAATCTAGGTTTAAAGAAATGACTTTAAGGCAAAGAGTATTTCAGTGGTAAATTTACGTAAAAATGGAGACTCGCAAGGACTTCATGAGGCTCAGTGAGATAAACAAAAATTAAGCGCTGTGACAAACAAGACGAAGCTCGTATGAATGAAAAAAGAAGGTTTAGCATGCACACAGCCCATACCAAGACACCATAAAGTGGTCCCCCGATTTTTTTCAATTTCGTCTTTCAAGCAACAATATTTCTTTAAATGAAGATGCGTTTGTCTATATGGATCATCACCATGAAAGTTAGCTTACTCGCTAACTGTAGGCTGCTGTAACGGATAGGAGCCTAACTCCTGACGAAAGCATGATTTATAGTTCTCAGGATGTCGTTCTAAGTCGTACATAGTATCACGCTGCACTTACCATGAGTGGCGATTTCCCATAGAACGATACCAAATGACCACCTGCAAATATGCACCAAGGCCTGTATAACGTCAATGAATAAGGAACAACTAGCACTGAATTGATCAAGGATCGAGCCTCGTTGTATTTTTTGATTGTTTAATGGAAATATACATCGCTTAAGACTTCACTGAGTCTCTCCTATCATGTGAACCTCGCTTCTGGTATAAATAATTATTTCAATCAACTAATATGAGCATATGATGCTCGATTTGAAGGAAGGAATTACTTTAGTTATGTTAAGTTCTCATGGTGTGTCCACAAATGCAAATAGACATAGATACACCATGCATATACATAAAAACGAGTAAACAACGAAAAATGAAGCCCAGATGTAACCATGATAATAACGCTCCAAGGAAAATAGCAGAGCGTAGGGCACACGTGTTTTTTTTCTTTTTCTTTCGCCAGTCAATACTTGCGACTCAAAGTCAAGAGACAGATCTCTGACAGTATTAACTACAAATTGAAACTTACACATCACTCATGGATGTAAAATGCAGATCTCGCAGAGATTCTAATGACGACCATCTCCACGCAACCTTGCCCTGTTGAAAAGATTGATTCACGTGAGCAAGCTCCTGTCTGTAGTTCAGGCAATGTCGCTTGAAACTGGGAAGAGGTTGGATTCACGAAACTGAACGATGCATTCAATAAGTATAAGCGACGTATTTTCCACTGAACGTTGAACTTTGAGATATATATCAGTTTTTAACAATTATTGATTCCAGTAAAATCCAGGGTGATGGTTATCGTGGATTTTATTATTTCTATCCTTACTATTGTTATTGATATTATTATCAGTACAGACACGAGACCAGGGTTAATTAAGTAAACGCGTCACATAAAACACAGCTCGTTTGGAGTTTCATTTGAATTATAACGTTAGAAGGAATAAATTTATCGTCTCCGACTTTAATATGGAAGGGTATCAATTCAAATGCTTTTAAGATCGTTTATTTGTTTAATTTGGTTGATCAAATGAGTTGAAAATGAAATTGGACCACCGTAAAGAGTTTAAAAGCTGACGTTTCGAGCGTTTGCCCTTCGTCAGAGAGATTGGCCTGACGGAAGGCTAACACTCGAAGCGTCAGCTTTTGCACTCTTTACAGTAGTCAATTTACACTATCAACTCAGTTGATAAAACCAAATTATCTTGACTCTCCCCACCGACGCAGCGCCACAGTTTCTTGAGAAACTTACCCCCTTGCTGGAGGTCACTGTGTATATACCAGCAGCGGATATGTCCCTGGCTAATCCAAAGTCTCCAACTTTAGCCACCAGGTTGGCATCAACTAAAACATTCCTGGCTGCTAGATCGCGATGAACAAACTGTTAGAGAAGACAAGTTACACATTTGTTTCTTTAAAGACGCTCACGAATAATGGGGTGAGTGATTTGTACCCTCACCTTACAACCTGTGCTTACGCTGTGGTAAAAATTTATGGGCAAAGTTCATAAAATCCTGACACTTTTTGCAAGACTTCAAACTTCAATTCCAAATGTGCTGGGCAGTCATTCCTTACTTGGCTGTAGGAAATGGCCAAAGATGTTAAATTCGTATAGTTTCCCGCCTGGATTTTCTCAGAAAGTTACTTTCGCTCTAAAATTTTATAAAAAAAGACACAAAAAATATTTTTCATGCTTCGAACTGCCTGTACTATATTTAGAGCAGCCTTCTCTAACGACAGGTTAGCAAATTTAACTTCACAGTCAACAGGTGTCACCTTTCTTTCTTCTAAGTGCTGCATTCCTGCGGCGATCTGAAGTGCAATTGTAACCAACTGCCGGTCATTCAGCTTACACCGGACGTTTTGATAATTGTTCCTTTCCGCAGGAGCCCTCTCAGCCTTCAAGAGATTTTCCAGGCTTTCACCACGAATCAATTCAGTGACTAGAAGAATTTTTCCTAGAAAGGATAGAGCAAACACACAAGATTTGACAAGAAAAAGTGATGGGACATTATTTCCTCTTTAGTTAAGTTGGCGGGAGGAAGAGGGATCCCCCAAGAAAACACTAGAAAAATTCGAATTGTTTCCGATCAAGAAGAACAAATTTTTGACATAGTGCATATGAAGTGGACTTGTTGCCTATAATCATGAGATCAGTTCGTGTACTGTTCTACACACCCATGCGGCCGAAATGTTACCTTGTTGGACCGTGAATCACCAAGTAAACACGTCTATTTCTAATACGTTGCATCGTCGAAAACTGACTTACCTCTCTCTATCCGTGTGCCAATCAAAGTGACAATATTAGGATGTTTCCCAGTTTTCTTTAAGGTCCTTATTTCATTAAGCAGGGTTTCTTTGGCAATGGCACTAGGGTCTCAAAATGACATAGAGAAGAAAACAAAAGGACTTCTTAACTTTCTTCAGTTTACGAAGTTCGCTCGCCGTATCTGGCTGTGGTAACAAAATAATGTATGGGAAAAGCGGCTTGATTAAGGCTGTAGAAAGCGTTCAAAGGAGACAATAGCAGACTTTATGAGTGTTTCCCATCAAAAGAAAAATGATGAAAATAGTAAGATGGCGCATAGCTTCCAAAGAAATATTAGTTCAAAAGCATACCACTGTTCTTAGGAATTAACAAGTGGACATTTCGATCTCGTGTACCCACCTTTTAGCTTCTTAACAGCTACATCTATCATGTTTCCGTCTTTTCCACCGTAGCGCCCTTTGTAGACGATCCCAAATTCGCCCTCTCCGAGTATTTCATCGCAGACTTCAAGATTTTCCAAGTTTACGCATCTTTCTTCGGTCTCTTGAGATATTTCTCTCCAATCGCGCTGTTCGTCAACACTCAGGTCAACACCTTTATCAGCAGTGAAAATGTCACCACCAGCAATCTTCCCACCCGATTCTAATCTCTCTCGACCATTTTCTGTTACATCCTGTGTAGAATCACCCTGCTCACTTCCGTCTGGAGGACTTCTGTCCCCTAATCCGTACCCCAGTAACAGGAGCCTTTCCTCGGGGTCCTCAATGGCTTGGGTATTGGGAGAACAATTGTTTTCAAGGTCATACATCGTGTTTATCAAATGTTTGGCCTTTTCCAAGCATACTTTTGTTGTACGTTTTCGTGCCTGTCATTTAATCGAAGAGAAAAGTTAATTGTTATATCTAAAAAAAAGCGTGTTTAGCCTTTATCATCAAAATCATTTGTTTGAGATCCTTTCAAAATTCTTCATAAAAATGAAATATCTCGAACTTTGATTTACTAGTCTTACGCGTATTAAATAGCGTTTGTTTAATACGGAAGGAAACAAAGCTGGCCGAAATCGCTGCAACATTTTTTATTACGATGACATTCAAAATTGGTAAAATTAAGATATGTAATTAGGGAATATAGCTCTTTTTCAGATTGAACTGCTCCATAAACCCAGTGAAAATGAGTCGCGCAAGCCACTGCATGCTTCTGTATGAGATATTCACGAAGTGGAGGGCAGGAGAACTTGGAAGCGATGAAGTAAGGAAAGAAATGGGCGTTTTCTTTAGCCTTGGCACATCATAGGGGCAGACTTTTGCTAAGTGAAGCAGAGCTGACGAAATTTATCATACGCAAGTTTGCTTATCCTGGCGTCGGAAGGAATGCTGGGATTGACCAGTTTTCAGACGGGGCAAGTTTTTGGCGTGTCGATCTTTGTTATTGTAAGGCGAGATGCAGAGTCTAGAGAAGTTGTCATTGTTCTTATTTTTACGAATTCTTTTCCCTTCCATGACGGTCAGAGGAGATCATTACTCTGTGTGCGGATGTCACGTAACGTATCATTTACCTCCTTATCACAATTTTTACGCCGATTCCACACAAACCCAGTGACCACACAAATAACTGCAGCTACCAAAGTGCATGATACAGCGACTATAATTATCTGAGATGCTGAATTTTCTGGCGCTCCTTCCTTGACGAATACGGAAGTATGAGTTGTAGCTACGAATAATAAATGAAAAAATAACAATTTATTTTGAGTCTGCAGTCTTAAATCTCAAGCAGAGGAAGAAAATCATTTGTAATAATGATACAAACAACAATTATAATGATGACGACGACAACGATAATAATAATAGTGATGATGATGATCTTAATAAGTGTAATAAGTCAGATGTATAAATTGAAAAAAGGGAGAAAAAAGGAGAAATACGATGAAGAAGAAGAATAGGAAAGAATTGTGGAGGATGAAAAAGGAATTTACAATTTAGGCCATCGAGATTTGATTCAAGAGTCAATTGATTGCAGGAACCGTCGTTGAGATCCTATTTTTTCTCTTGGATTTGTCTCATTTGTGATCTTTCTTTGGGATGTCGGGGCCCAAGGCTTTTTTGCCATTCGAAAGACCTGGTTTGAAGAGAATTAAACTTTAAGGGGAGTCTTGATGATAGGAAGACGAGGAGCTACAGGGACCGGGTGAAACTGAAATGATAAATTTAAAATTTTGTATTAAGATATATCATACTCTAATGACATGGAGAATTTTTTTACAATCTACGGAAATGTACACCAAGAAGCAGTCATCCAAAAACCGAGCTTATGTCGCCTACTTGGTGTTGGGAAAATTTCAATTGGGTGACTGAGTTGGCATGCAAGTAGAAGACTTCGTGGAGTTTCAACTTTGAAATGATAAGGGAAACAAACACTAATGCATATGAATGTCTAACCTGAAACTTTCGGGGTTAAAAAAGCCGGCAAAGACAAATTCTTATCACCGCTGTTTTTTGCCTCACACTGATATTTGCCAAAATCTTCTTCCTTTACTCTTGTAATAAACAAGTGGCTTTGCGTACTTTTGTCGTCCAGTGGATCGTTAATGAATGTCACCCTTGGGTTGGATTGTAAGGCAAATGAATCATTGTTTTTGATCCATGAGATGCTTGGCGTAGTAAGACCTGTGGCAGTGCAGTTGAAAGTTACATTGGCCCCTATATCAGCACTTTGGTTCCGAGGAACTCCTATTAACTCTGGCGCATGGACTGTAGGGAAAAATACTTTGCAATGAATATACTTGTTATTATCGAGATCATCCGGTTTGGAGTTAATCCAATTATAGTAAGAGGCTGACGTTAGGTGATGTTAGAATTATTAAATTTTTGCGCCAGACAAGAAGATAACTTCCTTTGAGACTTACGCATGCCACAATTTTTATGACCATATTCTCGTGCTCAGAGGGAAGTATGTCAGGCATATGAATAGAGGGGGTAAGTTTCTAAGGAAACTGTGGTGCTGCGTCGGTGAGAGAGTATGACAGGGTAATAAAGTATTATCAACTGAGTTGATAACGTAAATTGGCCACCGTAAAGAGTTTAAAAGCTGACGTTTCGAGCGTTAGCCCTTCGTCAGAGAGATCGGAGGAATTGTGGGTTGTGTGTGCTTATATGCAGAAAATGGAGCTACGTTATTGGTGGGAATATGGTGACGAGAAAGAAAGAAGAAATTAGTTGAACGAAAATCGCACGTTGATACCATGTTCTCGAGTTTTACGGTTTTCCGAACTGCTTAAATGTAGGGAAAGGCCGCAAACAGCCATATGCTCCTCAGAATGGCTAGCGAGATATAAGTGTCTAGCGACTGGTTTAGATGCGTCCTTTTCACTTCTTTCAACGTCGTGAAGGTGTCCTCGGAATCGGTCACCTAGTAGTCTTCCTGTTTCACCAATGTATAACTTTTTGCAGCAAGAGCGAGTTATTCAATTGGTGATACTAGCAGAGATGTACGTGAAGTGATCAGTGATCTTTATGGATCGATCTCTTGAGTCCCGACAAAAACATAGGCAACTCTTTAGACAAAAGTTCATTTCAAACCAGTGACCAACCTGGAACTTTCGAATGCACTTGCTCACAATGCAAAACTTTCCTTTCATTCACAACGTAGAGAAAATGTCGGGACTCAAGAGATCCATTAATTAAGATCACTGATCACTTCAGGAATATAATCAGCTCCTCATATCAAGTACCTAATAAGAATTCATCGGGCCAATAATTATTGGTCCTTATTCAAATTTATTCTTTATTTTTGTAGCAAAACCATCAGAAAGAACTTTGAAGAGCTATGCGGAATTTTCCAACGGAGAGAAATTATATATTGGACTTGCCTGTCCATACATTCAAGGAGTTTCTTATACACTTTTTATTACATTTGTGGCTTCTTGTTCAAACACAAATCCATCTATATTCCATCATTGCCTCCAAATCCAAAACACGGCGCCTACCTTCGAATTAAAGAACCTAGGAAGTGTGAAAGTTGCTTACCTTGGATTTCAAATGATTTCCTTGTGCAGTGGCTTGAGTAACCATTGCCCGCTTGGCAAGTGTAACGGCCAAATTTGTCAACTGTCAGATTTTTAAGTACTAATGGGCAGCTTAATTTACGTTTGTTTGAAGGCTGCTGGCATTTAGATCCCACTTCATTACCCTGTAGATCGTACCACTCGATATACTTGACCCATCTATCCTTATATCCAATATCTATCGCTCTGGGCTGCGCTGTACAATTCAGGGTAATGGAGCCACCAATGGGTAATGTGCTGTTTTCTGGACTTGAAGAGATGTCCACAACGGGTCTGACTGGGTTGGAGAGATTGAATAATTTTTTAAAAAATATGAATAATGTACAATGTCTTTATAGCCTATCCGACAATGAGAAAGATTATTAATAAATCTATCTTATAAATTTAGCTAGTGTAGTTCACAAACTCTTGACCGATCAAGAGTTTTAATGCAGCTTTTTAATGTTAATTTTTAACTTTTATGTTCCACCTGAAGAAGGCCGAGGGCCGAAACGTCCTGCTTTTAAACGCTGGATCAGTCAAGAGTTCATATTCGGTTTTTCTTATTTACACATGCTAAACGTTTTGATGAAGACACGTGCATTCTCTGGATCCTCCACATGACTAGGAGCTGTTGGTTTGGCAGCCATTTTATATTTTCAGTACATACTCACGTTCAGTTATTGTGCTCACAAGAAAAACTTTCGCATGAACATCCTTTTAGAGCAGGACGTTTAACTACTAACTGCCCCACTTGGAATGTTTGAAAGTAGTTAAAACTACTTACTTGTTATATTGGAATCGCATGTTTCGCCTCTGATGCTGAATGGCAGATTCCATAACGCGCCCATAAGAGTTAAAAGAACTGAACATGTTGACGCTTTTCTAAGACAAAAGTTACCCATCGTGGGCCGGGATTGTTTCCTCAAAATGAGTTCTTTAACTAAGGAGGTAAGTGGAGCTATAATATCATTAACTCAATCACGTTATCTACATCAACACACTCAGGCAGTCACGAAAGGGGAAATGGAAAAGGTGAGATACAGATTTGACGATTTTACAAAAAATTACTGAACTTTGCTATGAAAGAAATATTTTTGTTTATTTTCATACAGTTTCGTTTCAATGCGGTATTGATTTCGTCACTTACACTTGATTTCGTTACTTATACGTGCTTAATATTTTTTAAAATGTTAATCTTTTTTCTCTAGGGCGCGATTTGAGCCTGAAAACGATCTTAACATGCTCTTAAAGTTATGTGATATAATACTTAGTTTAGATCGGGTTTAAATAAGAGCTGTGTAACAAATAGTACTGAGCTTTCTTTTATGATCCTTTTAGTATTTTTAGAAGGTTTTAAAGCCTGTTTATTAGTACAGATGAGTTCGACCACCAACTGAGTTGTACTTTAGTGTATCGTGCGATAAGGAAACCGCATTGTTAATGTTAAAAAGGCCCTTAAGAATTTGAGATAATTGTTCTGTTCCACCACAGATTAAGATTGAACAAATTGAGATTAGAAGAACCGAATACTTAATAGAATATCCAGCAAAATAAAGGAAGCGATCATTGAAAGATTTTTTACAACAGTTGCGTCGTGTGAAACGCTATATTCTGGTAGCTTTCAGGGTGGTCATATGTTTGTTATTATTGTTATGTAAGCCAAAAGTTGACCCTCTATTTTTTATCCATCTTACACATGCTTCCGTTTGGCGACCGTAGTAACGGAAAGAACATTGAAGTTGATAGAATCAATTTGTGTATTTTCAAAATAGTTCATTTATAGGAAAAAAAGCCAATTTGTTTCTTGGAAATGGGTCACTGTACTAAAAAAACTTATCCCAATGCAAGTGGTCAAATATACCAAATAATACGCTGAGAGAGAAAGGAAGAGGCGCATCATATTTCAGTTTGTGTTCAAATTTACAAGAGCTGTTAGACACAGCTGACGTAACTAATAATAAGATCGATCTTCCTGTTTACAAACGGAGAAACTTAATTTGAATCAAAGCATTTTGCATCAAGTTTATGTTTCCTTGACTATTTTCCATTAGCAAAATTCAAGATGCCTAAAAATTATGTTCAAGAATCTCTCCAGATTTCTCAAAACTACAGTGCAATTAAGCGTCACCTATGAATCACAACCTGGTAATATAACATATTGTATCAAACTGTTTAATTTAATGATAAATTGTTCTGCAAATCCTTTTGAAAAATATATTGTTTGTACATGGTTCTTCTTCGCTGTTCACAACACCACGATCGAAATTAACATTTTCCTTTTCATTAATTTCTTCAAAAGATAACTCTTGGCAACGGAAATGCAAAAGAAGTCGTCAATTGGAAACTAAAATAATGTGAAAAATGAATACACTTACCTTTAGGTTTAGCTGTGAGAATTGTTAACATACCACCTATTGGAATCATAGGTTGTCAATGAAGGTCGTGTAGAAAATTATGCACACTTTATTGAGTAAGAGAAACGTAATACGAAACGGCATTTTTGTTATTAATAGAATACAACTCAGCGGATGTGGTTTGAGGAAAATGAAATAGGTTACAAGGGATGGATAACATCAAAGATCAAGTTCGCTAAGCCTGATTGTCAGCTAATTGTAGAATGCTGTTATGCTGTTATGACCAATTCATAAATAAGTTTCTGGCGGACTAGAATGAAAAACAGGAAGATGTGCGTATACGTTGAGGAGTGATTTGAGTGGGGGGAAACGCTTTGCTTGAAGGATAATCGTAAACAACTGGGACCAGCTGTGTTTCTTCCAAAACTCAATTTTCCATTTTGTGCGAAGTTCTGTTATCTCACTGTTTGACAGAGTGCATCCGCAGTCCAAAAAACAAGACGCCTAAAGACGATTCCATGGACGTAGCATTGGGAGAAATTGTACAGCTATAGTAAACTACTATTATTATTCAGTTTGATTAGCCGAAGAAATTTGCACGAAGTTTTGGGGGAAATTGAAAAAGCCAATCCTTAAAAGTTCAAATGTTTCCCGGGAGACTGAAACTTTGAATTCATCGGTGGTTTTCGTTCGATTGAGTGGGTGCAGTTTACCCACGTTTATTCCACAGCATCCACAAGCCTGCGAGATTCAAGGCTCTCGCGTAAAATCGAGGCCTTTTGTGTCAGTCAGCATGAGACAGCGTCGAACTGATTAAAAAAAGCCGAAACAGTCCCGCTTCTGTTAGATACCCTAAGCCTCGGATTATCGAAAAACCCGTTGGATTAATAAACGACATGAATATAATTATAATTATGGTTATTATTATTTTTATTATTATTTTATATTGTTATTATTATTTAAATACTTCGCGGTGTTCCAGCTTTTTCAGGTGTTCCGGTGTTTTGGTGTTCCGGTGTTTCTGTGTTGCAGCGTGTTCCAGCGTGTTCCAGCGTATTCCGGCCTGTTTCAGCGTGTTCCGGTGTTCCTGATGTTTACAGTTTCATTATTCATTCCATGTCGGTTTTCGAGGCAAACGAAGCAGTTTTCAGGGTTTCATGATGAGCCTTGGAGTCTTCAACCAAAACTGTTTTTGGTCCTGCGCATCAAAATTATTTTAATTTGTAAGCAAATTTTGGCAAGCACTGTGGTGAAGAAAGAATCCTTGTCAACGCCTCCGAAAAGAAACCTCAGCGACCTACAAAGTAATCTTGTGCGGAGTCTCAATAAAGTGCTTTGATAAACGAATAAAGGGGGTAAGTTTCTAACGAAAACGTGGTGCTGCGTCGGTGGGAGAGTATAGCAGGTAATTTAGTGTTATTCCGTCTGACGAAAGGTTAACGCTCAAAACGTCAGCTTCTTACTCTTAACGGTGGCCAGTTTACGTTTTCAACTCAGTCAGTTGTTAACACTAAATTACCTGCTTTGATAAACGGCATGTACTAAACCAAGTCCACCGTACACCGCCTTAACTATTGTTTTGTTTTGTTTTTTTTTAAGCACGGTATCGCGGTATTCTGGCATATTCTGGAGTTCCGGTGTTACAATCTAACTTGTTTTAGAACGCACCACGATAAACAGCTTAGTCGATGGTGGTTAGAGCAAAATGCACCCGTAACATGGCTGTCCATACTTCAGTAAAGCCCAGCACAGAAGACAGTTTTAAAGATGAGATCTATTCTCGTTTTCAAACTACCTTTCAGGCAAGCAATGAAACAGGGCAGCAAAAACTAAATAAACAGAAAAGAATATCTACAAATCAAGCAACCTGTGCGCTTGACGGTGAAGTAAAACTAGCTAGCGTCTGGCAAAGTAATAAGACAACGGTCAATACCCTGATATTTTCTTATCAAAATGATCTCTATTCCGTCAAAAACGTGGAGAGACACTTGGGCCGGTTACCTAAAGAAGGTCTAAACCAAACCATGGTTTTACACAAGCAGTAAGTCTTAGATATTCTCTACAGGACGATTGATTTAATTAAATGGCTGTCCTTCCACTGTTAGCTTTCTGCCTTCTTGACTCTTTTCACAAAAATAACTGTGCACATAAAAAGTTCAGCTTAGTTGAAAATAGTTTCGAACGAGGTTCTGTTTAAAAAAAGGCTTAACTTTATCAAAATAACCTGCCCTTTGAGTCCAAAGCTCTTGGTGAGCCTTCGAAACTTGTTAGGAACGCGACTTTTTCACTAGTCAAATTAGCGCGCATTTAACAGGGTCTCTAGCAACGACAATGTGCGGTCAATATGCACAACGTCAGTTAAGCAATCAGGGAAAAGGCTCGTTAAGTATGTCCGGTTTTTGGGACGATTCCAAAAAAAGGTGAAAGAACGAGACGATGTTCACGTACTTAAGATTTATTTACTCGTGCGTGGTCCACCAGTCGGTCATAGAAGGAGGTTTTACTTTGCGTTTTTCTTTAAGCCAAACATCCGAAAAAATATTTAATAGAAGGGAGAGAACCTTCCATACAACGAAGGAATACAGCATGCCAGTTTATTTTAAGTGAGAGTACCACCCCGGGTTACCTTTTGACCTTAGATGACAGACAGACTTAGCCACAGACAGATTAATCTTGAGAGATAATAAACAGCCTGCAAACTGTCCTTCATCAATAACGCTGAAGCCCATGGGATTATTCGTCTGCTGGAAAGTCTGAGGTCTCAAGAAAAGCGAACCGATGAAAAATCTGCGAGGGGTGAGGCACAACAAAAATAAGTTTAGATATCTCCTCTGCTAGCTTTACTCGAGGTCTCAGATTTTCCGCGCGCAAAGAAAGACTCGTGGCACAGTGCTTACGGGAATTCAAAATCAACGTAAAGCTACTCTAATTACGTAACTCCAATTATTTTAAATCAATTAAGCTTTTTGAGTGAAGCAGGATGCACTGTATATTTTATTTTAATTGCAATTTGCACTGGCCCATAAATTGAATTCTAAGTTTTTTTTTTTAACGTAGCAGGCACACCAGGGTCAGAAGCATTTTCTGAAGCTTGGTTATAAAGGTTTCTACATTACTTATTTGAGATATTGCAGTGTATGTACTCGGCATCTTATTATTAATATAATAAGACGAGGCGTTTGCTTTAACATAAAAAACATCATCAAACTTCTTCGTTGTTGTCCTCTGTGATATTTATGTATGTTCTCTGCAAGGAATTAGAGGAATAACGAATAAGCCCTTGAATTTCGAGAAGATTGAATAAGATTGTTAACAATGGTTGAATATGAATTAATATCAAGTTGGGAGTGAAGTCAGGAAAGGGCAAAGATGGAACATAATGGATGGATTCTGGATGGATGAATGGATAGTTAAATGAATAGATGAATGGTTGAATAGATGAACGGATGAATGGATGGACGGATAGGGAGGTCGAGCAGATATACTGACTAGCTGAAAAAGGGCACATAATCACGAGAGGTGAAACTACGGGAAGAGATGGATACCTTTTTGATACAATCATATTAATTACCTTGACTTCTCGCAAAAAACTCTTCAGTTGACTTGCAATCTTAGAAAATTTTGGTCTCATCAAAGGATTTTCTTTCCAGCAAGAACTCATTAGTTCATATCTAAAAATTCAATAAAGCATTATTAAACATCCTGTATTATATGCTCAAAGTGTTATTGGAGACTTTTATCATATTAATTTACCCCATGAAGCCTAGAGAGGAGTGCAAAGAGATGTCTTCTTAATGTTACACCTTGTAAACAGGATTATTGAAACGTTAATTGTCATTTAGCTTGACATGAAACCAGCTATTCAACTGAAAAAAAAATTGGCTGTAACTATGGGTAATCATATTTTTATAACGTAAGTAAAGGCTCGATTATTTAGAAATCTACATATCAATTATTACTATAAGCTTAATGTAACTTATGATGCTTACAATTCTTCTGAGCATTGATCAGGACGAGGCATCCGGTATCCGGTAGCAAGTTGGCTTACTAAGGCAAACGGTGAAGTGATGTCAGGGTATGGCAAACCACCTAGTTGGCAGAAAGGAGATATGATTTACCAATTATAGTTTAAAAATGGGCTTTTCGGCAAAATGAATGAGTATTTCATCAGTAAATGCATGAAAAAAGTAGAGATCTGAAAAGGCTTCATATGGTTCAGTCAATAAATGAAGGTTTAAAAGTTGTGACAAATGATATAAGCAAAGGAAAGAAGAGTGTAGCAAGGACTCATTCCCTATCTGGACACCATGCGGCCCTCTGGTCTTGCAGTCCAAGTTTGTCTAGCAGTTTCAAGGTTTAAAGGACAACTGTGTCCACAAGTACCTTCGTATTAAAAACAAGCTAAAGATAAGGAGCCTTGCTGACACTGATAGGAAGCTCATGACGAAAACATGACTAGTAGTAGTTAGGGTATCACTTTAAGTCGCACGTATCATCAGACTACACTTACCATAAGTGGCGATTTCCCATAGGACAATACCAAATGACCACCTGCAGATATACATCAAGGCCTTAATAACTTCAAAGAATAAGAAAGGATTGTAACTGAGCGTCTAATTCATCTTTCCAAAGCTTAAGAGTTCGCTTTAATATTCTTGTCAGGTGGATCGCGCGCAGCCGAGCATTTGGTAGTCTTTTTCAATGTATCGATTGTTTTTGTTTGTGTTGTTTTTGCCGTTTTCTATTTTCCATATGGAGTCGTTTTTAAACAACTAATAGGTGTTGTAGATGCTTGATTGGAAAGAAAGGGTGTTTAGGTCATTTATGTGCCAAGGATGCTTCCTTAAATGAAATTAAGCACAATCATGGGTATAGATACATGCAGATGAACAAACAACGCAGAACTGAACTTGAATGAAACACAACTAAGTTGTCAGAGGTCTTCTGGAATAAGTAGAATTCTAAACTAGCTTTTCAAAAAAAAGCAAATAATACACTGTTTAACTTCATAGTAATGCTTTCACTCTAGCACAGCGGCAGACAGATGACTTTATTGCATATCATTTGTATCAACCGATACGAGATAAATTTATTACATTATTACCGAAAGAATGGAACTCACACGTCACTCGCGGATGTAAAATTTAGATCCCGTAGAGATTCTAACGACGACCATCTCCACGGAAAATTGCCCTGTTTAAAAGAAAGGCTCGTGTGAACGACTATATGTGAAACGGCGATGCCTCTCGAAAATAGTTGAAGAATGACCCACAAATCCATCCCAAAGAGGCTTTCAGTAAGAGAAAGAGCGTTATTTACTTATGTATTTAAACTTATGATCATGATTACGCAACTAAATAATAAGATTTTCTTCTAGATTGTTATGATGATGATGATGATGTTTATTTTTGTTGTTATCATTACTATTGTTGACTTGCAATAAAATCCAGGAAAACAACTTTTGTATTGGCCATTATCGTTACTTTTATTATAATAATCATTATTATCATCAGCAATAGTACCATTATAATCATCATTATCATTACCAGTATTAGTATCAGAGTTATTACCGATATCAGTTTTAGTGTTAGTAGTAATATTTTTATTATCATTTGATCATTATCATAACTGTTATCATTATCATTTTTAACATCAAAGTCGCGAATCCATTGCATGATTGAGTATACACGTCACAGGATACCCAGCTCATTGAAAACTACAAAACAGCTTTGGAATGCTTCCCAGCCGCCCTTAAGATGCAAAGGGACTTTAAGGGGGGAAGTTTAATAATAAAGATCTACGGCTAGAGGGAATGGATTTGACATGTTCGCTAATGTTATGGAAGAACATAAGCGTCAATACATTAGCGTTTATTCGTTTGCGTTCTTCTAGTCTCCGATATTGATTGCAAAGCATACTTACGCTTGAGGTTATGGTGTATATACCAGCTTCGGATATGTCCTTGGCCAATCCAAAGTCTCCAACTTTAGCCACCAGATTGGCATCGACTAAAATATTCCGCGCTGCTAGATCGCGATGAACGAACTGTGCGAGAAGACACGTACATTAATTGTATATTAGACGACATGACTGGCTTCTACCAAAATGCTAAATAAGGATGTTGAACTCGTGTAGCTTCCTGCTTGGATTTCCCCACAGAGTCGTTTTTCCTCGAAATGGTTATATAGAAATAGAATACCTTCGATGTTTTTATAGTGCCCGCGTTTATTCATTTCTTTATTTTTCTTTATTTGTTATTTTCACATTTCTACACACAGCGAGTCGGTCTTACCTTTCTCTCTTCTAGATGTTGCATTCCCTCGGCGATCTGAAATGCAATTGTAACCAGTTGCCGATCATTCAGCTTACAGCAGACGTTATGATATTTGTTCCATTCCATTGGCGTATTCTTGGCCTTCAAGAGATTTTCCAGGCTGTCACCATGAATCAATTCAGTGACAACAAGAATATTTCCTGGAGAGAGTACAGCAAACGATTAAAAGTTGATACAGATAGACTTGGTTGGTGAGCAAGTTGGATCCAAAGGACCAAGAAGAAAGTATTCGAAATGATTTGTCTAGCATTTTGCCTTAACGGAATGGTTTCTGATCAAGGAAAAACAAATTTTTGACCAGTGTTTAGTGGAGTAGTTTCCTTAAATAATAAGATTACTTCTGTTTTAACTGATCTTCAAACGGCTGTAGCCTAACCCGGTAAATTGCAAACTCTACATGCCTATCACTAAGGAAGTTACTTTGTCGAGGACTGACTTACCTCCCTCTATCCGTGTGCCAACTAAAGTAACAATATTTGGGTGTTTTCCAGCATGCTTTAAAGTCCTTATCTCATTGAGCAGGGCTTTTTTTGCAATGGCATTAGGGCCTACAATTGCATAGAGAAAAGACAGAGGATCTTTTAAAATACTTGATTTCACGCAATTAGCTCGTTGTATGTGTCTATGGTAACAAGATAATGACGTGGAAAATGTGTCTTGGTTAAGGCTGCAGAAAGTGCTCAGAAGAAACAGAAGTAAAATCCAAAGAAGGTTATGAAAAGTTAAGCCACTAAATTAGATGTCAAGGGCAGCTGTTTAGATCTTGTTAGGCTGCAACCACATGAAGTGGTGAGTGAGCACATAGAAAAACATATGGAGATATACCACTGCATCAAGGAACTAACGAGTTGACATTTTATAGGTGGGAGTATCTGTTAATCCATTTTTTGTACCTTTCATCTTCTTCACCGCTACATCAGTGACATTTCCGTCTTTTCCATATCGACCTTTGTAGACGATCCCAAATTCACCTTCACCGAGTACTTCGTCCAACACTTCAAGATTTTCCATGTTGTCAAAACCTTCCTCGGTTTCACGAGAGATCTCTCTCCCATCCCCTTGTTTGTCGACACATAAGTCAACGCCTCCACAAGCGATGACATTATCACCACCTGCAGTCTTCTCACTCCAATCTGATCTCTTCTCGCCTCTCTCGTTCATGTCTTGCATCAAATCAGGCTGCCTGCTTCCGTCTGGAGGCTCTCTGTCGCCTAATCCACCTTCGACTGTATACAACAGGGGCATTTGCACCTTAGCCTGTACAAGAAACGTATTCAGTTTTAATCATCGTCATACTTTGTTTGAGTTTCCTTCATGATGCGGCATTTGAGTGAGTTGAACTGAAACCTCTCGTACCCTGAATCATCAACCTTGTTGCTATTTGATTAGCGCTTGTTTGAAAGGGAAGCATAAATTTCCTGCTAAATCCTTACGTTATCTTCTTTTATCACGATAATCATTTGAAGGTATCTAGGCAGGAAAATATAGCTTTCTACTTTGATTGTATTGCTTCATTAGTCTCAAAAATTGAGCCGCACAAGCTAAGCCTTACAATAAATTCAAATAGAAGCATACTGCTACAGAAGATCTTTATTGATCCGAAGTGGAGAAAAGAAGAATTTGGGAGAGTAGAATTAGAGACAGAAATGGGTTTTTTCCGTAGCCTCGACATTGTGTGCGTTTGACCAAACAAAACCATAAACTTTTTATTTTAGAAGGAAATGGACACATTTAAAAGTCAAATGACTAAATTATTCCTTACACAACCTCGCTTATACCGGACGGTCCAATGGGTGACACTACCGCTCTATGTTATTTAGGGCGAGATGCGACGAGAATCAAGAGACGCTTCGCATAGTCTAAGAAAACCCTTTTCCCTTTCAAGATAGACCAGAAAGATCAATTGCACTTTGTGAGAATGTAATAACGACCGCAGATCCATATTCCCGAGGTGCAAAAACGTAGCTGACCCTAGTTCCAACAGAAATCATATGACCACCAGTATTAACGAAGTCGCCTATTATTTACCTGTTCACCACCATTTCTAAGCCGATGCCACACAAGCACAGTGATTAAACAAATAAAAGCAGCTACCGAAGCACATAATACAGCAATTGTTGTCATCTGAGATGTTGAGGCTTCTTCTTCATTTTTGCGATCTGATGGAAGATAATCATTCTGATAATCTGATAATCATTCTGATAATCATTCTGATAATTAACACAGGGATTGAATTTTATAAATAAGTGTCGGCACGAAATAAAATTGCTGCGATACATGATTTTTTTTCCAGAATCCCTTTTTAGATGGAAGTTAGAGCAAGTAAAAACAGTTCTAAAAGCTCAATAGGGGTCAAATCTATAACATTCTAATGCAATTCGAACTTCGGAAGCTCTACCGAGCAAGGCCTTAGTTGAACGGCATAGTCTATCACTGAATAACATTATCTTTCAATGATGATAATCATGATAATGATAATAATGATTAGAAATAAAAGCATGAAGAGGAAGAGGATGAAGGAGAATAGAAAATAACATTAAAGAAGGAAAGGAATTTTCAATCCCAGCATTCGTGATTTTGGTCCTTATTTTTCTATTTCCTTCTATATAGACATAAGTTAAAGAATTAAAGAGGACGCATCGATTCTTCTGTGACTCTGAGTTTCGCGCCTAAGCGCTCGTCAGACAGAACTTTCGAGCGCTTAGGCGCGAAACTCAGAGTCACAGAAGAATCAATGCGTCCTCTTTAATTCTTTAACTAATGTATACTTAGCTCTGCTACCGCAGCTTTGAGCACTTTATGCCAAGGTAGACTCTACCCCCACATTTTCCATCTATATATATATATATATATAAGTGAAAAAAATCAAAGAGGACGCATCGATTCTCTGTTACTCTGAGTTTCGCACCTAAGCGCTCGTCAGAGAGAACTTTCTGTCTGACGAGCGCTTATGCGCGAAACTCAGAGTAACAGAAAATCGATGCGTCCTCTTTGATTCTTTCACTTCTATATATCCAGCTCTGCTACCACAGCATTGAGCACTTTATGCCAAGGTAGACTCTACTCCACATTTATATATGTATATGTATATATATATATATATCACGAAACAGGCTTGTCGGGATAAAGCATAATTGTGTTTTTCCCTATCTAACCTCTCTTCAATACAGCTACTTCTGATTGACTTCTTCCAATGCTATTATTTGCAATGCAGCGATATTTTCCATAATCTTCCATCTCTACCCCTGTAATCAACAGCTGGCTGCGAATAGTTCGGTTGTTTTGAATAACTTTTGCTCTGGTGTTAGATTGTACAGCATGTGAGGCATCGTCCTTCATCCAATGGATGCTTGGCCTTGGAAGACCATTAGCAGTGCAGGTGAAAATGGCATCGGAACCGATGGAGACACTTTGGTTCTTTGGACCCTTAACAATCTCAGGTATTTGGCCATCTGAAAAATAACGTTGAAGCTTTTGAGTTAATGCATCTGACGCTGTAAGCTGTTTTATTTACGGGCGTTCTTTGTGATGTCGGTGCCAGCTTGTTTGGCATCCGAAATAACTTATTTGAAGAATACTTAATGTTAAGGAAATTATTTTTAACAAGAAGTCAGACAAAGTGCAGGAACCAGCTGAAATAAATTCACCATTGCGTATGTACATGTCTCACCTGAACCTTTCTGTGTTAAGAAACCTGGCAATGACAAATTTTTTCCAACGACGCTTTCTGCCTTACATTGATATTTTCCAAAATCTTCCATCTTCACTCCAATAATTAACAGCAGCTGGCTTTGAATGCTTTTATCGTCCATAGGACTGTTAATGAATTTTACCCTCAGGTTGGACTGTAAGGCAGATGAATCATTGTTCTTGATCCATGATATGGTTGGTTTAGGGAAACCTGAGGCGGTGCAGTTGAAAGTTACATTGGCCCCTATATCAGCACTTTGGTTCCGAGGAACTCCTATTAACTTAAGCGCAACACCTGAGAAAAAAGTACAATGCAATAAATATCCCCTGTTATCACTAAGATAATCTGGTTTTGCATTTTTTTGTATTTACAATACAGGAATATCAGTTGCATCTAGACTTTACTTATCACCCCTTTATGGTCATATTCTTGTGTTCGGAGAGAACCATTTTAAGGCATAGTGTCCCTTACCGGAGTAGGTGCGTCTGCATTTTTTTTTTCCATTTATTACTATAAGTTTATTTTTTCTGATCACAAAGCGTCATAAAATGCATAATTAGCTTATTTTTGGTCTACAGATCTACAATCGCATCTTTTGGCTGAGAATCAGTTGCTCATATCAAGAAGTAAAATATGCATGAGTACCGTGAATGCTCCTTTTTCAAGTTTTGGTCCTCCGAAAATTAACATTGAAGCTTTTATCTGAATGCATCTGACGCTGTAAGCTGTTTTATTTACGGGCGTTCTTTGTGATGTCGGTGCCAGCTTGTTTGGCATCCGAAATAACTTATTTGAAGAATGCTTAATGTTAAGGAAATTATTTTTAACAAGTAGTCAGACAAAGTGTAGGAATCCGCTGAAATCAATTCACCACTGCGCATGTGCATGTCTCACCTGAACCTTTCCGTGTTAAGAACCCTGGCAATGACAAATTTTTTCCAACGACGCTTTCTGCCTTACATTGATATTTTCCAAAATCTTCCATCTTCACTCCAATAATTAACAGCAGCTGGCTTTGAATGCTTTTATCGTCCATAGTACTGTTAATGAATTTTACCCTCAGGTTGGACTGTAAGGCAGATGAATTATTGTTCTTGATCCATGATATGGTTGGTTTAGGGAAACCTGAGGCGGTGCAGTTGAAAGTTACATTGGCCCCTATATCAGCACTTTGGTTCCGAGGAACTCCTATTAACTTAAGCGCAGCACCTGAGAAAAAAGTACATTGCAATAAATATATGCAACTGATATTCCTGTATTGTATCTAGACTTTATCTAGACTTTGCTGACCACCCCTTTATGGTCATATTCTTGTGTTCGGAGAGAACATTTTAAGGCATAGTGTCCCTTACCGGAGTAGGTACGACCGCATTTTTTTTCCTTTTATTACTATAAGTTTATTTTTTTTTCTTATCACAAAGCGTCAGTGATAAAATGCATTCATTAGTTTATTTATGGTTTACAGATCTAGAATCGCATCGGTGAGAATCACCTGCTCATATCAAGTAGTAAAATGTGCATGAGAGCAGTGAATGCTCCTGTTTAAATTTTTCGTTTTGCAGTAAACCCACTTTTTGTCACTTCTTACAAAAGCAGTTAAGTTATTCGTTTCCTACTTGTAGAATTTCTTTTTTGATTGTCGCTTTTCGTGCCCTGTTAGCCAACCGCCGAAAGAATGAACTCTGCGGAACTTTCCTTCACCGATAAGCTATACCTACTATGTTTTGGACTTGCTTATCTGCCCACCTCAAAGGTTTTTTTTAGATTCTAATTATTTCAATCGCAACAAAACTGAATGCACGGCACCCACCTTTACATAACAGAACGTAGTATGTCTACCTTCCATTAGGGGCATGCTAAGCCTGATTTGCTTACCTTGGATCCTTATATTAAATGATTTCCTTGTGCAGTGCTTTGGGTAATCATTGCCTGATTGGCAAGTGTAGTTGCCAAATTTGTCAACTGTCAGATTTGTGAGCACTAATTGGCATCTGTATATTGGGTCACGCTTTTTTTTATCAGGTTGCTGGCACTGAGCTTCAACTTCATTACTCTGTGGACCGTACCACCGGATGTACTTGACCCATCTACTTATTTGTGAATCATCTTCCGCTCTTGGCTTCGCTTCGCAAGTCAGGTTTATGGAGGCACCAATGGGGAAACTGTTGTTTTCTGGACTTGAAGATATGACGACCACGGGTTTCTCTGCGAGGGCGATAAAATTAAACCGATTATCCCTATTTATATATACAGCCGTTCTGAAAAATGTTGCATTGCGAGGAGATATATGAAATATAAACAAATTTTCTTTTTCCGTTATGAAAGTTATGGAAAAAACAAAGGGACAACGCTTTATCTCGACAAGCCTGTTTCGTGATTAGATCCCTCTCCAGGGGATTTTAATGTATAAACACGTAAATAGATAGTTAGATAAAATAGATAGATTTCTACATACGTACACACATTCATACATACATAATTACACGAATACATAAATATTTAAATACATACAAGTAATATCTACTCATATTTACATGGCCTTTAACCAGAACGTTTAAAAGTACTTAAAATTACTTACCTTTTATTTTGGGATTGCATGTTTCGCCTCTGACGAATGGACGTTTCCATAAAGCGCCGGTAAGAGTTAACAGTACTAAACACGTCGACGCTTCTCGAAGCCAAAAGTTATTCATCATCATGAAACGCTGACAATTTGGTAGTTTGATGTTTCAAGTGACCTGCAGGCTGGATTATTTTAAACTGAAAATAAGTATGACCTAAATTCATGCGCTCCAGTAGTTAAGAAGAAGAAGAAAAAAAGAATAATATAAGTTAACAATTTTGCTTTTTTTACACAAAACTATAGCCAAAGGTAATATCGGAACGTCTTCCTCCCAAAAATCATTTCCTTACGTTATTTTTATCGATTCGTTTCAGCAGCTTTTTATCTCAAAACAAGATCTGCGTCTTTTCATAACCCAGCAGTTCATTTGCAGGGACCTTCAATTCGCGGGTACAATCGTCAACAGTGACAAACAAAATCCAAGCTGAAAACTCGAGCTCAATTCAGCTAATCTTGAAGGTGTTACGTTGTAACATGCATCGTGCACTAAAGTTAATTGTCCATGTTGATAATGACCTTCCGCACTCAGTTAAAAAGAAATTCCAACAGAACGTATCATAAGAATACAGAATTATTCGGCTTGTGAGGAACTTTGTGCCATGCGGGTTGATCAGGGTGAATCTGCTTTTAGGGTAGAAAGACCGCTATAAACTTGAATAAGGTAAGTGGCCTGCGGAAGGACACGATATACCCTCCCGATGATGAAATTTCTTCAAGTTTTATCATTTGCAGGTCCAGCACAGGCGTTCCAAGCTCACTTTTCGAGAAAAAGCAAACGATTAATTTATGAAAGCGTCGTGCGTTGTGTGACTCGGTGTTAAGTTACGAGAGGAACCGTTGAGAATTTGAACACGTTGTAAGGAATAGTACGGGGAACGGAATATGGTCGATTTACATCGACAAATATTTCGAAATTTGAACATTTTACACGTCAGATTACAACAGGAATAGCGGCGATGGCAAAACAAGCATAAAACGGCAGACAACGCCGGAAACCACAACGAACACACAAGATGTAAGTTCTAATGATTTTACAAGCGTAAAATCATTAGATTTTATACGTTAATGTTGACGTTTCCTGATACATAATTCGGTTATTTTGATAGCTTTTACACAAAAACCGAAGTCGCCAAATCTTGAGGTCTATACAAGTACCGCTAGACTCAATTTATGCGAGTGGATGATCTTATTTGATCTGTCTAGCGGAGACTCCTATTAGAGAAAAACGTCTGTTGCGTTTGTCAAAACATCATTCATTATCAGGGACAACAGTTTGATCCGAGCTTCCCAGCTTCTGCTTTCCGGTATAAATAAAATTTTTCTGGCAAGTTTTCAATTTCAGATAAACGCAGGAATGATTTAATCGTGACATAATTCACCCGAAACTTCGATCTAAATGTTATTCATCATGCAAATTTCGAAATCTTCCAAGATCATAGAGTGACGACATGTATTTGTCACCTGCTTTCTCTGACATCTTAAGGAAATTTATGCAGCATTTAAGGCAGCTCGTGATGATTCAGCGCTCTTATATAAATTGGAGGGGAATACTTTCTGAACCCATATAATACAATTAGCTCACATTGTACTGGAGATTTACGAAAGGAACGTCACTTTTTTTAAGGCTAAGAGCAAACGAAGGCCGCAAGGAAGTCTGTTAAACGCGAGAACATACAGTCATTGAAACTTTAAGGATTACACTTAATTTTAAAAAAATTCAGATTAAAAGAACGTAATAAAATAGCCTGTCCAAACTGTACTAGGATTCACTGCCAGTTTTTCCACTCCATCTGAGTTTCGTTTTTAAAATGGAATATTATGACGACTGTGGTAAATTTCACATTGTTATTAGTTTGTTATTCGTAGAGGCCAAAAGTTGACCTCTCCAATTTTTTCTCCATCATACGGATGCATACGTTTGGCCACCGTAGTAATGAAAATATGGTGGAAGTTGAAATAATAATTTTTTTCATATTGAAGGAATAATGTCCGAAACGTTAATCGTTAGCGAGGTAAGGCATTTGTCTCTTGGAAATAAGCCATAAGCTTATCACAATTTCCATTTTAAAAATACATTTTTCATTTTTCAGCATGAGAATGCTGGCGACAAAATTGAAATTTCGAATTTAGTGGGTAAACACGATACACTCCAGACGACTTATTTGAAATGACTGATGCGCGACAGTGACAAATTGTCATGAAAAAATAAAACCATGTCACGTTCATAGTCAGTCGTTAGACTAGAGAATGATTCATCTCAGGCAAATGATGAATACTATGCTAATGATAATCTTTTGGAGACAAAAGCAGACGCAGTTTATTTAAGATTGCAATACAACGGGTAAATTACCCTTTACTGAGATTGATCTTGCTGTGTACGACTGGAGCCTTCACCTCAAAACTAGAGTCGTTTAACTTAGGACATAAAATTTGAATTAAAGTGTTTTGCCGTATGATGACTCGTAATAAAGGTTCATTTACATGGACTGATTCAAATGTTTGCCGTATTTGAGACTGATCATGGTAAATTATGGTAACGATTACGAATAAATGCTAGCGAGCATTTAAGACTTCTGTATGTAATTTCCTAGAAAAACAATGCGACCAGTACTCATCCACTAGAATTTCACGGAATACGATCTCACTAGTAGTCTCAAAACATCGGTTCAATTCTGCATCTTTAAAAGTCGTAACTCGTATTATATTAAACAATTTTGTTTAATCTTTTTTTTTTCAAAGAAGATGAAAAAAAGTAGTAATTTAACAACTCTTTTGTTCATAAACTTCATAAACTTACCTTTGGGTAGCTGTTGACTCGTTTACATACCACGTATTAGAAGGCAGTTAAACTAATGATAGCGGCTCCACAAGGGAACTGTGCGTGCATCTGTGAGTTAAAAATAAACATGATCATATGAAGCGACATTTTTATTGGTAATAAAATACAACTCAGCAGATGTCACATGAGGAAAATGAAGGTTAGAGCGACTATTTCCATGTGAGTCGCCTAAAGTTTGACAAGATCGAAGATTGTTTGCAAGGCCTGTTTGTCAGCAAACTATAGAATGCTACTGTTATCATATTTACAAATTGGTATCTAGTGGATAAGAGTAAAAAACAGGAAGATGTGCATGCACGCTGACGAGCGATTGGTGCGTGGGAAAGCGCTTTGCGCGTTGGATGACCTCAAACAACAAAGACCAGCAGTGTTTCTTCCAATAAATTATTTCATATTCACATTCATTTTTCCATTGGTTGGTGTTTCTGTATTTCACAGTTTGACAGAGTCCAGAGTCATAAATCGGAAAAAAAAAATAGCGAACAAAAAAACAAAAAACTGCCTCCTTTCCTTTTCTTACATGTCCTAATAAATGTCGGTTTTTGCGATATTGGTTTCTGAAACTTTGACGTGGTCGCTGCTACTAAGCATAGATAAGCATTCTAAGCATATATTCTAAATAAATTATGATTAACTACACTTGTTTAATTAAGGACGTTCTGTTAGCGTTTTTCATCGTCTTACCACGGGAAACATTCATACCTATCTAAGCCTCTGATATCTGTCAACATGTTGAACTTTTCAGCTGTCTAAGTAGCGCTTATTTCATTTGCAGGCAAATAGTGGCAAGTATTTTGGAAAAGAGAGCCACGTCGACAACCTCTCACTCAAACAAAGCTATGTGGTCCTTATCATATTTTCATATTTGTTGTACTCTGTCTGTAAGTCTTTTAAGCACAGGCGTCCCAAGCTCACGCCTTGCGAAAACGCAAAAGATTAATTGATGAAAGCGTCGCGCGTTGTGTGACACGGTGTTTAGTTACGCAAGGAACCGATGAGAATCGTAATGTGTTGTTAGGAATAGAATTGGGAAAAGAAATATGGCCGATTTATAGCTAGATATTTCGAAATATGAATATTATACTCGTGAGATTAAAAAAAAACTCGTGGTTTCCTGCGTTCTCTGCCGTTTTATGCTCGCTTTTGCCACCTTATTCGTTATCCAGTTAAATCGCACCATGGTTAGATCGCTCCTAGCTAGTTTGCTCCAGCCAAAAGTTAGATCGCTCCACTCAAAATTTAGATCGGTCCATCAGGTATCGCCCCATGTAAGGTAATCCAGGACAGTATTAGATTCTGGATTCCTCGTTGTGGATTCCGGATTCCAGGTGCTGGATTCCGGATTCTACCGCTGCAGATTCCGGATTCCAAAACACAAAAGATTCCAGATTTTAGTTTCTGGTTTGCCCCTAATTTTCACATTTCGTTTTCTAGGAATGACTTCAATGGCGGATTTTGCTATTGAAGGATATGTTTGTGAATGCATGTTTGTCTATTCATATTTCCATAACAACATTTGATAATTATGACACTTGAAATTATGACATTTGAAATGTATAACAGCAAATTAAGGGATAAATTTTTATTGTAGGAATAACTGTTGAGACTGTCCGTCTCTTAAGTCCAATGTCCATTAATTCCACATCTTTTAGCAACTCTGAAGAAGCCAGGCCGCATTTCTTTCATACAGGTTCCTCGAGGTTCTTTCAGTGATTTAACAGTAACAGAGAACTAATAGTTCAAATCATTGCTTATCATTTTTAATTTGTAAATAACTGTTGGACTAAAAAGTTTTTTTGGTACAGCATAACATTGTTCCGACTTGGAAAAGATGGCCAATTTTTTTAAATATAAAATTGACTTAGAACTGCCAAGAAAACAGCTCGAAAATATTTCCCTATCATCTCAAATTACTTTTTAAACTTTCCTTTTAAACAAAAACCATGGTATTGAGGCAAAAATCTAAACTGGAATAAAATTTTAATAACACCCCTAGTAAATCGCGGACAGAAAAGCTTGTTTTCCTAGATGTAATTGGCGATGATGTTCGACGAGATTGCGCATTAAACGGTGTTACACCAATTCAACTATGCTTACACCTTTGAAAAATCGCGAAAGATCTTCATTTACACGGTAATAACAGATTCTATTTTCTATACTTCCTTTTTTCTTTGGAAGGTTAGCCAAGTTATATCGCATTACGTCAGCTATGAATCCTTCAGAGCAATGATTCTATAAAGTTTCAGATGGCCCGCCGCTATTTTCTTTTCTGGACCTTAAAATCGGGTAATATCTTATCTTAGTCGCACTGAGATATGATGCCTTATGAAATCTTAAATTTGTTATTCTAAATGCCAAATATCAAAGAAAGCGGTTTACGTTTAAATGCCGAACATTCGACCTATAAATAGACCTCTCCTGGCTCCCATAAATATCCATATATAACTTTGTTCAAAGTTTATCATAATTGGAAACGTGTGGTCCGTCGCCCTGATAAGCTCACTCCTGCTAATCTTGGAAGCGACACTTCCCTTTCACTCTCCCCAGCTGCTCTCTCATCCTCTGAAGTTTGATCCTCATCATCTCCAACATCTTCGTCATCGAGGTCACCATTAGCAAGCCTGCAGAACCTATTGTTCCCCTCAAACGTTAGAGTGATGCTTGAACCCTCGACAGTGAATCCCAAAACTCGGGTTAGAATGCAGTTGAGTGAGTTCCGATCACAGACATCGCCATTCAGCCAATGAAATTGCACTTTCTTTCGTAATAAATTGCCTCCATCTACTTCTAATTGAACGTCTTGAAGGAGAGTAGCCAGCCAGAATGGCGAAATCTCACAGCAACGACATCCTTATTGTGGTAAAGAGTTTGCACCCGCACAGTTCCACCCTGCAGTACGACATTAGCATCTTCTATTTGGCAGGCTGTTTCGCGCAAAATAGGCGATTTCCATGACCAGTGCCAGGTAGCATGATAAAATATTTAACGAGCAGAGTTTATTCAAACCTATAGTGTAACCGATCTGAAAACGACAAAAGGCCTAACTCACTGTTAACGAGCGAGTCATGCTGTGCGTTCGCTGCGTTCCAGCATTTAACGAGGCGTAATACACTGTTGTTCAATGAGATGCAAACAATTGGCCAGGTATTCTCAAGTTGAAAAAGTGTGTGTTTAAGTGTGAATCACAATTCGGGCGAAATTTTGCTCAAAGTAAGCGATTTTCATGATCAGTGCCAGGTAGCATAATAAAATATTAAACAAGCACAGTTTATTCAAGCCTCTAGCGTAACTGATCTCAAAACGACAAAAGGCCTAAAGCACTGCTAATAAGCGAGTCATGCTGTGCGTTTGTTGCGTTTCATCATTTACGAGGCATAATACATTGTTGTTCCATGAGATGCAAACAATTGGCCGGGTATTCTCAAGTTTAGCAAAGCGTTTTTTCGAGTCTTTCAACGTCTTTTAAACTTCCGAATTTTACTACATTGACGATTTACGCTCTAACCTAGAAAAAATTATTACTGACCATAGTTTGTAGTTAAAACCTCCGTCGTTCCTGTTTGTTCGTTGCAACCCCGAAAAAAAATTCAAAAGTGTTTCATGATACACAAAAATCCACAAACCTCAATTATCTTGAACTCGTGTATTTTTCTTTTTTGTCTTTCTTTCTTCGGTTTCTTGAGCTCCTGAAGATGCATTTTCAGTAGTTTTTTGTAAGTTTCGCTGGAGGTTAAGTTAGTTGAAAATGGAACAGAAAATCAATTGAATCATTACAATGTTACACTTACCTTTCCCTCTCCGCCTTTTGCTTTTTCTTGTGCTTCCCCATAGATTATGATTGAGGTATCGAGATTTAGAGAAAGAGCAAATCGAATAAACAAAAAAAGACACTACAAATTTTCTGTACACTGCGGCTTGTGTTCCTCCACGTGCTCTGAGTGACTGGTGCAGTTTTGACAGTTCCTGGCTGTAGTCTGGCTTCTAATTACAACTATGCCTCCACGATCATCAGGAGAATATTACTTTTTGATGCTCTCATTATGATTTATGGAAAATGAATATTTATTTTTGATTTTGGTAAGTCGCGAGTCAGAAGTGCCAGAAAGTTCGAAAGAGTCGAAAAGGAAAAGAGTATTAAGTATTAAGTATTAAGTATTAAGTATTAAAGTCGATACCTCGACCCTAGGTGCCAGATAAAAGTAGCGCAGTTTCCGGTGCCAAAGCTTGCCGTGCGCCCAATTTGCTTAAAAAACCGGCGGGGAAAGCGGGCAAAAGCAAAGCATCCAAGTTGTCAACAGTTAGATTAATTTCACAGAAATTTACAAATTCCGCGTATCAAAGCGTATCTTTTACAAGGTCACCTTCCAGCTGTTCTTATGACAACCAGTAATTTAATCTCACAGGACGTCCTTGCGGCCATATCATTATTTAGAGGTGTTCCAAAACAATCAAATAGCGGCCATATTGATGTTTCAAGCAAATCCTGTGGGATTTGAAAGCTCACTTTGAGCACCGATCGATAACGTGAGCGAACTGCACTCTGGTGGATTCTGGATTCCCTTTTTAGCGGGATCCTGGATTCCAAAAGCTGGATTCTGGATTCCAGAGCCCAGTATTCCGGATTCCACAAGCAAAAATTTTTCCTGGATTCCGGAATCCGGATTACCTTACATGGGGCGACTTGTCTCTAAATTACCCTGAACCCCTCTGGGCACATTTAAATCAAGAAAGGGCAAATGTCTATCCTTTTCACGCTCAAGGGGGAATTGGATCGACGGCTCTACTGAATTCAAATGCGACGAGAGGCGCTCCGCTTCATTTCCGGATACCGCAGAAATAACATCATCGACATATCGTTTCCAGAAAAAGGGTTTAACCGGTGAAGTGGCTAAGGCCCTTTGCTTCACGTCTTCCATTACCATGTTAGCAATGACAGCAGAAACGGGCGAACCCATCGCTGTACCAAAAACTTGTTGATAGTAGGTGCCGATATATGTAAATTGCGTGGTTTTGAGGCAAAAAGACAGGAGATGAATAATATCCTCCACAGGCAAAGAAGTTCTTTGTCCCAGGGAAGCATCTTCTCTGAGTCTTTCCTCCACAACTTTAACGGCAAGGTCAACTGGGATTTTGGTGAAGAGCGAAACAACGTCGAAAGATACTAATTCTTCACAAGCGTTAAGAGTTTTATCTCTTATGAAATCCGCAAATTCGCAGGAATTTTTGACAGTGTAATCAGTATTCCCAACAACAGGCGACAAAATTCTCGCAAGATAACCAGAAATTGCATAAGTCAGAGAATTAACAAAAGAGACAATGGGTCTCAAAGGAATTCCCGGTTTATGAATTTTAGGTAAGCCATAAAAACGTGGACATAAGCCGTCACTACTGTCATAACATTTTGTACGTAGAGTCACTAATTCTACCAGCTTTTTTCAAATCAAGCAACATTTTGTTTAACTTTCTTTGAGTTTTACTGGTAGGATCAGAGTTTAAGACAGCATACGTATTCTTGTCATTAAGCAGAGACAGAGCTTTGTCGTGATATTGCTGTTTGTCCATAACCACAACACAATTAGCCTTGTCAGCAGATAATACGAGCCTGTCCGGATCCTTTTTGAGAGCTATAAGCGCATTGAAAACATCCTTTTTAATGTTTTTGGGAGGAGGTTTAGCACGCCTGAGTATGCTACTTACTTCTGCTCTTTCCAAATGCCTACAATCGTCGTTAAGTTGAGAGATACTCTCCTCAACAGCGGCGACAATTTCGGCAGTCGGTATTTTCCGAGGAGCAATAGCAAACTTCAGACCCTTCTCTAAACCACTCCGTTCCAGTGCGGATAACTCCTTGGAGGAAAGGTTCATGACCCATTCATCTTTCAGAGATGAGCCTGAATTAACAGGAGACCTCTTACTGAGCAAGTGACGGAGTTTTCTGTCGTGTTTCTCTCTCTGTTTGGTAAACGTCTGCAGTACGAAAGAACTGCAGAACTCCTCGACCCAGGAAGTTTCGGAGTTGTTAATCAAAGCAGAGAGTTCACTGAGTGATCGAGAGAATAACGCACGCAAACGCAGTATGGAACTGTGACATTCATCTATTCGTAGCTTAAGAAAAGAAAAACCAGTACGGACCATGAGCTTGTATCCTTTAGCACTCCGTAAAGGAGGCCGAAATCTCAAACTGGATGGAAGCACATAGTTTTCTTTTCTTTTGTTTGGCGAACAAATGAAAAAGATCAAAACGATCACAAAATCACAGAACCACATGAGCTGACTGATCATTTAAATGACACGACGATTGAAATATCAGACATACGCATTTTGAGTGCTGATGTGATTGAATTACCGTATAAGAAGATAGATGAGGATGCAGTAAAGGGGTCCAAAACCAACGTATTCATAACAGCCTTTACCACCTGTCAGGCCCATCTTAAGCCTTATAAATCTTTGAAGGTGTTGGGCGATCGAGTCTTGTATTATGATACAGACTCGGTCATTTACACGTGGAAGCCAGTTCAAACAGAAATTCCCTTAGGTGATTACCTTGGCGATACGACCAATGAGTTGGATGAAGGGGATTACATCGTGGAATTTGTGTCAGGGGGTGCCAAGAGCTATGGGTATGCGACGAAACATGGGAAAATCGTGTGTAAAGTTCGTGGCTTTTCCCTAAACGTGCGTGGTGCCAAACAGCTTAATTATCAGGTCATAAAGCGAAATATTTTGGAAGAAATTTTAGACCCGCAAGACAAAAGAAAAGACACTGTCATTGTGAACCCGAGACATTTTAAGCATGATCCAAATGCCAGGAAGATTAAGACAGAAACAGAAGTCAAAAAATATGGTTTGGTATTTGACAAGCGGGTACTTCATATAGGAACATTTAAATCGTATCCCTACGGATATCGGATATGCCCAGTTTCACAGGGTTCGATGCACAAGACATTTTAAACATTGAAACACTTATATGAGAGAAATTCAAGCCAAGAGAATTTAGCGTTTTATCCCCTTTTTATTATTTTTGAATAAAACAAAAGTTACATTTAAATCACGTGTCTGTGTCATCCTTTCAAGCGTTTCATACCCTCTGTGATATTATCTATCCATTTTCTAAGAAAGGCTGTTCTTTGATCTACCCAGCGAATCATATCTTGTAGTTCCTTTTCAATGTTGTCTTGCCATTCGTGACATGAAGGACGTTTGCAAGTAAGTGGATGGAATGGACATTTCCTCTTCTGTCCTTTTCCTGGGCGGCGGCATCCATGAGTTAACGTACGCGTCTGAGATGAAGCGTGATGATAGAAGCGCCGTCTGTAAACCGAGCCAAATTATTATTTTCCGACTCACTTATCTGTGTTTCCACTGCATCAATGTGATTCTTACGCAAGTTGATGTAATGAATCTGCTTGGGTTCGTAATAATAATTTCCTTCCAAGATTGGTTGGTAGTGTATTTGACGTATAAGATCAGTCGTCTGATCTCCCATACGTACTGGAGCACAAAGCGAGGAATACATATACAAGGTCCATGGGTAAGGTAAGTTTAAGTAGGTACTTCTCTTAGTATTGATAAAGGTCCAGTTCAGATCGCTAAGAAGAAATCTATGATATTTCTCCGCAAATCGGTCTTTCCATGGGATCTCATATCTGTAATACGCCCAACTGGATGTAGTAAGCCTCCTATCATAACTCCACACCATACTTCGTTTGGTCACTGTGATATTATGTGCCGGTCGTGATGTATTATAATTCTCTTTAACAGGACCACTAAAAATATGACGATAACGAACTGCTGTTTTTTTCGTCCAACCAAACAACTCACACATCTCTCGAGGTAACTCAAAATAGAGACCGTCACGAACTTCTTGATGAGTTATATCAGTCGATTTTACCTTATCTGCTGTCACAGTAATCTTTTCTTTACCTTCATCTGCAATCACTTCAAATTGTGCGCTGTGTCCTGAATAAAAATGACTCCCATACGCCGAACCCCTATTCATAATACATGTTAAACGTTCTTCATCAAACAAGGATTTGAGTAAATAGTGAACTGTCTCGATACGATGTTGTTGGATGTCTCCATACGTGACATTGTAAGTCACTTTATGTTGTATATCCCCAGTGGCTACTTTAAGTCTTCCTGTGGTTTGCAAGACATCATCGTCTTTTAATCCTTTGAGGTAACTGTACATCTTAGAATCGTGTGGAAGCGAAATACTACTCAATCCCACTTCCCACTCTCCTTCTAAATCGATGCGTTTGTCTTATCAATTTTTTTTTGCATTTTCACAAGTTTTATTTCCTCATTGTAGAGGTGTTAAAATTTTGTTTTAAGTTTAGCTTGCATGATTCGCTTATAATTTGCTCGGTTAAACTCTTCTTGCCTGGAAACTTATCGATTCCAGCTACCATCCTACGTTCTGCAATATGTTTGTCAGCGAGTGATTTAGCTTTACTGTAATCAATATCATGCTGTTTGGCTAATCGGTCAAGAAGATTAATTCCTAGATCACCACGTTTTAATCGCTTGGCTAATTTTGTACCTGGATCTATATACTGGTATCCAGGCCAATGGAACTCTACATCTAACTTTGAAATCCATTTCTGAATATCAAATTTTCCTCCACTCTGTCGTTTCCTTTTAGGCTTGGCTTGAACTGTTCTTGCCCCTCCCTTTGCCTTTCCTCGACTTTGGGGTTTCGTCATCTTCAAACGCTTGATACGGGTCGTAACCCCTCTTTTCTCAAGGTTCCCAGATACCAAATTCTTTGAGTCGTTCCAACTCCGTGCGATGCTTTTGCGGTGTGGGAACAGGAAGTTTTCGTTTCCTTTTTTGTATCTTTTGGGGTGGAGGTGTGAGAATAGGAATCTTGGACGTTCCCTGTTTCGGAAGGGTGAAGGGTTCGTTCTTGATCCTCGCAGGTGTGACAGGTTCCCTCTTGGGTGTCATCTGAGGTACAGCGGCTTGTCCCCTGGTGGGGTGGTGAGTAGGGTGCCATTAGCTCTGAAATTGATTTGCTTGAAGAGGGTGTGTGCAATATTGTTGGCTGGTGAAGTCATCATACCCACATTGTTTGCGCCTGCTGTGAGACTGGCATTTTCTGTGGTTTTGAAACCCAAATCCAGTTGGAAAAAAGTTCTCGAAAGATCAATGGGATCTGATTGTCGTTCCACGTACACTTGGATAGAAGTAATATTAGAAGTCTGAGGTGGTATTTTGACATATCAGTATTTTACCGCAGAAAGATCTGTAAGTGGTATTCTAAAGAGATCTGGACTTGGATTCTGCTCTGCCCCTTTGATAGACATGGTGATGTGTCTGTTTCAACGTCTTCTGCGTTTATGCACACGTCGACTGTGTTCCTATTTTCTTAATACGACTTGTGAGAAATCCTCCTGGTTGTTGTTGTTTTCGTTTCCCCCCTTTATACCTTTTTAAGATGGAAGACGCGGGATCCGTCGGTGATGCTGTCCCTACACCAATGATAGGATCACTTTAACATACGGTACTGATGCAGACCATGTTTTATTCTCCAAAAATATCGTTCAACCTCTTGGCAACTTTTCACTTTAATTCGTTCTTAAGCTCTTGGGATGCCCCTCTCTTTATACCTCGCGGCACTTCTGATAACGAACGCTTTTTGACACTGCTTTTAAGGCCTCCTGCTACACCTTTCACAAAATCTTTAGCCATGTCTTTGACTCCGGCACTTATTTGAGGATCACCCCAGCATCCGATAAAAGGCGGTGGGGTGTAAGGTGAGGGGGTCTACTGGTGTATGAGACCACCACCTCCTTGTTCATTTGGCAGATACACTTTAAAGCGTCTCAAACTTTCTCCTATCATGATTCGATCACCACAAACACACAGTTCACTTTAAATCTTTTTTACCAATCCAACTGTTATATTTGCTAGAGTACCGTTTCCACTTGACAAACAATTTATCATTTTGTCTCTTTCATACTTTTTCCACCCGAAAATAAGTCGCTTCATCTACATGTGGTTTTTGCAAATCACACGCATAAAATGTGCCTTGTAAGGGCGTGTCATCCAATTCTTGCACTTTATAGGTCGTTACCATTTCGGGTAGGACTTTATGAACTTGAAACCCTTCTTCCGTCCATCCTGATAAATACCCTTTCTTAAACAGTCTCAATTTTTTTATTCCATTGGACTGCTACACCACCCAAACTACCGACGACGCCGGGTTCGTCATACAAGTCTTGTGATCCTCTCTCTTTTGTTTTCATTTTTTCATCCTTGATATCTTTTTTAATGTTCTTAACCATGATGAACTACACCAAAGTTTGAAACAATGGTATGTGACCCAATACTTATGAACATACTGCGTATACAAATAACTCCACGTCTTGTATGTATACTTCCCATTAGAGTATCTCATAAACGTCATCAAATGAAAGATACGGTCGTGTAGTGGATGTGGGTGTGGTTTCACGACAAACTTAAACACCTCATCTCAATATCTTCGGGAACCCATTCGTAACGGATTTTATGTGGCTCATCCTCTTCGTAGACGCTACGTGTGATGCGATCGCAAAAGCCACGACCCTACTTGATAACGTAAGTAGCATAGACATTGACTCCACGAGGTAGGCATGATGAACTAATGATTTTTTTTTCATCGCCGATCCTTTTTATAATGCTTGACATTATCCATAATACCTTTCAAAGCCTGTTTTCCCAGAAGTATACCAAGTGTTCCAAAACCTGGTGCAGGACCCGATAACAACATACTTGCTGCGTAAGCTAATTTATCTGTAAGAGAGGGGCCTCAACGAAGAATTATCTTAACCGTACTCACAGAAGCACCCCCACTTTGATTGCGTTTTCGTCTTTTAATCACTGACCGTCTTACACGCCTCATGGTTGACACAGAAAAATGACTCTGTTTTTGGTGATGAAACTTTTATTTATTTATCCATACTATCTTCTAGAAACTGTACATCACAAGCAATACAGTCTAAGTCTTTATTCGACAATCCTAAGCGTCCAGCTTATTTTCTAAACTTAGGCATACCGATCAACCAAGCGATTTCAACATGATCGTCCATAGACAATGTACCTAGCTTTGTTTTTCTACCCATCAACCGTGCGATTTCAAGATGGTCTGTACTTATCCCTTCTACAAAAAATTAACAAAACTTGGAATTACAACTATAAAACATGTGTATTTTTACATCTGGTAAAAGAAACGTTTGAATGAACGCTATGTTTTTGTAACATTAACAGTCACTTTATCGACATAGGGTTCGACTAATTGTGCAACCCTTAAAACAGCCATCTTATGTTCCTCATCTTCGTCTTTGCCTAAAAAATTAATACATTTGACTCTTAGTACTTTCTTTGAAGTAAAGGAAAAAGGGCTTCTAATAAATCAGCAAATGTCATCTTGACATCAAGTCCTGAAATGAATCATTCACATCCATCCGTAAGAATTTGTACTGACCTCTTGTTGGGTTTAAATCACCACCAAGTAAATAGCTTACAATGGCGTTGACCGCATCGCAAATACATTTTGCCAAAATTTGTTTCTGATTGAGTCAAAGACAATGTGGGAGACATTCCACGTTCGCACACTATCTTGTCAATTCTGTCCAAAGTGAACCAGGGGTGACCCTGTCTTTGACACCCATATTAATAACGGTTGTTATCATTGAGATTACAAATAAGTTTATACAGTTGTGCTGTGTGTTGTTTGTATACAAATATTCAAGCTTTTACTTTTATGCAAATTTACTGTAAGTTTTGTACCTTTCGTTCCCACCATTTAGGTAGAGATAAATTTCAGTATCAGATGGTGAACTATTTGCTCTTCTAAGTTAGAATAACGAACATCAGCTTTGAAGCTATTCAGATGTAAAGAAATAAATTTTCAAATGAAATAAAACGGCTTTTTAAAAATATTGGCGATGGTGAGAAGACTAACTTAATTGTTCATCTTTCAGAAATAAAGATTAAATTGCTTAAACCAGGAGCGAAGCCATTGGAATCTTTGTTTACTTCAATTCCTCAGTGGAATGTTAGTCTTCTTTTATCTGTTTAACATTTATGAGTGAAACTTATCTATCCAAAAGCTTGGATCAAAAATTTTAACCTTGTCGGGATTGCCGGTAAAATTGTACCCCATTGTAAAAAAAGATGCTCTCAGCTGGCCTGGTCTTTGATATATTTCCTATTAAAGACTACGCTTGATCGCCTGTCTTTGAAATCAATTGAAAATTTGCGTAGTTGCTCCAGTTAGATAGAATCAATGAGGTGTGGCAAAATCGGCTCGAAATATAGCCCTTGGAAAAAATCGAAAATATTCCCAACCAATCTATCCCTGTTTTGTGGCCATTGACTTATTTTTTTATTGAACGTGTTTTTCCATTAAGAATTCTTTCACAAGGCGAAAGCTACAGTAAGAGTCCTCATCAAGTCAAATCACAATGCATCCATAATCTAAGGGTGCAATAAAAATTGGTTATTCTTTGGTTGTTAATCACTTTGTCATTCACGACTGACGTTCATTAAATCAGTTCTTTAAGAAGAGCTAATAGCTATGCAGCTTTCGGTAAATTGGATGCACAACAGCTAACAGATGGTCCGTGTGTTTAGAGTGTCTTATAAATTTACTTTTTCAAATCAAGTTCAAACGTCTTTCGTAGTCCTTGACCATTTCGAACTTCCTGAAAAAGTACGGGAGGCAGGAGAACGTGGTACGGAAGCAGGAGACTCTGATGTCTGATTGTCTATTTATGTTATGCAGCAGATTACTGACTTAAAGCCAAAGTTTTTCTAGTCTAGACTTCAGATAAATCCTCGCAACAGCCTCCATGCTATCAGATGTAAGACAAATGTCAGGTTTGAGGAATAATTTTTCATTTGAACTTCGTTAAAATGAAAAAGTTTCTGTAAAAATTTTCAAAATGTTGACTTCAGTATCTTGCTGAGACATAGTTGGGCTGAGGTCACGCAATGGCTAAATGACAATACTCTACGCCAGGGTCTGTTAGTTTCTCTTTAGTCTCAGAGAAGATGGAGTCCCTGACATGATTTGACACGAGACTGACAGCTTTGCAGTTATTACCTCCAGTAAAGATATTCACTTCAGTGTAAAGCACACGTGAAAAGCACACGTTGTTCAACGAACTAAACATTGTAAGAACTTCTTAATCCACATGAGGGAACTATTATGTATATGTTCTTGTCCCTTTTTTTTTTATCTTGTTGTTGTTTTCCTTTTTTTTTTTTTTTTTTCATTCTTCCTTTTTTTTTCTTTTGTACTTTCTTCTCCATTATTTGGTGCTTGTAAATCGAATGTACATATCGAATGTAAAATATCATATCCCAAATTGCCAACACTGAGAAAAAACCCTATGGAGTCTCTTTAAGTTTACTTTATTCCTCTCTTTTCTTGTGCGGCTGCAAAATGTTGAAGATTCTCTCTCTGATCCTAATGGCAATTATTCAAACGATATCTGGAGAAGCGACCAAGCGAAATGAAGAAAAGCGCTCCTTTTTACATCACTGTCATCGACGAGCCAGTTTCAAGCGTTTGTTACAAGAAAACCCCAATGGGAAAGAACACCATAGACACAATCATGAAAGAGGACTCAATAAAGAATATCACATGCCACGTATCTGTCCAAGGGCTTGACGATTACGACTTAGGGAAGAACGAGAGCAGCAGATCATTTCACGAGCTGTTGACAACACCGGTCCTTTTCCTTCAAGAAACGCTTTAAGTCACCTTTATTCTGCGAATTCCACTGCATCTTTGTGTGCTCCCGGCCGTGTTTACAGTTTCAGTCACTGCAGCTTCACCTTGAACATCGCCGGGAATAATGCCGTTCAGAAGAGCACAAGTGATGGAAGGCGAGGATACAAATGTACCTTCATCGAATAACCAGATTCTGAGTGATCTGAAAGCGTTTTGAACACTTTGACGTTGTTTGAAAAAACAGTAAATTTATATTTTCAAAGTTTAAAGTTTGTTAGCAGGCCTGGTTTTCAATGTCCCGGTATGTTTGTGCAAAAATAAAATTTGATTTATCTCATCCGCGCGTTTGTGGTGATTGATTCTTTGTCAACATTAAATGGCTTCCTGTGACTGAATACTCAAGAGCGCATTCAGAAATTCAGTATTTTTCCCCTCTATTTCATTAACAAGTAATCGCAATGGGTCCTCATAAAATTAAGGATTAATATCACTTGTGTTTTCAGAAGTTGCTGAAATTGCCCTCGTCGCTTCGCTACTCGGGCAATTACAGCAACCTATTAAAACACGCGTGATATTACCTATACTAATTGTGAAAATTTTTTTTAGAAAACGTTGAGATAAGTATTGTGCAGTAAATTAATGAAATCATGAAAGCTTTTTCTACTTGTATAGATGACTTTTTATTCTGGTCGTAAACGGGCCAGAATCAGAAATTCGGTCTGGTTTTTCCACCGCAGGAAAATGCACGATAGGTGCCACGTGGCAGATTTTAATTGGAGTAAAGCACTATGGTGGACATGGCCTGGGAACGAGGTTGAGTTTTAGCATCGAGTGTAATCAGGCTTGAAGTGCTGGGCCGCGCATAAACGATAACCAAGCTTGTGACAGTTTAAACTTATCTTTCGAGCAAACTTAAACATATTAATTTCGAGCACAAACCCAATACTGTGAATCGCTTCAATTGTTAATTAACTGATGAAAAACAAAAACAGTGGGAACAGTTAAAGTTTATTGGCTGATTAATTAAATTCAATAGATTAATTCAATTATCTTATGTAAACATTAGCGATGATTACTTTAGCGGACGAAAAAACCATACTTTTCAGACAAAAAAAAAACTTGTGAAAGTCACTGCCACATATCTTTAATTCCAATCAGTCGAAAAACTTGCAGTCCATAAAATGTTTTCTGTTGTATATCGTTCAAACGTAGACATACATCAAAGGGAGCTTTGTAATCAGGGTAGATTGTATAAACACCGGTAATTCTTTCACCGCCTTTGAAAAGCTCAGCACAGTCGACTGGCTGTTAAAAAAATTATAATAATTAAATTTTGGCTGGTTTGATTAAACGCATCAAGGAAAGAGCTTGAAGCAAAGAAAGACAAAATCGTAGAAGTCAAGTAAAAGAGACAAGCAGTGAGTGAATTTCTCGGATCCTTTTTTGTTGTGTTTGCAACTTATTGAAGCTGCACGAGTTGAAGACAATATTTGAACCGTGAATAAAAGTGTCACACTGCGCAGCAAATTAGAACTTTGTGAAGCAGACATTATATGATGAAATTTTTTCTCCAACCTTAAAGCTGTATATTTTATGATAAAGCACAGTTGTAGAATGAAACAATTTCAACTATTGAACCTCTTATTCATTCTAAAGTTGCAAAACTGTGGGCGTAATAAGAATATGCTCAAAGGCAACTCTATTTCCCGGAAATAATCTTAAGGAAGGATTTTTGAATCATTGCTTCTTTATGTCACTTCTCGAATTATAACAGGAAGTTGGACGCGCTGGAAGTGTGCGCGCAGGACAATTTTATAATAAAATACTTTCCTTCCTAAACGCACGATTCATCGAAAAATGCGACCTTTATTTTCTATTTACTTTTTGCCTTTAAGTTTGAGGGTTAAGTAGTATTATTGACTGAGTTGATAACGCTCTGACAAAGGGCTAACACTCGAAACGTCAACTTTGAAAGTCTTTACGGTGGCCAGTTTATGTTATCAACTCAGTTGATGATAAAAAAATTACCCTGTTATACTCTCTTTAGAAACTTACCCCCTTTAATTATTTTTATTAGATTGATTTATATCCTCTGTTCACTATTGCATGGCAACCTGAAGTTATCATGCGCAATTAAATCAAGTAAAGTAGGCGTAATACTTAAGACTCAAGAAAGGAGTTTTATGTTCCCTGGGGATTCCCGCTTGGTCAATGATGAGGTTGCGCAATGTTAATGGGGAAAGGAAACCTCAAACTCCTTTAAAGGAATGAAACGTGTCATTAAAAGCACGCTACACTTATATCAACCGGATAAAGAATTTAAAAGACGAAGTTCTAGGGAGCTGCTCTATTTGGATCGTTCTATTTGTTTCATTTTTGCCGAATAATCTAAACTCCCTGTATGTGACTGTATCTTCCTCTTAGGTTACTTAATTAATGTTGTGTGTAGCCAAGCATGGAAGTTTAATGTCAAATGAATATATATTCTTGGGTGGTAACACTAAGATAATTTGTAAGGGCTTGACTTTATTTATGCATGGAATGATCAGAAATCAATTGCTAATCGATTTAAGTTTTAAACAAACCGCACAATGAAAGCTCGAAATTTCCAATGGTTTGAATTTCATAGGAAGACTTACTTATGAACGTTTTGCTTATGAACTTATGAACGTTTTATGTAACTATGTGTTTCATGCACCTTACCTTTCTAAATTTTTGCATTGCTATTTTCAAGAATGATATCAATCTTTAAGTTTACCTGTCTTTATTCTAATGAGAGACAGCTATGTAATTTCGTTAAAGCTGCTTTCGTAAATATATATATATATATATATATATATATAGCTGAAAGAATCAAAGAGGACGCATCGATTCTCTGCTACTCTGAGTTTTGGTGTCTTGCTTGTCTCGAGGATTTTTCTGTTGTGCTTCTTAATTATGGTTTGTAGGTTGTCTGTGCAGCTATAACTAACTTTCATTTTGTTTTTGTTGAAAATTTTGCTGTACCGGTGATTTTTCGGGAAATGTTTACTGACGAGGTTCAGAAACTCTCTGCCGACGTTTCTTTGTACGTTCATGCTGTAGGGCGGATTAAACCAAATTATGTTTCTTTGTCTGTTCTTTCGGCTGTTCTGTACGGTGTGAGTTACAGGTTTCTTGTGTTCAGTGTAGATTAATTCTTCGTCGTGTCCACTTTGTTTAAGTGCACTTTCGTAGTGTGGTTTGGCTTTGTTAAAGAGTTCTTTGCTCGAGGAAATGTCGGAGATTCGTCGGCCGATGGTAGCTGGTAGGTGCTTTACTATTGTAGGCGGATGGTTGGAATTGGTGTCGATGTAGAGAGTTTCGTTGTTGGGCTTTCTGTATGGGTAGTGGGTTCCGTCCGTAAGGTTTAGGGTGACGTCGAGGAAGTTGCAGATTTTTTGGTTTGTGCTTATAGAAATGTTTAGTCCTTGTTTCTTAAATTCTCGTGTGATGTCCTTTCAAGTCCGTTCTGATTGTGGTCCGCTTGCGTTTCTTAGAAGTACCAGCCTGTCTCTGTAGAGTCCTACGTTGTTTTTGCCGTATTTCTCGCTGAGGTTGTTCAGAAGGAAAAGTCCGAGAAGCTCACAAACTTCCGTTCCGTGGAAGCTGCCCATAGTTACGTCGAACATGCTGCTGTGGTTTTTCTTGGTCCAGGCGGTCTCGTCGTCAAATAAAAGTGATTTCTGGCAGTGCATAATTATGTCGATATCTTTGTCGCTGATTGTGGTGTAACTCTTGGATATCTATCTATATATATATATTTGTATTCACATGTCACCCATAGTTCTTTATTTGCCTTCATTGTTTAACCCTTCTCAGATTGTAATTTAGACCTTTGTTGTATTACTTAACCTCAATCTTAAAAATTCTGTTTTGTATATAAGTCGCAATCATTGTAAATAGCTTTCTAGTTTTTAATTTTTAACCTGAAGAAGGCCGAACGGCCGAAACGTCGTGCATTAAACTCGTCCAGAACAGTCAAGAGTTGGCCTCTTCGTTACGTCCCTATAGTACACTTAACTATATATATATATATATATATATATATATATATATAAGGAAAAAAATTCAAGAGCTGTTGCTACAGGGTTTATTGGAGTCATGCTGACTCCTCGAAGATGATGACTGCACATCTTTTGAAGATGACAATTCCCCTCAGGGCTTACACTAAAATGACTCATGCTCTCATTATATAATTATGAATGAGATCCGCGGTAAATTACAATCCTCTCATTTTTTAATTGCATATGATCTTTCCATAAAAAAAATGATGGCCATAATACAACAATTTTTTTCAAATATTATTAATTTTATGCAATCATGATTTTGATGGAACATTTAATTCCTTCATGAACTCCTACAGTTTAATGTGATTTAAATCAATCTTTAACTTCACCTGCATTAATCATATCAAGATAATAAATTGTGTAAGTTAGTTTCCGCTGCATTCACTGACGAGGTTTCCAGAAACATTTTCTGACCTGAAGCACTTAATTGTTCAAGTTCTTAACTTCTTTATCCCAAGCTTACGATTCGAGAAAACGGAAACGATTAATTCATGAAAGCGTCACGCGTTGTGTGACACAGTGTGAAGTTACTAGAGGAACCGTTGAGAATTTTAACACCTCATAAGGAATAGTATGAGGAACTTCCGTCCTAAAACAAGAATAACAGTGATGGCAAAACACGCTTAAACGGCAGAGAAAGCCGAAAAGCACAACGGACACACAAGATGTGGGCAACTTCTTATGCTTTTCCGAGTAAAATGTTGATATTTCGAAATATTTCTCGATGTAAATGGACCATATTTCGTTCCTCATAATATTCCTTATGACATGTTAGACTTAGCACCGAGTCCCACAACGCGTGACATTTTCATCAATTAATCGTTTGCTTTTTCTCGAAATGTGACCTTGGAACGCCTTTGGTTTTATAGAGGAAATTATTTTTGTAAGAACGGTTGTTACGTGGGTCATTAGATTTACGTTAACTCGGAAGAATGCACCTTCAAGATAGATAAGATAGAGATTTAAATTTATCTGGGGAATAATAATAATTTATCTGTAATCATTTATGAATGAAATTGGTAAAAATTATTCCTTATGTCCTTTTTGATAAGAAGGTCATCATACATTAATTCTTTAAACTGTATTACTATTTTAAACAGTCACCGTCTGATTGTGATGGAGTAATTTATTCCATTTAAGGAGTGACGAGGTTTCGCGTTAGAATTTGGTTTGTTAATCAGTTTTTGTTATAGGAGCTCATTTCAGTTATATTTCTGGTGTGTTTCAAACATCCTTCACAGTTAGGAGGGGAGATTCCCGGGGAATACAGTTGTTTTCGAGTATTTTCTTATTACGTTTACAGTTCTCAATAGCTGGATATAAATACAAGGTTGAGCAGTTGTAAATTCTTCAGTCTACAACCGTGCCTCATCATAAAATATACAGCTTTAAGGTCGGAGAAGGAAAATCTTTGCATCATGCCTGTTTCACAAAGTTCTACTTTGCTGCTTAGTGTGACACTTTTATTCACGATTCAGTTGTTATCTTCAGTTCTTGGATTTAAGAAATGTAAGTAATGTAAGGAATCCATTCTCTCCCATATTGTAATAGCCACTGTATTCTTTCTTTTACCTGGTTTTATATCATCTGTTTTTTACCAATTTTAAACTCTTTACTTGATACTCTAATAAATGACTAAACTATTTTCTTGACATCTTTAAAAGCTAAGAACTGTGCTGAGCTTTACAACTCTGATCAAAGAATCAGCGGTGTTTATACAATCTATCCTGATGACGAAGCTCCCTTTGATGTATATTGCGACCAGACAACAGCTGGTGGAGGCTGGACAGTGATCCAAAAGAGACTGAATGGCTACGTTGATTTTAACCGCACTTGGGATGACTACAAATATGGCTTCGGTAATTTCCTCATAGGTGAATATTGGCTTGGATTGGAAAAGATCCGCCGCTTGACTGAAAATAAGACAGACAACAGGCTTCGAGTAGTTCTTGGGGTAAACGATACGAAGCTACTAGTTCCTACAAACACTTTGTACGCTGAATATGCGTGGCTTAAAATTGGAGACGAGGGAGCGAAATACCAGCTGCACCTTGGAAATATTATAAGTAAGCCCAAGGCAATTAACGTTAACAGCAGCTTCACTTTTATCATATAATTATACGTCGCTAGCTTTATAGGTCTCTATCCACATCTCGACCCATTCAGTCTCTTCCAATCCTGTTATTTACTTGCAATTCATGTTTGCCAAACGACTCGGTTCACAGCGTGTCCAGTCTAAGTCATGTAGAGCCCTCTCACACTGATAAAGTGGCTCGCCTTTTTGTGACTCAGTGGCAGTGTTTCAAGACCACACTAGGTTAAGTTTCAAATTGGTTTTGTATTGTTTTGTTTTTTGAACCTTAAGATGGTCGAGATGATAACATATTTTTCCTATCTTTCCGCTCCGCCACAGAGTAGTATCTTACGGGCTTATATTGATATCAATGCATATTTTCTCCATTTCCCCTTCATTTTAGATAAAACTGTTGTTGAAGATTCTCTCAGTTATCATCGTGGCTTCGAGTTTGGTACATTTGATAAAGATTTGCTTAAATGTGCGTCAGAACATGGAGGAGGCTGGTGGTACGCTCCTAAATATGGTAAATGCGTTGTTGACTCAAATCTCAACGCTGTTTATAAGATCTCTTGGGGAATGCTAGATCCCGCCAATGCTAAAGGAAGTGATCCTAAGACAACTGAAATGAAGATCAGACCTATGAACTTTTCTTCAAATACATTTACTCATTAGCTTGTTTAGAAAAATGTAATTGGGAGGACCGGTGAGTATGGTACAATACGCGTAGTAAATTAAAGCAAGCATTCATATAACCATTTGGTGATGTACAACCAAGTATTAAAATGCTTGTTTCAAATGCTTGATTATTTGTCTTTCGTTCCCACGATTTAAGATGAATAAATTACAGTATCAGATGGTGAACGATTTGCTCTTCTAAGTTAGAATAACGAACCTCATCTTTGAGGCTATTCAGATGTAAATAAGTAAATTTTCAATGAAATAAAACGGCTTTTTAAAAATATTGGCCATGGTGAGAAGACTAACTTAATTGTTCATCTTTCAGAAATAAAGTTTAAATTACTTAAACCAGGAGCGAAGCTATTGGAATCTTTGTTTACTTCAATTCCTCAGTGGAATGTTAGTCTCCTTTATCTATTTAACATTTACGAGAGAAACTTATCCATCCAAAAGCTTGGATCAAAAACATGGCCCGGTCTTTGATATATTCCGTATTAAAGACTACGCTTGATCGCCTGACCTTGAAATCAATTGACAATTGCTCCAGTTAGACAGAATCAATGAGGTGTGACGAAATTGGCACTAAATATAGCCCTTAGGAAAAAACGAAAATATTCCCAGCCAATCTATCCCTGTTTTGTGGCCATTAGGATACTTATGTTTTTATTGAAAGTGTTTTTCTATTAAGAATTCTTTCACGAGGCCGAGGCTACAGCAAGTGTTCTCATCAATTCAAATCATAATGCATCCATAATTAAAGGTGCAAACAAAGTTTGGTTATGTGGTTATTTGGTTATTATTCTTCGGTCGATAATCACTTTGTCGTTCCCGGCTGACGTTCATTAAATCAGTGCTCTAAGAAGATTTAATAGCTATGCCGCTTTCGGTAAATTGGATGCACAAAACAGCTAACAGATGGTCCGTGTCTAGGGTGTCTTATAAATATATTTTTTTTAAATCAAGTACAAACGTCATTTGTAGTCCCTGACCATTTTGAACTTCCTTATAATTTTTCCGTTCACTTAAATGGCTCAAAAACGAACACTATGAATTAATAGATATAAAGAAGAAGCGATATAGGATGTTTATGCTTAATGATTGGCCGTTTTCATACATCCTTTTAATTCAAATGTGTTTCTGCTCTCTGAACGCAACTTTTGGGAGGTCAAACTTGTAAGGTCACTTGATTTGCGGGGTTTGATGTCTGATTATCTATTTACGTTATGCAGCAGCTCACTGACTTAAAGCCAAGGTTTTTCTAGTCTAGACTTCAGATAAATCTTCGAAACAACCCCCTTACTATCACACGTTTGAGGAACAATTTTTTATTTGAACTTCGTTGAAATGAAAAAGTTTCTGTAAAAAGTTTCACATGTTGATTTCGATATCTTGCTGAGACAGATATATAGTTTCAGGTCACGGCAGGGGATAATGATAATACCTTATTTTTTCCCCCGAGGAAGACATGATTTTGGAGTGCAGACGCCGACCCATATTTTAGTATATCGTAGATAATTCCTTATAAGGCCGTTCGGCACTCCATTAATACAAAACAACAGCGAGAATTTTAGTCACGTTTATGATTGACTTTTGAAATTTCGCTTTATTATGGCAATCAAATACAGGAAAAACAAACGTTGTTAAACAAACTAAACATTATACTTCTTAATCTATATGAGGGAACCAGTTTACTGGTTTACTAAGTTTACTTTTTATTCCTCTCAATGATGAGGTTGCGCAATTTCAATTGGCAACTGAAACCTTAAACTCCTTTAAAGGAGTGAAATGCGTCATCAAAAGCACGCTACACTTATATTAACCGGATAAAGAATGAAAAAGACAAAGTTCTACAAAGCTGCCCTATTTGGATCGTTTTATTTGTTTTATTTTTGCAGAACAATGTAAACTCACTGTTAATGACGAACAAACCGCTAATCATGATGTTAACAGAATTCCAATTAGGCCCTTAGGTTAATTAATGTTATGTGTAGCCAACCATGAAAGTGTGATGTCAAGTGAATATATATATATATACTTGAGTGGTGACATTAAGATAATTTGCGAGGTTCTTGACGTTATTATGCATGGATTGTTTAGAAATCAATCGCTAATCGATGTCAGTCTTAAATAAGCTGTGTACTAATAACTCAAAGTTTTCAACGGCTTGAATTTCATAAAAAGACTTAATAATGAAATACATACATACATACATACAGGATTGTTCGAGTCACGCTGACTCTTAGCTGATGTGCTTCGAAGATCATGACTGCACATCTTTTGAAGATGACAAATCACCTGAGGGCTCTCAGTATAATGACTCATGCTTTCATTTTATAATTATGAGTGAGATTGCAGTAAATTATAATTCTCACATTGAATCGCATGTGATCTTTCCAAAAAAAAAAAAAAGGGGCCAAAATTCAACAATTCTATAAACTGTTATCTATTTTATGCAACCATAGCCTGATTTTGATGGAATATTCGATTCCTTAATGATCTCATACAGTTTAATGTGATTTAAATCAATCTTAAAGTTCACCTGTATTTATCATATCCAGAAAATAAACTGTGTAAGTTAGTTTCCGCCGCATTCACTGACTTGGTTTCCATGAACATTGACCTGAAGCACTTAAATCGTTTAAATTCTTAACTCGTTTCATCACAGGTGTCCCAAGCTCATGATTAAAGGAAAAGCAAACGATGAATTAATGAAAGCGTGATGCGTTATGCGACTTGGTGTTAAGTTACTAAAGGAGCCCTTTAGGATTTTAATACGTTATAAGGAATAGTATGAGGAACTTCCGTTTTATAACACGAATAACAGCGATGGCAAAACAAGCTTAAAACGGCAGAGAACGCCGGAAACCACAACGGACACACAAGATGTGAGTAAGTTCTAATGATTTTACTAAAATTTCGAAATATTTATCGACCATATTTCGTTTCCCATACTATTCCTTATAACATGTTCAAATTCTGATCGGTTCCTCTCGTAACTTAACATCAAGTCACACACGTGACGCCATCAAAAATTAATCATTTGCTTATTTTCGAAACGTGAGCTTGGCACGCATGTTTTAAATATTTTTGTAAGAAGGGTTGCTGCGGGGGCTGTTTGATTTCCGTCAACTCGTAAGAATGCGCCAGAAACATAATGACGGCACACCTACAGAATTCAATTTATGTAAGGAATTTTAGCGTTATATTTTAGACTTATGGATCATTTATGAATGAGATTGGTAAAAAAAATTACTTCTCATGACCTTTTTGATAAGAAGGTCAACAATTCTTTAAACTGTATTACTGTTTTAAACAGTCACCGTGTGATTTTGATGGAACAATTAATTCCATTTATTGAGTGGTGAGGTTTCGCCTTAGAATTTCGCTTGCTAATAAGCTTTTTTAAAGGAGCTTATTTCACTGAAAGAGGACTTTACTTTGATTTTGATGTTTGAACGAGCAAAGAAGGAGACATCTTCAAAGAAAAAAAAATCAGCAGACTTCACACTTACTACGACTCAAAATATTTTGTTAATATTCTTATATTAATTGATTGAGGGTTTCAGTTGTGGTATATTTTCAAACATCTTCAAAAAGAAGAAAAATCTTTGCATCATGCCTGTTTCACAAAGTTCTACTTTGCTGCTCAGTGTGACACTATTATTCGCGATTCAGTAGTTATCTTCAGTTGTTGGATTTGAGAAATGAAATTGGGAATCCATTCTCTGTTATATTGTGATAGCCACTGTATTGTTTCTTTTACTTAGTTTCATATCACTTGTTTTTTTTCACTTTTTCCCCTATTTTTAGCTCTTTACTTGATACTCTAATAGATGACCAAACTATTTTCTTGTCATCTTTAAAAGCTAAGAACTGTACTAAGCTTTACAACTCCTATCAAAGAATCAGCGGTGTTTATACTATCTATCCTGATGACACACCTCCCTTTAATGTATATTGCGACCAGACAATAGCTGGTGAAGGATGGACAGTGATCCAAAAGAGACTGAAAGGCTCCGTTAATTTTAACCACACCTGGGATGACTACAAACATGGATTAGAAAAGATCCGCCGCTTGACCAAAAATAAGCTGAAAGAAAGCATTTGATAGGTTTTTCTAAAAATACGTTAGCATTCCTATACCCTAATAACTTGAATAAGTCATCACTTTCTAGAGGTCAGTCTACACAGAGTCAAAATATCGAGTAACATGCGACGGAAAAAAAAGCCGCGGGAAATTTGATACCTTGATACCGGAGATCGTAAGGGGGAAGGAGGGGAGGGGGGTGTGATAACGAAGATTTGTCACACTCGTCTTTCGCTCTTTAGCACCGGCGTGCTCTTGTGATGATATTTGGAGAGAGAGAGTTTTACAAACATTACTTTCTCGGGCCTACGGCTGAAATTCGGTGAAGATAAAAGGACAAACTATGAGACTGTCTATGCCTCGTTATTGACCGAGGATTGTTGGCAGAGGTGGATTTTGATCTCTCAAACCTCCAAAGAATCTAAAACGCTTAATGAGTTTTGATCCTAAGAAAAGAAAGCATGGCTAGGAAATTGCAACTATTGTTCATGTTTGTGTCGAAGCTTCGGCAGTTAAAATTTTCAAGCAGACCAAATGGAGCCGAACAGCCTATAACTGTCTTAATCTTTAACGGTCAAAAAGCTGACAATCTATGTTATGTCGCTGTTAGTGAATGTTCTGGCATTAGAGAAACGGCAAAAAAGACCAGGTTTGACTGAGAATGTCAAGGTACAATTGAATAGGTAAGTTTTTTTACCGTTTTATTGTTTACTTCATTTGAAAGTATGATTGACCTGTTTTTACGCCAATATTTTGTTGTTTTTATTATTGAAAACAGACAGGCAAAGAAAGATGGTAGAGCATAACGCTATGTTATTGAAACGGACCATCAGCTTGAATTAGAATTCCCATCCATTCTAAACGGCAATGATAAATTTCAACGTGAGTTATTTATTTATTTTGCTTTGAATGTTAATTGAATATTTTTTAGCTCAGGTTTTGCGTTGCGTTTTCCCCTCCCGCATTTATATCATAAGCTAGTCACTCAATAATTGATACCGACACAAGTGAATATTTACCATTTATAAAGATTTTTGTTTACGTTGAATTGAAAATATTGAAATATGTGCTTTCTTCACTAATCGTTGTTTCAGCGGCAGCGAAGCAGTTAAAAGCGTGTTGTTGCTTCAACGCTACTGAAATTTTTAGTATTCAGACAGGCGAGCAAAGCGTGATGCTCTGGGAATAAAAACTTTTAGGGGTCTTTTACATGATATCCGAATGCGTTTTGTACAAGAACGAGATCATACCGGTTGCCACATAATAACCAGCGTAAAATTTATTCGAAATGAGTCATTTCTGAGTGAGTTTATTGGGGTTTTTATTACAGAACGAAACACTCATTCTGGACGACCTTTTCTACCTGTACAATGTAAACGCGGCACGGCTCTCATATTTGTATGAATCCTCTGTAGGAGGAAGGGAAGCGTTGAAAAAGACAGAAAAGGATATAAACACTTGTTTTTACAGGCTAATTGTTGCCACTCCCACACGGTTAAGACTTAAGCACCTTTTAAAATTTTAAAGCGGTCGTTTTTGAAATTCCAGGCGCGCACCCCCACCCTCTTATGTAAACGGGTCCCCCGGGGGTGCTAATACGTGCAGCACACTTGACATTTAGCAAGGATAAATTCTGATGTGATTTTGGCGAAGAGAAACATGTTCTGTCAGCGTCTAGTTGCTAGTGCAGAAGGGCCCTTTACCACCACGTGCATAATTACGCGTCCCCCTAGACGGCGGAAAGCCAACAAAGTGTTTAGACCTTAGTTCAGAAAACTCCGCCTCTGTCTGAATTTTTGGTAGCCTATTGACCAATTCCCAATCGAAACTTAACTCTGACGTCACGCGTAATTTTGCTCACGGTGGTAAGTAGCCTTCTTACCGAAGCTAGATTGTACGAATTTTCCAGACATCTTGAGTACTATCTGTGATACACGCTTGCCAACTCCCCTATCAGCTTTTGGAATCGACTTAACCCTACCTTTACTATGGCCGGACATTTCTTTTGGCACCCTACATCTGCTATTGGAACCACGATTCCACCCAACACCAAGATATGATCTCTAAGAAGGGCAATTTGTAAAATCATCGATATCTTTTGGCGTCTCGAAGATGCCGGTGTCGCAGCGGATTTGGACCCCCCGCGGATATGGACCCCCCTTCGCAGATTTGGCCCCCCCTACCAAACTTTCCTTTTAAGCATCCTTTGTATCATATTTGATAACTAATTCTATTTGCTTTGTCGACGTTCTTTTCAATCACAACACAACATATCCTCAATAAAGTTAAAAAACAACAACAACAGCCATCTCGTTCTAATTCTACCGCATTCATTATAGCGAGTCGAACAGTATACGCAAGAATTAGATGTGAATAAACTACTGCATTCGAACTATTGAAATTGTTACAATAAATCTTTGCTTCTTCTGATGCGAATCAACATTGGTACGAAACGTCATAACAATAGTGGAGACTATCGCTTCCAGTCACAAAAATAACTCAGTCTGATTTTCAAAAATGATAACAAGTCGTTCGTAAAGCCTATGATAAGTAAAAATGTTTCTATTCTGAACTATTGGAACTCTCAGATTATTTTCAGACGCAAATCAACGTTAATGTCAACGTCTTAACAAAAGTGGAGACTATTACATCGAACTCAATCTTATTTTCTAATTTTAACGATTATTAACTGTTGAGGGATCCGAAATAACACCTTAACAATTACGAAGACATCTAGAGTCTGGCAATCTGCAGACAATGCAGAGCCACTCGTCCTCTGAGGCAGTCTTAAATCCCTCGCACTCTACCATGTCGTCCCTACACTCGGGCATTGAACAATGACAAAAATAAATTAGTGTCACAAGTTTGTTTCTTATTGAATCTAACGGTGTTCTACTATCGCGGAAAAGGTTAAAAAACGACCTCTCTCCAGACATTAAACAAAATTCTTGCCCTTTTTCCCTTGGTCAAAAGAAACATCCGAAGGGATGCCAGTTCGTGTGCATTAACGATACGCATGTATTGAATTGAAAACATACTTTAGTACGCTCTGGAACGTAAAGTATCACCCATTTTTACTAGAACGTTAAGGATGATGTTTCCACTCAGTTTTGTTGAGGGGTCCAAATCCGCGAAGGGGGGGGGTCCAAATTCGCTGGACACCAGCACGCGACAAAACAAGATCAACTTCATTTTCTGGATCTGAAAACTTGCAACTCCGCAAGTGAATTGAAATGTCTTTTTAACAATCACGCAAGGGAACGACTTGGTCTTCTCGATAACTTAACCCACAAGTTGCAACGATTTAACTAAATAGCAAATCTCCATATTAGCATGTAAGATGAGACGCTTATAAAACAGATCAGTTAGCTAAATCAGTATCTAGCTTGTCAGTCAAATTGACTACTGTAACCATACTTTGACTTCAGCCGGCAAAGGAATCATTGATGGATCTGGACATTTTAGTTTTCTGAATGCTGTAATTCCTGAAAGGTTTTTCTAGATGTCATGCAAAGAGGAAAAAAACCCATCTCTTGGTATTTCGGAGGTTGACTCATCTTTGAAATTCTGTGTCACGCTTGTCACGCAATTGATATAATAATTTAGAGAAGATATATAAACTGGAACTCAAATCTGGCTAGAATGTGGTAGAGCATAATTAACGTGATCATCGAAACAGCTAATAAAATCATAAGTAAACAAGGTAAGAGTGTTATGTTAGATTTTTTTGCAAATTGTAGTGATTTATGCTAGTTAACGGTGGCGACAAGTAGGCGCACCATGTATAAAGTAAATTTTGCCGGACTTTGAGTTCGTCTCAAGATAGAACAACACAAATACACAAGGAAATTTTTACAGTAACTTTATAACCATCCTTTTTTCTTATTAAAGCTTGAAGCTCAGTATGTGTCGGTCATTGTTAAAACTGTCTTTGTTTTGATACTACTTTTCGACATAGGAAAAGTATGTCGGACAAAAATATTCACCAAAAAATAAATATTTCTTTTCCAGCTTCAATAACGACAGGGGATTAAGTTTAGATGATAAAACAAATGATTATGTTAACAGAAATACCGTAGGTCTGGTACATTCGTTACATGAGGTCACACAACTCGGGTATTATTCACGGTGAAAATTTGCATATTTGAGCGGTCGAACGAAAAAAATTATTTCTCGAAAACTAAAATAAATTTTTACAAAAAAACTACACCACAATTACTAGGACATATTGGGCTACAAAATATGAAAGTAGGAGGGAAAACAAATTTGGGTGACTTGCCGCTGTTTGTTTGATGCATGCTGACATTAGCTCTTTAGAAGAGAATAAATTTCAGTGCGAGATGTAAGCTATCTGCTGTTTACAGTTAAAATAGCTTAAATAAACAAAAAAAAGCCGTTGCGTTAAAAGAAATTTTATTTTTTGCACGAAATGAAACAGCCATTCATAAATGTTGGCAAAGTGAAAGGAATTATATTATGGTTATCTTTCAGAAGTATGCATAGTTCATGTTGCTGAAAAAGAAAGTGAAGTGTTTGAATCTTCGCACAACTTCATTTTCCTACGGAAATAATGGAGTTCTAATTCTGTTAAAGATTAATTTGTTTTATTGACATCTTCACAAGCTTGGACCAAAGATTTTCTTTATATGAGCACGACTGTGCCTGAAACGCGTATATTTAACAAATAGATTCCAAGTTACCGTGCGTCTGTTCAGTAATAGATCACAGATGACAGTAATAGATCACAGATCTGGGGTATAGTTTACAATGAGGATAAAGTTCCTCCTTTCTATAACCCTCTCTTAATAATATTATGTTATATGTTGTTACTTAAATACAGTTGTTATAAATTTTAAAAAAAAATTGTGGTAAGAACAAAAAAGTGGCACACGAGGCGTAGCCGAGTGTGTCACTGATGTTCTTACCACTTTTTGACGTCCTCTGTGATCTATTACTGAACAGACGCACGGCAA